TGGGTGTTTTTCGAGAGGAAATCCTGGGTTGAGTTTTCACCGGTTTTCCAATAAACAGTGTTAATCTGAATGAAGAAATAAATTGCATACAGTCCCTGTAAATATAAATTGTACCTATTAGATACAATAAATACACATTTTAGTAGTGATTAACTTTAAAAGTGTTAACATTTCAATTCAGTTAAAATCGTCAAACAAATAAGTCGTCTAAATTTAAACAGCATTTAGCATTATTAAAAGCGTTGATTAAGAATTCTTTAAATACCATTATATTATGTATTATATATAATATTATGTTGCCATGAATTCGTAGGTATATTTTGTTGTTTAAAATGCAGTTGTCGGCGTTTTTTAGAGAACTCAAATATAAAAATGGTTGATTTTGAGGTTATGTTTGTGCAAAAATTATTTTTTTAAAATGTCCAAACTTAAATATAAATTATATTAGGTAAAGTTATCGTTAGTTAATTCTGCACGAACAAATGTACTTACCGAATTGGATCCTTTGGCAAAACATGAAAATGCAACGATTTAGTTCTTGAATTTTATTTACAATTAAAAACGCAATAATTCACCATGATCCCTTAGATAAAATACACACACTAACGTTACTATATAAGCATTTAAGCGTTGAGTTTCTTAATCAATGATATAAGGAATAATCAATCGAAATCGAGTACTAAACCAGTTAACGTTAACGTGCGCGATTTAGCTGTGCAATTGAACAAAATTTGTCGAGTAAGACTTCTGCCTTCCTCTCTTTTGTGAAAAAGCTACCTACTTATTTAAAAATGATGTACAGTTCGTATGCTTTACGTTACGAAACCCGATAGTTCTTTAGCGTATGCAGATTTCTTTCTGACCTTTTACTTACTTATTAAATCGCTGTGGTGCCAAAGTACATGTACACGATTGAAAATATCCAGTAAACATTCATATGGAAAAATTATAGATATCGAGTGAACTTTGTTGGGGTTACCTATATGGGATTACGAGCAAAATAGGAAATGATATTAAAACTCGATAAGGCGGCAGAATAATATTTTGAATTAAAATGTTAAAAAAAATATTGAATTATTTCCGCAAACGATGCTTTTCGATCAGTGTAACCTTAAAGCATATAATATGTGGATTTTCCGTGATAAAATTAACACGGACAGAAATGTATAGTAAATTTTAGATTAATTTACTTTAACAAATTTTTAGGGTAACAATATTATATATTCGTCAATACAATATTAAGATTGTAATACAAAATACTATTTTTTATTATACAATTTTAGTAAAGATTACAACACCAATATTACTAAATGATAAATGTATAATATATATATTTTAGTTTTTAATATGTTCGTATAGTAAATTGATTTTACTATCTACAAATAGTAATATTTACTATATGATTTAATCAAATGTAAGGTGTACATCTAATATTATAATATATTACACATTAATAGAAATTATGGTAAAAATAAAGATACTTTTATGTTTAAAGTAAATAAACAATATATTTAAATATAATATACAATATAGTAACTCATGACATTTTAAACATTCAATTTCCTTAGTTTCTTCAATAAACTTTCTTGACCCATTACTGGTAATACTTATAAGAGAGAACTGAACCTACTTGGTTGCATAGTATGTACCGATTGCGGCAAAGGCCACGTCGCGACGCGTCGTTAGACGGTGTGGATCACGTGATGTTCTTACATCTCGCCTCTGTTGGCTTACCAACCATGTTATATAAGCTCAGGTATTTCTTTGATTTGGATGTGTTCTACTACTACAAGTTGCTCAACAGTGTCGTGTCGACACTGATGATACCCAATATAGGTCAAAACACCTGTGTGTCGGTATTTGAAGTTAATGGGACGCACTCAAAACAAAAAACTTTGACGAGGTGTAGGTTCAATTCTTTCTCATAACATTTTTGTATATTAAAAAGTACAATTAATATGTTACAATTTTTAATTGTTAACATATAAAAATATTTGAGAATAATAATATTTTACCTTAAGGTTTAACATACCTACATGGATATTTAAAAATTACTAAATATGCATAGTATCTGGCAATATACAAGATAGTTGTCCCAAATAGTAATATAAATTATAGTAAAGGGTATTATAATTATGGTAATTAGCATTATACTTTTCTCTCCGTGTAATTAATCCAGTACCGATTTTTTTTACTTTGACTGTACCTATCTACAAAGAGACAGGGCTAAAAATACGTCCGAACATAATTTTTTTGTTAAATCACATGTAGTGGCGGCACTGTACTGTACGCATACGTCAAGTCATGTGTTTCTATTTTCGTTCCACTATTAGATTTAGACAAATCTAATTTTAACACTAGCCGAGGTAAATCCATTCATTTTGTTCAAATACATTTTTCTTGTGACTTCTCGTGATTTGGTCACGTTTTAGACGTAATATTCGATGCCAAAAATATTTTTCGCAGTTTCCTTCCTTGAAGGGGGGGGGTTAGGTATAAAATACCGAATGGAAACTATAAATTATCAGTAATCAATATATTTTATACATTTTATGTACAACAGTTAAAGAAATGGTTTTTAAGACATTAAAACGCATTGGTAAGAATATCAAATGTCCAAAAATGTCCAAAAATGTCACCAAAATAAAAGTTTATAAACGAGGTGCATACTATACTTTTTCTACGACAAATACTTATTATTATCTTAAAATGATTTCAATCAAAAATTTATATAGAGCGCCATCTATGAAACAATAGGGGAATCTGTGTGTCACCGTCAAATGTCAAATTTTTATATTTTATGAACACAATTATAAAGGTTATAAATCGAAATGTATTTCTTGAAAATTGACAGTTTTTCACAGTGAAAGTAAAGAAAATGTTTTATGAGCACTTTACAGTGGAGTCCGTGCCCTTATTTAAGTTATAGTTTACTGCCGGCGAAATTAAAAGGTCAGTACAATGTTCATATAAACTTTTCAATTATTGGCGTTGAGAAACTATTTAATACTTTTGTATTTTTGTATTGAGATAATTAAATAATTTTCACATTTAGTATTGTTTTACAAGAAAGGCACTTTATTTTAACGATTGTATGACATTTGACAACTGTCAACTAACTCAAAACTAACTTCAGCCCGTGACTAAAAATCTGTTGCTAACTTCAGCCCGTTACTAAAGCGCCATAAAGCCACAACTTGTCAATGTGTATTTAAAAGGTCATGGAAACATGTACGATAAAGGGCGTTTTAAAGGTGGGAGTAGAAAAAAATATTTATGTTAATAATATTATATTCTATGCTAAACATTTTTTTTCAACCAATTATTAATTATAATTATATAAACAGGTAACCGCAAACTTTATAAAACTCCTTTATAAACCTACTGGTAACGGTTACTAAAGGTTATATAAAATGTTTGTAGACCATTATAAAACTAGTAAACTAAATGGCGATTTTGTTAAACTCTTATATACCTAATTTTACAACTTTTATATAACCTTTATATAATTTCAAATCGATATCTTTGTTCGTTCCTCAGAAATTTTTAATGGACCACGTGTGTAAAACACCCTGTATATATTACTAATAATAATTATATACAAAAATAGACGTACCGTAAGAATAAAAAATTTGTAACCAGTGTAAATCAAGATTTACCCCTTGAAAATGGACAAACAACCGTTTGAATCCGATATAGAAACAGTTTTTCACAGTGAAAGTAAAGAAAATGGTTATGGGCACTCCTTTAATCCTTTAATGTAAAAAGTTAAATTTTAGACTCCAAAATTTTTAAGGTATACATCTAAACCGCAAAGTATGTTTAAAGATTAGGAGCCCGGGTTTGCTATTGAACTAAATCAGGCCTTGAACGTGAATTAGATTTCTACTTGAATTTGATACAACGTATTCAAATATCAATAAGTATTTGTTTTGTTTATCAAACCTTGTCGAAAAAAGATCATAGTACCTAATTATTAATAAAATATCTCGTTTTACGAAAAGATGTTAATTTTGTTCGATTTTTCTTCTGTGTACGATTCTGCAATAATTTTTGAATAAAATACTTGCTCTTATTTTTTAAATGTATTTATTTATTTCGTTTTAATATTCTGCTAACACTGGTCTGGGATATTCCCAAATCTCTAGATAATTCTCGTGTGCTTGCATGAGGATTAGCGGCCGCTGCTGCTAATACATTAATTTCATTATTTCCACCTGTGACTTGCTCGACGAACTATTTTTTTCGGTTGAACACTCCCGTTTGTAGTAAACTGCTCGACTGTACGGTGAAATGAAGTACGTGATCGAATTTTTTCAGGAAAACGCTGAGCGTAGTATTAACAGCATCATCAAGATTCCTGCCTGCTTCTCCATAAATCAAAATCATTTCTATTTTTTCTTCCACTGTTAAAAAATCCATTATGAATAACTGCTTAACGAATTGTTTGCAAATTAATCTTCGAACTAAATTGATTAAATAATGCTAAACTATAAAGTTTCTTTATCAATAATAATTATTATTTATATCTAAATACCATTTTTTATACCTTAATTAGGATTAAATTAATTAATTGATAAAATAATGTTTTTTTTTACCTTAAATGAGGTATTTTTATTAAAAATAGTACAATAATCCTTTAAATTAAAGGATTTAATGCTGGCAGGTAAAAATGACCATGGTGCGCAATTGATAATTATTACCGGATGAAATAATGTATAAAACTTAAACCAAAGGAAACTTAAATATTAGTTAAAAAATCGTGGGTACTTAAAAAAATCAGATTTAATTTAATAAGATAATTATTACCAAAAAAAGTGTTATTTTTATAGAAAAATTATTGCAGAATCGTATACAGAAGAAAAATCGAACAAAATTGATTTTTTTTCATTACAGCGCCATCTATTACAAATATGAAAAAAACAAATATAATGCAAAAATGATTGAGGAAAACCTGTCTTGTATGTAAGTAGTAACATTTTTTCTTATTTTTTTTTCAGATGAACAAAGCGACAGTGAAGAATCAAACTCAACATCAACCCAACGACTGCCAAAAAGTTATCATCAAAAATCATCATCGTATCTCTCGAAATCCACTTATTCTAGTCAATCGAGTCCAAGACGGAGGTGCCAATATGACAGCACGAGGTCCAGTAGTACCACAAGCGAAACGAAAATTACATTCAATGAAGGTGAGTGTTTGGATCGATTGAGGCCAAATTCTTAATTTGGTTACAGAAATGTTTATATCACTCTTATATACCCCTTAAAGAGCTTATTTGGGGAGTTTATGAAGGGTATCGGTACCTATTTTAGTAACACTATAAAATCCAAGTTTTATAACTAGAGATGACAGGAATATTATGGAAACCACTATATACAAATATACAAACATATAACTAATTAAAGACACAATAGGTTACTAAAGGTTATATAAAATGTTTGTAGAAACAATTTTATAACCTAATTATATACCTAGAGTTTACAGTAACATTATATGACCATTATAAAACTAGTAAACTAAATGGGGATTTTATAAAACCTTGTCAAACTCTTATGTAGTATAAATTGTAATTTATCGTTACCCTAAGTAGTACAAATTGTTTATTGGGTTGGCATCATACTCTCTATCTATATTTTGTCTAATGAAACATTAAATCAAATATGTAGATAACATATTTTTAAAATAAAATAAAATCCTCGGCCCAGTTATGATAAACTGACAGGGGTCAAGTATTTGGTTCTAATTTTAGACTAAGGTTTATATTTTGGTAAATAAGTTAAATAGATAGAAATAGATAAAAATGCTTTCTTTCTGAACACTCCCCTGTTTCGTTTTTGTTGGGTCACCCTGACAACATTAGTTAATTGGAAATGGTTTATCTCTACAAGAAATAAAAAATCAATAGGTAATTAAGTAACGGTTTTTAATTATGCTCTCATTATAACTTAAAATAATTTCGAAATGAGTTCTATGAAAACCGTTATTTTTAGAAACACTTACAGAACAGATATTAGAAACTAAAAGTTGTCTAGTCATGCTATTCAAACTGATTAGTTTAATATTTTAAGAGTAAAACTTATAAAACCTAAATTTCTTAATTTGGTTACATAAATATTTATATCACTCTTATACACCCCTTAAAGAGCTTATTTGGGGTTTATGTTAGTTTATGAAGGTTATCGGTACCTATTTTAGTAACACTATAAAACCAAAGTTTTATAACTAGAGATAACAGGAATATTATGGAAACCACTATATAGCTTCCTAAAAAACTGCTACCGGCTTTTTTAACGTTCGATTTAATCCATTTTTAAAATATTTATGTTAATAGTATTATATTTCTTATATATTATATACTAAATTTTTATTTTTAACCGTTAACTTTATAAAACTCCTTTATAAACCTACTGGTAACGGTTACTAAAGGTTATATAAAATGTTTGTAGATTAGCTAGATCAGAATTATTTAGAAGATCTCCAGATCTGACACTATTGGACTTTTTTTCTTCACTAAACTAAATATAAATAAATAAGTCGTGTGTATCAGTACCTATAGATAAATTTATTTAAACTTTCCATTGTTTATTATTAGGGTTCTATGTTCTTGATACATGCACCAAAACTAGGCATCCAAACCTTGATAATTGAAATTTAAAACAAACGGTTCACAACATGCGGATAGATACTTTATTTTCGTTTCTACTTATATAATTGTCCTATTTTTAAGTTGGCAACACTTATCAGAATTATTTTGATATCCTACGCTCTATCAACAAGATTGTTAATAGAAGTTCACACAAGAAAAAAAAATCGGTGTAAAACAAGCTTTTTAGAGATGTCACATACGTTTTTTCCTATGTAAATATGAATTGTACCTTAAAAATCTTAAAACAAATAAGTCGTCTAAATTTAAGCAGCGTTATGCATTGTTAAAAGCTTTGATTAATAAAGTCATAACTCAACGGTAAAAGACCAAAAAACGGGTATTACTTTTTGTACGACAAATACTTATTATCTTAAAATGATTTAAATCAAAAATTTGTATAGAGCGCCATCTATAAAACAATAGGGGAATCTGTGTGTCACCGTCAAATGTCACATTTTTATATTTTATAAACACAATTATAAAGGTTATAAATCGAAATGTATTTCTTGAAAATTGACAGTTTTTCACAGTGAAGTAAAGAAAATGTTTTATGAGCACTTTACAGTGGAGTCCGTGCCCGAATTTATGTTATAGTTTACTGCCGGCGAAATTAAAAGGTCAGTACAATGTTCATATAAACTTTTGAAATATTGGCGTTGAGAAACTATTTAATACTTTTGTGTTTTTGTATTGAGATAATAAAATAATTTTCACATTTAGTATTATTTTACAAGACGATTGTATGACATTTGACAACTGTCAACTAACTTATAACTAACTTCAGCCCGTGACTAAAAACCTGTTGCTAACTTCAGCCCGTGACTTAGTGTCATGGAAACATGTACGATAAAGGGCGTTTTAAAGGTGGGAGTAGAAAAATTAAATTAATATTGGTGTCTTTAAATTTTAATAAGCTCTGGTTTTAACTGCCCAAGGGCAGTCTTACCAACCCACCAATTGGCGCAAATTATATTAATTTAAATTAAGAGAAGGAATTCTCTAATTTACCGGATATAACCGAATTAATAATGAATTAAAAGGATCTTGTTCATAAATTACACTATATTACACGAATAAATATTTTAACCGTGGTTTCATGGGTTTTATTTACTTAGGACAAAAACAAATATAAAGCCTGAAGACTGTCTGAGTTTTAGAAGCAACTTCAGGTAACGTTATTACTGTGTAAATGTTTTGTTTTGAAATTATTTCCGAGGTAGTACTGGAATTAATAAAATCTTTATTAGTTAAAATCACAAATTTTAAAATGTACTTTTTTCACTTAATCAATACGATTGGAGATATCCTCTGAAAATACTTTCCTAATGTATTACAAAAATAAAGTGCAGTAAATTTTTTATTGTTTTTCAAGGACCCGAAACCACATAACGAGTGTACATAAATATATAATTAGGCTTAAATAAAAATAGCCAAGTATTATAGGATCGCTAAAATAACTAAAACGTTTGACTTGCACGATTCGTTTATAATGTGTCTTTAATGATAGTTTATAAAAAATGTTATTATTAAGTTTTCAAAGTAAATACATATGTCTAAAGGTTTAATTTAAATGTTCTTTGTTTAATAAAACGTTGGTTTGGCCAGGTCGAGTGATAAGATCGTTTAGTATTTGGCAAACTAAATCATAACATAAAAACAACCAATATTAATTTTAAAATCACCAAGTATAGTTCTTTTTAATTCTTGACATAATTTCAGAAAGGTACTTTTACTCTTTTAGTGCAAACTTCTAGTGTTAATTAACACTATTATATGAGTGAAACCTATTGGTGGTAGTGAATAAACCGAAAAGGTAAATAAAGAGAAACATTTATTTGGAACAAAAATCTAATACAATTATCAAAATCGATGCCTATTAAATATAATTTTATATTTGAGTCGTATGGCTGGCTTAAGCAAAATGGTTCCTTAAAACGTAAAAGTTTTAGATCAATGCAATGTTTTACTGGCTGTCAACTTGTAAGCAATGAATTATCTTGATAATTCATCATTCATTAATAAAAACGGGTGATCCGTGTGCGGGAGCCCTTGAATAACGTTTATCCAAACCGTTGGATAGGTAGAGGAGGACCTATTGACTGGCCTCCTCGATTTCCCGACCTTAGGCTGATGGATTTTTTCCTGTGGGATACCTTAAAAAACTGTATTCCACTCCGATAGAGGAACTTCTACAGATAATCACGTTTTATTGTGATATGATAAGAAACAATTCTGGGTTATTCTGGCGGGTACAGCAGTCCTCAATTGACAATATGCAAGGAATGCGGTCGATGTTGCCAATGGTAAAAAAATATAATTCCCTATTGGGAACATTCAATTATATTACGTTGGCTACACTGAAATTTTGAATTTCCCGCACAAACTGACATACATTTTAGTAGTTTCCAGAGATAAAGAAGGTAGTTCCAATGTTGTATAATAAATTAAGGTGCGAATTTCAAATGTGGGAATTATTATTATTTATTATTATTAAAAAAAAAAAGATGGAAATTAATTTAGTTTGTGCGGGAAATTTAAATTTTCAATGTAGCAAACGTAATATAATTGAATGTTCCCAATAGGGAATTTTATTTTTTTACCATTGGCAACATCGACCGCATTCCTTGCATATGGTCAATTCGTCGTGCCCGCGAATGTATCAGAGTTCACGGAACCCATGTTGAACCCTCTTATAAAGTTTTTAATTAATTGTTTCGAATTATCGTCCTTCAATTTAAGGTTTGCAACAATACGTGATATTATTTTTTTATGGTCCTTTTTATTAAAAAATAAAACATGAATTTGTTTATTATTCTTTTTCTCGAAAACGGTTCATTTTATTGACAATGAACAAGAGTACCTTTATTTTATTTTAAGGTTCAAGCTATGCAGATTTAGTTTTTTTAAGTCTTTGTCATACGGGGTGTTCAAAATTTAAGCATTAAAAAGTAAAACTTAGTCCGCCCCTGGTAAACGAAAAAAACAAAACATGTTTCAATGACACTATTTTAAGAGGTCCTTACCAGGGTCCATCATATTAAATTTTTATTAAATTATATTTGGTACTTTAAAAGTTATTCAAGGAAAACCAATTTGGAGGGGAGTCCTTTCGGGGCCCATGTCTCCGTAAGGATGGCCAGTAGGAAAAAAATTTATAGGAACGTGTCATCTTATTTTTTCATGTTCTATCTGAATCCGAGAGATTTCCCACATTTTCCCGGACACCCTGTATATTATAATGAACGCAAATTGAATGCTGACCTAATAGAAATGCAAACATAATAAATCTAGATATGCTACTTTTAAAATACACGCTTAGCATCCAGCTTCTAAATGTATTAAATGTATAAGTAAATATTACGCTGTAAGAGTAAATAATACGATGTGGTCTAAAATAAGAATTTTGTTGATAAAGCTTAAGCCTTATTTAAATAAATTTAAGTTTTATTAATAAATATATACTAAATTTTCAAATTCAATTCTTGCAAAAATAACACTTTGATAAATAACTGGATTATTCGAAAGGAAGTTTCACAAATTGTTTTTCAAGTAAACAGAACTTGGGCTTTAACTGGGTTTATCCACTTAACGGATATCGATTAAAAATCCAATCTAACTTTGAAATTCAAAGGAAAACGGGCGAAATAAATTTGCTCAGGTTTAATAACACCATTTTGGTTGGGAATTTTTTATGGGCACGAGCGAAGCAAGTGTCGCATAATAAATTGGGCGAAGTGTGGAAATTTTCTGTTAAAATTAAAATTTCTTGATTTTAATTTTCAATTTTTTAATAGATAGACAGATATAAATAGTATTTTTTGTATGTTATAATATGTATATCTATACATTCTGTACATGATTATTTCAGAACAACAAAAATTATGTTGCAATGTTCTATTTTATAATTAAATTTACTTAATATAATGCTGTTACCACTTATTGAATATAAAATTGGCTTCAGTCGAGAAAATTGAATTTCTATAGTTGACAGTTGACAGATTTCTTGTAAAAAAATATTTTTCTACTGCCACCTTTAAAGCTTTAAAATCGTCCATGACACTAAGTGACCTTTTAAATACACATTGACAAGTTGCGGCTTTATGGCGCTTTAGCCACGGGCTGAAGTTGGCAACAGGTTTTTAGTCACGGGCTGAAGTTAGTTTTAAGTTAGTTGACAGTTGTCAAATGTCATACAATCGTTAAAATAAAGTGCCTTTCTTGTAAAATAATACTAAATGTAAAAATTATTTTATTATCTCAATACAAAAATGCAAAAGTATTAAATAGTTTCTCAACGCCAATATTTGAAAAGTTTATATGAACATTGTACTAACCTTTTAATTTCGCCGGCAGTAAACTATATCTTAAATTCGGGTACGGACTCCACTGTAAAGTTCTCATCAAACATTTTCTTTACTTTCACTGTGAAGAACTGACAATTTTCAAGAAATACATTTTGATTTATAACCTTTATAATCTATGTTTATAAAATATAAAAATGTGACATTTGACGGTGACACACAGATTCCCCTATTGTTTTATAGATGGCGCTCTATACAAATTTTTGATTTAAATCATTTTAAGATAATAATAGGTATTTGTCGTAGAAAAAGTATAGTATGCACCTCGTTTATAAACTTTTCTATACACTCCTCAGCAGAAGTACCATTTTTTAAATACTAAAAACACTAAATCAAACTGGCATAAGCTACCAACATAATGAACTGTAGTAAATATTTTTAATTTTAATTGAAACTAATTGATTGTTACGTCACACGTTATTGTGTTTAATATCACGACAATTTATGTTATGAATGAATGTTTCGTGATGTCTGTAATTTTATTTAATTAGTTTAATTGGTTCACATGGGAAATATGGTAATATCAAGTTAATAATGAAATTGAAGTTTTTATGTAAAAAAACATTAGATATTAAGTTGCTTGGTAAAATTTCGGTTACCCCATTTGTAAATATACCACTTAATGGAGGTATACCTTAATTGCTACTTCTAGACGTTTTCCCTGCTTACATAATATCCCTTAGGAAACAAACAATTAAATCATCATACGACACGCGATTTTTTTTTAATAATTAATTTTAGTAGAAATAAAAAATATATGGGTGATTCTACAAAAGTTGGGCAACTGTTGATCTCATTTTGTTTATATACACTCACGTGCAAAATAATCGATCCACACAAATTTTCGATGACTTTCAATCACTTTTTTGTCCTGCAAGGTGTGGCTATAACTTTGCAGCTTTAAACTTCAAATTATCGGTTTTCTGCATTTTTTAGCTATACCATAAGAGTTGAAGAAAAATGTTAAATAGCCGATTTCTAGAACGTTTAAAATCCTACAAAAAAGTCCTGATCAACTTTTTTGTATCACCAATAGCTTCAAAGTTATAGCCCTACAAAAACCGATAATTTGAAGTTTAAAGCTACAAAGTTATAGCCCTACAAAAACCGATAATTTGAAGTTAAAAGCTACAAAGTTATAGCCCTACAAAAACCGATAATTTGAAGTTTAAAGCTCTGTCAAAAATCAAGTATTGACGATAAAAATTTGACTTCATAGAACTTTTTGTAGTAAATTTAATGATAAAAAAGGTCCATTTATGTATTTTCATAAAAAAAAAAAATTCACACCTTGCAGGACAAAAAAGTGTCAAAAAACCATGTTTTCCATGTTATTTAGACGAAAAAAAGTTCGATGGAGAACCCCTTAAAATTTGAATATGGATCTCTCCTTTTACCAGAAGCTATATTTGAGCATTCTCTGAGAGATTTTGGGGTGAGAGCATGAAAAAAAAAATAACTCTTTTTTTGGCACACCCTAACCCACATACATAGTTAAAAAAGTTATATACTCATTTTTATAATTTTTTTTATTTGTTTCAGACGAGTATACGAGAATTACGACTCCAAGACAAGACGTACTATTTAAGAAGGGATACCTTAGCAAGCCAAAGACTTATCAAACACAAACCTCCACCGGTAATTCGACAACGTCGACCGGTAACTCTACCGGTAACGGCACGCCGGATTACCAATCGACCGGTAAGCACCCACCTACTAAAACCAAACTCAAAAAAAAGTGTATTAATAAACAAATATTCCAGGTAATAACTGCTGTTCAATAAATGCAGTAAAAACGTTACGAAAAACGTTGCAAAAACATTGTGCGTGGCTTACACTTTAAAAAACACAATAATTTCGGAAAAAAGAAATCCTAGTAAAACACCCGTGCATAGCGCATGTCTATGCAAAACTGTTTGTAACATTTAAATCCTGTTATATCTTGTCTAACAAATCTTTTTAAACACTCGCTCGCAAGCTGAGCTTGATTAAAATTCGTGGCTAAAATGCCGTTTATTAAATTTGATGGAAAATAATAATTTGATTTAATTAATAAATACGATATTTTGATATATTTGTGTACCTACGTTGTTTGCATGTAATAAAACCTTCCGTAATTATTTCCCAAATCGTTCTTGTGGTTTTGATCGAAGTCGGCCTTGAACTTTACCGTCGTATAGTCCCTTACAAAAATATCAAAGGTATGCTGAAAGGCATATTGTTCGAAATTTGTATTAGATACCTTTTATTTGTTTACGTTCGCTCATAGGTTGTAAAATAATTTAAACCATTCGGGTAAAGCTTTTACCTCCTAGTCAGTAAAAAAACGGTTTGAAACAATCAACAAATTTAAATTACACTCTATGTAATCTATGGGTTATATATAAAGTTTACAGCAGCTATCGAATTTTTTACAGAACTCAATTATTGTTCCCCACTTTAGTCGTAACTTGGTAATGAAAGAGTAATATAAAGAGACCGGCGAATGTCGCAAAACACTTTAAAGTTTCTTCAGTATAGTCTCATATACGTAACAAATACTTAAATTGTTGCTTGGGCCCTAGTCACCTATATTTAACTACTTTTTTTATATGATTTTACTCATCCAAGCACCACCAAAGTCAAATAAATGCTTTTTTAACTACGAATTTTGACAACTCAACTTGACAACCGTTCAATGTGACCTACAATAATTTAAACATAACCACAATTACATTTATAACTAGTTTAGTTTGTTTTAATCAATGCAACCAATTTTGGTTCCGTATTTACCAACCAGATAAAAAAAATAACTTTACAATTAAATAGTAAAGCCTGAATTATAGATTGCCTTCCCTCCTTCCTCCCGTAGTCGTGCCCGTACGATTTGTGCGTCTTGTAAAAAGTCAATTTATAGATTTCCGTGTAAAATTCCGTAACCATGCGCGATGACACCTAAAATGGTTGACATTTGTTTTTGTTCATATTCTGCGTTTTACCCATTGTGTGTAAATATGAAAGATAATCATTTATATATTAGTGCAGTGATCACAATTTTAATTGCCCAGGCAGCTTGTTGTATACTGCCCAACTATGGAGAAAGGCAGTAACTGCTAAACAAGAAATTTGTGGGAAATTAGCATAAACTACATTTTTATAAAAATCAGTAGGTATTTAACTGATTTATTTAACTTAAAAGATAGTTTACTGCATTTCTTTGTTGAATTAAGATAAAAAATGTCCATATCTTTATCGTAGCACAAGAAAACGCATTTCTAGTTACTGCCTTTCTCCATAGTAGGGCAGTATAATGAAAAAAAAACATCGAACAAGACGTTGGGAGACTCGCCCACTTTACCAAGACCGGGAAACTACGGGGTTTTACAAAGCAACGTTTCTAAAAATGAAAGACATTGATCATAAACATTATCTAAATATCCTATTTAGAGACACAAATGATTTAATAAACTGAACACCTATCTTAAATAATACTAAACAATCATGTATTTTAAATATTTTGTGCCTACGCGCTGTCACCCTACAGCGCATGTCCATAATAAGCACTGCGATTGGTCATGTCAAAGACCTTTACGGTGAAAGATAAAACTTAAAAATTTCTACGGGAGGAAGGAATGCCGTCCTTACGGTACGGGAGTCTATAAATGGCACTACGATTTAAATAAACATTTTTGACGTAATTGTCACCATTAACATTGCCCGTTATTAATTTTAATTAACAATTTGATACTTTAAAATATTAAAATAACTTTAAAATATGATTTTGTTAAGAAAATATTTTATTCATTGATTTTTTTTATTACTATAATTGCAAAATATTATCACAAAGTATTAAAAATTCCTACACGGGAAATGTTAATGGTGACAATTACGTAATGTTCAGGCTTAAGACAAAATTAATAATTGAAATCTTTTTTCCAGATTTAGAATACGATTCTCAGTTCGTCTTCCCTGGTGGATTTGTAGACCAAAACGGAATCTACTATGTCAACAGTAAGTACCCCTACTTCATTCATCTCGCTGTAGTTCCGCATAACCCGATACACCAAAGTGCAAATGAAATTGAACGTAAATAAACATCGAAGTCGATTCAAATAAAACACTTCAAAGTACCCGACGACTTTGACAAATGATCATGGAAAAACCAAACGCAGCTCGCGCATCCGAATTCCGATCGAAATGGCGTTTATTAATAATCTAGAATGCCGTCGCCATCGTCTAATGTCTTTGGGACAGCCGGAAGACATCGGCCGAATTACTATTCAATCGAGATTCCTATGGAGATCTATACTTGCTTGATCTTCTATTTTTTTTCGAATATTTTCAATTGGGTTTAAATCCGGGCTTGTAGGCGGCCAAGGAAGCGCGCTTTGGCTTACTTAACACATTTGTAGAAAAAAAAACTAAAAAATTGTTTCAATTGCAGGTTACGAACCATACCCGCTAATGGTATACAACCCTACCACGTACTACCCTGAATTTACGAACTCAAAAGCAAAAAGGTGCAGTACAGGATCATTGGTAAGTTTACTATTAATTTTTTTGACATTGATAATAGACGTTTTAAGCATCTGTTCCGTTATAAAACCTATAGATGCTTGCCAAATTAATTAAATGACAGGGGACTGTTTTAAGATTTGTAGATAAATATTGATTTACAACTTTGTTAACTCTTCTATAGTAAGTTGAAGAAAGTCTATATTTTTAATTATTTTTTACAATGTTTTAAAAGTCTAAAACCTATCCTCCGTGACTGTTACTCTTTCTAGGTTATCCTATATGTTTTCAAATATCTGAGGTAGTAACAGCATACTAAAAATATCAGTTCACCAAGTAAATTAAACACATCCAATTGATTCTATCATCCGTGAATCTGTTTTTGCATTAAATTTTATGCGACGGATGGCGCTTTAATCATTTTAAATAAGCAATAACCTCTGTTTACGACATTATAGATGCATGTGATTCCTGAAGGTCAGTTAGAATTTATATGCAGATGAGAGTGTTGCTGTTTTATAATTTAAAAGTTTAGTTCATTACTTTGCTATTTAAAAAACTATCTACCGTGAAGTATAATGTCTCAGTAAGTAGTTTTTTTATAAATATTTTTTTTTTAATATTAAGGTGTCAAAAGATACAATATCTTATTTAAAATATACAAAGGGATCTTAAAAAAAACATACGAAATCCTAACCTCCGTGAAGGTCTAATATTCAAAATGTATGATTTCTTGGGGGACATCTCAATATATTCACCCATAAATAAACCAAATATTTAACTGGTTTCTTTTATTAGTTAAATTATACTAAAAATAACCTTTAAATTACCTTATGGTTATAGCAACCGGTTGGTAAATTTAAAGGGCATTTTTTAGTTCATGTAACCTTAAAAAAATGTTAATGGTTGAATACTTAATTGGTTAAAAACAAGTTTTAAAAAACGTTATTTCACTTAGATTTTGGTTAATTTACTTGCTGATCCAACTTTAGGCAAGGTTACCAACATTCCTAAAAATACCATCCATTCGATACGATCTCATATTCTTAGATTCCAGATTGACTAAATGAGACGTCACGAGACGATACGAATTTTACCACAACTCTTCAAATAGGCTTTGTTTAATTGAGCGTATGATTTATGTTGCGATAGTTGGCAAGTGAATGGCTCTGCTGTTGGGTCATTTTTAATTTCGAATTTTCACAAACGTTTTACGAAAAATCAATTATTCATCATGTCTTATCAAACGATGCTGAAAATCTTGCAAGAATGCCTTTGGCTTGGCAAATAAAAATTTGCTACGCAGGGGACTGTCTAAAACTTAAGTTAGTTAATAGCTATGTGGGTGGATTTATTTGCACTAAAATCACTATTAAATCATTTCCCTATAAAAAGGCAAATAGTGCGTTAACAATAGCGAGATTTGCGTTTTCCAGAATAGTTTTTGTGATATTTCTAGCGACAGGGACATTAGTTTAATTATTGTTGGGTTTTATTTTTAGCAACACTTGGTGTTTGGAATTTAAAGTAAAGCATCATTGATTGGTCCGAAAATAAACGAGAAAACTAAAATAGATCGATTAAGGGGTCTTTCAGTCTTCAAAGGACAAATTGATTGGGTAACACAGAAATTTGCAGCTTCATCAATAAACAAGAAGGTTTTTGAAATCCTGGGTTGAGTTTTTACCGGTTTTCCAATAAACAGTGTTAATCCGAATGAAGATCTAAATTTAAACAGCATTGAGCATTAGGTATTAAAAGCGTTGATTAAGAAAGTCTCCACTCAACGGTAAAATACCATTATATTATGTATTATATGAGTCATTCCAAATAAAAACACCAAATGGGGTGCGCTGCGTGATTTTTTATTTTGATGAAAAAATTTGAGGATGATCTTTTAGGTGTCAAATATGAAAATCCGTTGCCGTTTTAATTTTTTGTTGCTTTACTTTTATTTGGCACCCCTTAGAAGTCTGAAATAGTGTCAATTTCTTACTCTCTTATAGTGGGCCAGAACTTTTTTTCTGTGACAAATATTGAAATAATTTTAATTTTGTTTTACTGTCCAGTAAGTGTGTTTTCGATATAAACTATTATTATCCAATTAGTTAATCTCATAGAAGAATGGTAAACCACTAAAGATTCATAATAATTTGCCAATTTTTGTGATTTTTGTCTGGCTCCTGTGCCTATTCTACTGAATTTAGAAGGTTCATTTTTTTCAGGTATAAAGTACTTATACAATAGAAAACGTAACTATTATTTTAAGTTTCTAGACTATCAATTTCTTTATTAAAAAAATTATTGAAAATTGATAATTCTCAAAATTAGCCAATTTTGCCCTCAGAAATCATTATGTTGAGGAAAAAATAAAAATCTGAAACTTTCAGGAAATGTAGTCCCCACCTTCATCTTTTCAGTCCAGTTAGTCTTGTTTTGTTATTTTTATCCATGTAAAAGATATAATAATTTTTTTAATGCCAGTTAAGAAGCGATATTGTTAGTTTTATTTATAATCTAAAATTTAGATGGCTTTGACTTTGTCAATTCATGTTTGGTGGAGAAATGTCAGAACTGCGAAAAATATTTCATAAATATTATTTGTGCGTATTTCTTTGGTAAATTTTGTATATAACATAATATGTCATATGTCATATACAAAACTTTTTAAAGTCACCAAAGGAATACCACAAATAATAATTATGAAATATTTTTGATAGTTCAGCCATTCCAAGCTACTCGGAAATTTTTGTAGCGTCCGTTACAATAAAAAATTGTGATTAAATGCTACCGTAATTAAATGAAATACCCTTACAATAGTTAATATTGCAAACATGTTTATTATGCTTGTAATAATTAGGCTTAAACTTATAAGCATAATAATTACGGTAGTTTTACTCACAATTTTTGATTGTAACGGAGGCTACAAAAATTCCCGAGTAGCGTGGAATGGCTGAACTATCAAAAATACTTCATAATTATTATTTGTGGTATTCCTTTGGTGACTTTAAAAAGTTTTGTATATAACATAATATAACATATTATGTTATATACAAAATTTACCAAAGAAATACGCACAAATAATATTTATGAAATATTTTTCGCATTCTGACATTTCTCCATCAAACATGAATTGACAAAGTCAAAGCCATCTAAATTTTAAATTATAAATAAAACTAACAATATCGCTTCTTAACTGGCATTAAAAAAATTATTATATCTTTTACATGGATAAAAATAACAAAACAAGACTAACTGGACTGAAAAGATGAAGGTGGGGACTACATTTCCTGAAAGTTTCAGATTTTTATTTTTTCCTCAACATAATGATTTCTGAGGGCAAAATTGGCTAATTTTGAGAATTATCAATTTTCAATAATTTTTTTAATAAAGAAATTGATAGTCTAGAAACTTAAAATAATAGTTACGTTTTCTATTGTATAAGTACTTTATACCTGAAAAAAATGAACCTTCTAAATTCAGTAGAATAGGCACAGGAGCCAGACAAAAATCACAAAAATTGGCAAATTATCATGAATCTTTAGTGGTTTACCATTCTTTTATGAGATTAACTAATTGGATAATAATAATTTATATCGAAAACACACTTACTGGACAGTAAAACAAAATTAAAATTATTTCAATATTTGTCACAGAAAAAAAGTTCTGGCCCACTATAAGAGAGTAAGAAATTGACACTATTTCAGACTTCTAAGGGGTGCCAAATAAAAGTAAAGCAACAAAAAATTAAAACGGCAACGGATTTTCATATTTGACACCTAAAAGATCATCCTCAAATTTTTTCATTACAATAAAAAATCATGCAGCGCACTTTTAAATTCATTTTTGGTGTTTTCATTTGGATTGACTCATATATAATATTATGTTGCCATCAATTCGTAGGTATATTTTGTTGTTTGAAATGCAGTTGTCGGCCTTTTTTAGAGAACTCAAATAAAAAAATGGTTGATTTTAAGGTTATGTTTGTGCAAAAATTATTTTTTACTAATTTCCTAAAAATGTCCAAACTTAAATATAAATTATATTAGGTAAAGTTATCATTAGTTAATTCTGCACCATCAAATGTACTTACCGAATTGGATCCTTTGGCAAAACATGAAAATGCAACGATATAGTTCTTGAATTTTATTTACAATTAAAAACGCAATAATTCACCATGATCCCTTAGATAAAATACACACACTAACGTAACTATATAAGCATTTAAGCGTTGAGTTTCTTAATCAATGATATAAAGAATAATCAATCGAAATCGAGTACTAAACCAGTTTTTTAGTTTTTTTCTTGCAACGTAAAACACAACAGTTGGAAAAAAAATATCCAATATACTTAATTAAATTAAATAAATATCTATATTTATCTTGGGATTTATTCTTAATGATCTCTAAAAGTGTGACAATGGCTAATTTATTTCGAGCACAAATTAATTAAGGAATGGGTGCCAACAAGAAAGTTATTACTTAATTAAAAGAACAATTAACAATGTAATTTGTCAGAGAGAAAAACAATTAGATATAAATTCAAGATTAAGATCTCAAAAATTACAGAACTTTTATCATGCATCAAGTTTGATAAACGCCATTTTGGTCGATAATTAGGCACGAGCGAAGCTTTATCAAACTCGATACATAATATATAACATACTATTATCTCATAGTTGACGAAACACGATAAATAATTGCGTTATCTTATCAAGGTGGGCTTGTTTTACTGTCTTGATTTGTTTAAATATTAAGTTACATTATTTTTAAGCTTATCTCAGTATTCTTTTGTTTATTGTATAATATAATGGTAAATCATAACAATTACATACTAAACAAACACTCAAAACCGAGAAAATATGTTTCCATCTTCAATTAATTTTATTAAACTCTTTTAAAACAACTTCAATAATACAAGTTTAAACTAAATTTTTGTTGTGGATTTTAATATATTAATAAATTTGAATCAATGACATACTTGAATGACGGAGTAAAATGACTGATAATTCATATCATTTCATGTCCTTTACCTCTTTTTATCATTTTTTGGGGTCAACAATTTTTTATCATTACATGTAAATTATTCGCTATATATTTTCTAAATTCGTACTTGAACTTTGTATCATTACATGCATTCAGAATTTCGCGCGTATTATCTAAAAAAACGATTCTATGTTTACTTTTAAAATTTTTATACATTCAGTAACTGGGGGTCATAAATCATATTTGTTTGCTACCATTAATATAATTTATAGCTACTTATGTATACGCAAAGATAACGCAATTTTTAAATATTTTTACATTATTTTTTGGTAGGAAATTATATAAAAGTAAGTACAGACCAGTGGGCCAACGTACAGACTTAAAGTAACCAGAAAAAAACTAAAACAGTGTGCTAGACAAAAACAACAAAAATAAAGAGTAGGTACAGTAATATTTATTATTGATAATTTACTTGTTGTGAAAAATCTAGTAGTCTTTAAAAATAGCATCAATTTGGTTTGAAAAAGATAAGCAATAATCACGAAACTTTTTCTTCTTTCAATTCGCAAGTTACTCACCATTAATAGTCCTTGACAATATATACGAGGTGTGTTCAGAAAATAACGGAAATTGTTAAATTTCGCGGGTTCAGAGGGTCCGGTTGTCATAAAATTTTCTTTATTATGTTGGTATACATGCCCCCGAAGTATGATAAAAACTTTAGCTGTTTTCATTGTTTACTTGTCTGTGGCAGCCGCTAAGGTTAGACGTGTTTTATGAGCTCGGCGATTTTTCGTTCGTTAAAAGAAATGGATCAAAGAACTTAATTAATTGCACGAATTCAACTTGACTCCACCAAACCCCTAAATTTGCAACGTTGCCGCAGTTCAGATAAAAAATTGACTTTATGAATAATCAAATTTAAGGTTAGGACTCGCTGTTATGTTAAGGCATAGACACCTAATATTTGTATATTTTTGACGTTTTTGTTATGTTTTTTTTCAGACCGAGTCGATGAGTCCAAACAACGACGAGGCGTCGAGTCAAGATCTAAGCCAAAGTGGTGGGGAGCAGCCGAACACTTTCCCCGACTTCCCCGTTTATAACATGGTATACCCCGGTTACTACATCAACGGATTGTGTCCCCCTCAAGGTAAACAATAATGTGACACCCTGTATTTTCGGTGAGGAAATTTTTAGAAACTGGCTTCGTTTTAAATTAAATTTGGATACTGAGCTTATATGACCAGTCATATTGCCCGAAAGGTTGAATGGCCGCAAGATTTCCAGATTTTATCCCGCTCGATTTTTGGGGGGGGTCAAATAAACAAGATTTTATAAACAGCATAGCACATAGCACACAAACTTATTTTATCGTTAACATACTTTTTATATACAGTGCTTGCAAATCCAAGTCCGACCACACTGGAAAGGACGGCTGTTCAATACCCGCGTGAAAAGAACAAGGATAGAACGCCAAATAGAATTTGATTGGCCAGAGCCGGCTGCCGGATGCGTGCGAATTGTAAGCGAGGTCAACTCTCAGTCTGGCTGCATTTAGACTAAATGATTTAGTGTCAAGCAAACTGCGTAAGAGTGTAGATGCACATTTTAATTTTCTTTTTAAATATTTTATAGGTACCCGAATCCTAAAAATAAAATTTTTTGATTTTTTCCTTGAGAACTAGGGCAACAACAAAAATAGTATTCTTAATAAAAAAGATTTCTCAAATAAAAAATAATTCTGAATAAAAATAACTAGGTATAAATAAAAATAAAACTCTAAATAAAAATAAAATCTGAAAAAATTTGGGGTAATACACTAGACCAAGGCCTATCCATTTCGGCAATAAAATTCACCAAAAATGTCAAGCCTCACTTGGAAAATCCATATCTTTGGAAAAAAACACCTTTTTTTTTGGAAAAATTTGAAAAAAAAGAAGTTCGCCTCACACTAAAAATCTGAAAAAATTTGGGGGTAATACACTAGACCAAGGCCTATCCATTTCGGCAATAAAATTCACCAAAAATGTCAAGCCTCACTTGGAAAATCCATATATTTGGAAAAAAACACCTTTTTTTTTGGGAAAAAATTTGAAAAAAAAGAAGTTCGCCTCATACTAAAAATCTGAAAAAATTTGGGGTAGTAGACAAGATCAAGGCCTATCAGTTTCCGCAATAAAATTCACCAAAAATGTCAAGGCTCACTTGGAAAATCCATATCTTTGGAAAAAAACACCTTTTTTTTTGGAAAATTTTGAAAAAAAAGATGTTCGCCTCATTTTAAAAATCTGAAAAAATTTGGGGTAGTATACAAGATCAAGGCCTATCAGTTTCCGCAATAAAATTCACCAAAAATGTCAAGGCTCACTTGGAAAATCCATATCTTTGGAAAAAAACACCTTTTTTTTTGGGAAAAATTTGAAAAAAAAGATGTTCGCCTCATTTTAAAAATCTGAAAAAATTTGGGGTAATACACTAGACCAAGGCCTATCCATTTCGGCAATAAAATTCACCAAAAATGTCAAGCCTCACTTGGAAAATCCATATCTTTGGAAAAAAACACCTTTTTTTTTGGAAAAATTTGAAAAAAAAGAAGTTCGCCTCATACTAAAAATCTGAAAAAATTTGGGGTAGTAGACAAGATCAAGGCCTATCAGTTTCCGCAATAAAATTCACCAAAAATGTCAAGGCTCACTTGGAAAATCCATATCTTTGGAAAAAAACACCTTTTTTTTTGGAAAATTTTGAAAAAAAAGAAGTTCGCCTCACACTAAAAATCTGAAAAAATTTGGGGTAGTAGACAAGATCAAGGCCTATCCATTTCGGCAATAAAATTCACCAAAAAGGTCAGGATAACCGAACTCCTAAACGGTACAGCAAATGTGCGTGGGAATTTTTATAATAGGTTAGGCTATTGTTTGGCTGCCTATGGGGGCTTGTTCGAACATTTAATTTAATTTTTGAGTTTATTTATTTTTATTATTTATTTTTAGAGTTTTATTTTTATTTAGAGTTTTATTTTTATTTATACCTAGTTATTTTTATTCAGAATTATTTTTTATTTGAGAAATCTTGTTTATTAAGAATACTATTTTTGTTGTTGCCCTAGTTCTCAAGGAAAAAATCAAAAAATTTTATTTTTAGGATTCGGGTACCTATAAAATATTTAAAAAGAAAATTAAAATGTGCATCTACACTCTTACGCAGTTTGCTTGACACTAAATCATTTAGTCTAAATGCAGCCAGACTGAGAGTTGACCTCGCTTACAATTCGCACGCATCCGGCAGCCGGCTCTGGCCAATCAAATTCTATTTGGCGTTCTATCCTTGTTCTTTTCACGCGGGTATTGAACAGCCGTCCTTTCCAGTGCGGTCGGAGTTGATATTGCAAGCACTGTACAGAAAAAATCGTTACGAAACGTCATCGTACGACGATAATCACTTGCGTGACATTTAATCGCGTCCTCCGCGACATAACAAAAGATTAACGCCTCCTAGGGTAGTATTATATGCACCGTGTGCACTATTTGGCAGGTTGCCAAAACTTCCAGGACGTCATTGCACGGCGTCTCCAATATTGTTTTTATTATATCGATACAAAACTGAGGTGCCCTCATCTAAATCCTAAACATCTTCAAGCAAATTTAGCATAACATTGGTTTTTCCACAGTTAGAGGGGCCTATTATTATGGATCTAATTGTACTAGGCAGCAAAATTCCATGCCTACGCAGTTTATTAATATTTTTGATTTTTATTTGCATCTTCTTACATAAATAAACCACTATTTATAAATTAATTAGTTTAATAAAATCAATAGATTAGGAAATATCAAATTTGATAAATAAGTAAACATAAAAGAATGCACTCATTTGTTAAAAACAATTAATAAATAAATTACCCTTTGAGGCGCATTTACCGGGATATAGATTTTGTGGCCCGGGAACTAAGCTTAATAAACGATTAGCACGAAACGTTTAAAGGGTCATTTGTTCAACCAAAGTATAAATTTTTATGTATTTTGAAATAATATTTCGGGTGTTTCAAGATTCTGCCTCTACGTCCTGACCATTGTTACATTTATTTGAAATTCAGCGAATTTTCTTAGGGAAACATTTCTAAAAATTACAGGCTTCCAAAAGTATAGTATTTACTAATCATCTACCACATAATCACTGTCACATAACGTTTTACTATTTTTTTTATAAAATTTCACTTCATGGTTCTGTTTCGGGTGTTACATGTACAAAAATTAAACACTTTATATGGACGAAAACGGTGTTTTATTAGTCTCTAGGTACTACAAAATAAGTTAGTAACAAATAAACATAAATAGAATGAATTCTCCTTAAACATAACTTAAGCAGCTTCGGGTGCGATTGATAAATCGAAAAAAAGGTAAAATCGTTGTTATTGCAAAAAATCTCTTAAAATGAATTAGTCAAAAATAACTAATTATAAGTCATATTTGACTAATTGTCATAGCGAAAAAGCAGTCACAAATAATTAGTCAAATTCTACTGAATGAAATAGTAAAATTAGTAGATTTAAATTTAAAAAAAGTTTTAACACAGCCAGGGATTAAACTCGGGTCTGTCACTTGTCAAGCTTGTCAAGCTGTTGTCATAACCCATTCGGCTATCAGGCGCTCTTATAAAAATATTATTTGTCAATAAATATTGTTCATAGTATTTTAAATTTGAATATATTATTTGTGTTGCTGTTTTGAGCTAAACTTTTTGCATCTTTATTTGTTTTTATGGGTCATTTAATTAACCATGGAGCTAAGGTATATGCATTTAATTTGCATTTAATTCAAATAATACTTTTTTGTTGGTCGCAAACGATTAAAGAAATTAGTTACTTTTAGTCAAAGATGGTGACTAATCTTAAATTAGTCAAACTTTAACTATTTACTTAGTAAAAAACAACTATTTAAAAGTGAAAACGACTATTTTATTAGTAAAAAATTCTGGTACTAATTCAAATAGTAGAATTTTGACTATTTCATTTTTAGAGAGCAAGTATTCGGTATTTTGGTAGGTCCGTTGCCATTTAGGTAGAAATACCGAAATTTCGGTAGGTTCGACAACACCATCGGAAAAGCAGTCGCACCAATTTAAAAGAGGTGTGACTGCTTTTCCGATGGCGGCGCTAGTGGGCCGTCGAAAGAGCCTTAAGCCTGAATTATAGATTGCCTTCCTTCCTTCCTCCCGTAGTCGTGCCCGTACGATTTGTGCGTCTTATAAAAACTCAATTTATAGATTTCCGTGTAAAATTCCGTAACCATGCGCGATGACACCTAAAATGGTTGACATTTGTTTTTGTTTATATTCTGCGTTTTACCCATTGTGTGTAAATATGAAAGATAATCATTTATAAATATATATATATTAGTGCAGTGATCACAATTTTAATTGCCCAGGCAGCTTGTTGTATACTGCCCAACTATGGAGAAAGGCAGTAACTGCTAAACAAGAAATTTGTGGGAAATTAGCATAAACTACATTTTTATAAAAAGTATTAGGTATTTAACTGATTTATTTCACTTAAAAGATAGTTTACTGCATTTCTTTGTTGAATTAAGATACAAAATGTCCATAGCTTTATCATAGCACAAGAAAACGCATTTGTAATTACTGCCTTTCTCCATAGTAGGGCAGTATAATGAAAAAAAACACCGAACAAGACGTTGGAAGACTCGCCCACTTTACCAAGACCGGGAAACTACGGGGTTTTACATAGCAACGTTTCTAAAAATGAAAGACATTGATCATAAACAATATCTAAATATCCTATTGAGAGACACAAATTATTTAATAAACTGAACACCTATGTTAAATAATACTAAACAATCATGTATTTTAAATATTTTGTGCCTACGCGCTGTCACCCTACAGCGCATGTCCATAACAAGCACTGTGATTGGTCATGTCAAAGACCTTTACGGTGAAAGATAAAACTTAAAAATTTCCACGGGAGGAAGGAATGCCGTCCTTACGGTACGGGAATCTATAACTGGCACTACGATTTAAATAAACATTTTTGACGTTATTGTCACCATTAACATTGCCCGTTATTAATTTTAATTATACTTAACAATTATTAATACTTCAAAATATTATCACAAAGTATTAAAAATTCCTACACGGGAAATGTTAATGGTGACAATTACGTAATGTTCATCTTCTACGGGAGGAATGAAGGAAGGAAGGCAATCTATAATTTAGGCTTTACGCGTTTCTTTTAGTTTTTTTGCGCATTATAATGTTTGGTTCGCCTGGTATTTAATTGTTTTGACACGAAGCGAAAAATGTCACATCACTGACGTTTTTTTCTTATTTTCAGAAATCGTGAATGGTCATTGTCACACGACGTCGACGACGGCAGCGGACGTGCGCCGCATGAAGAAGAGACGTCGCAGAAAGACCTCCAAGGACCGCGAGAGCACGTCCGAATACAGCGAGGAATCCTCCGAGGAAGAAAACAAAGCGGAAGAATCGAGCACTTCCACCGCTTGCACTTCACCAAACTCCGAGCTATCAAAGACGGAGGAAGTGGAAGTAAAAACTGAGGAAACAAGCGACAAAAGACTGAAGAAAGAGCTTAAATACGACTTGAAACCGGACGCCGAAGAGTTCGTCCCGCGCGCCTACAGACAGCCAGAGTTTCACCACATACCCGGCGTGCCAGGTGTTCCGTACGTAAAACTGGTCAACGTTCCTATACACATGTTACCAAACCCAGCATTTATACCCGTCAGTTACCCCATGAGCTACATGCCGCCGTTTGTGCACCACCACAAAAACGAAGAAATCGAAAGCGATGAAAGGTGCCCGAAAATCGAAGAAATAGAAGTCGCACAAGAACGCCAGATTGATCTCAATCAAATCGTGTCCAAGCTTGAAGAAGCCAAAAAGGAGCGCGAAGAAACTAAAGAAACCGAAAAACCCCAAGTAACAACACCCAACAAACCTCCATACCGTAACAACAACAACAAATACAAAAAACAACCATACTACCAAAGAACAAAAGAAGAAAAGCAAGACTCCTACGAATCTTCACCAAGAAGATCCCGAACCAACTATAACTACAAAGCATCACCAAAACATCGTCAAAATTACTCAGAAATGCTTAAAAAAGAAACAACCGCACCAACATTAACTCAATCTTCTATAAAAACGGAAGAATCGCCCAAAAAAGAATCTCCAACACACTCGCAGAAATCGAACCAGTGGATTTCGGTGTCCAGCAAGAAGAAACGCAAGAATAAGGCAATCGAAGAAATCGAAGATTTCCCGGAAGAAACCATCGAAATCACCGAGGAAGAAGAAGTCAAAGAACAAGATCAGTTCGAAACGTACGACGTAAACGACTTGGTCGACGTGGTGCCGCCTTCGAAAATTGAAGAAGAAGAAACGATCGTTATACAACTTGAAGAAATCGACAATCAAATACCCGACGAAGAAACTGTCGAGGTTGTAAATATCGTCGAAGCAAAGAACGAAGAAGAAGAAGAAGAGGTGAAGATAACCAAAAAGAAATCGAAGAAAGGCACTCAAAAACCGCTGACCAAAAGGGTGATAATAACGGACGTGGATTTGTCTCAAACGGAAAGCAAAGTTGAAGAAACGAAGAAGAAGGAAGAAGAAAAGATTGCGGAGGTCGCGAAAAAAGAAGAAACCGCGGTGAAGAAGGGCAAAAAGAAGAAGAAGAAGACCCCCAAAGTTGCAGTGGAAGACGTCGACGTGACCAATCGAAACGAAGATTCCTACGATTTTCTGCCATCGATTGAAGAAGACAAGACTAACGTCGACGTTTACCAGGAGCTGGACAAAATGATTCAGAAGGGGATGTACAACAACTTGGAGACCAAAATGAAGTCGATGAACGTGGAAAAGAGCGAAGATTTTTTCAAGAGCGTCATCGGAAGCATAGGCAGCAATAAGGAAGAAAAGACAGCGTTCAATAAGGCGCCCGATTTCACGAGAATCCTCCAAAGTACCAGAAAGTTGTACACTAATCCGGTAAGTTTAGATCACCACAGTAGCCATAAAAAACCACCATCTAAACCCTCTTCTTCTTCTTCTGCTTCAGACGGATCTTTATCCGATACGGCAAGTGGATTTTTTCTAGACAACCCGCAAGTCGAATCCATGCTCACAACACCGAAAAGTACTGAACACACTGCCAAAATTGAAGATAATTCTTCAATCCACCCCATCACCGACGCGGTCAGAACGTGGATCAAAGAGACCCGCGAGAAAACTCCAGAGGTGGAAATCTTCAAAGATTTTGAGGAAGTCGTTCTGTTCTCCAAAGAAGAAGACTTTTGGGAGGACGATCTAGTGTTGTGTTGTGAAGATAAAAAACAATCGAGTGAAGAAGAAATTGAAGATCCATCGAAAATCGAAGAAACTTCTTCGATAGAAGAAGTGCCTGTTTACGAGAGCAATTACGGCAAAAACGAAGATTATCTTAAGATCAAGGAAGAAATTCACAGATCCTTGAAACACGGGGGTCTGCCCTACCGCGCCATCTGTTGCGAGTTGATGTAAACAATGCTGCTAAATTGAGTTTTGCTTCCCCCTTAATAATTATTAAGCAGTGCATCAAAAACATGTGCTATTCTTCATTAAGAAATCAAATCAAATTTACAGTAAGTACATGTTTTTCGAGCACACTGTATAATATAAATTAAATTAATTATAATGTACTTAATTGTTGCCTGTTGATAAATTTTACCACGTTGTATAAAATAAATATCGTTCAATAAGTACAAAAAATAACAATTTTCGTAAAAGTATTTTTTGTTATATCGGATATTAATATTATATCAATTGTTATATACTTGGCAATTAAGTAGGCCTAGGCAAGTGAAAATAGACTGATGTGCACTGATATTGTTGGAGAGTGTCAAGTAATTAATTAAGCACCCTCAATTGATTAATTACTGAATTAGCGGTAGCTGTTTTTTGTTTTATTATTTTTATTGTTGTTGTTACGATCGGAGCAGGCAGTTGTTACGTTGTTACACGCTCAATTGTCAATATTTTTCATAGCCTGCTCTTGCATTGATTATTAATTTTTTTGTTTTATTTGGATGTTTTTTTATTCAAGAAAAGGTGTTTAAACAATGTTTTACAATTTTATTAAATTAAATCATACAAACAAAATCTATAAATATCAATAAACATCATTGCTTGAATTAAAAAAAAAACACTTTTACTTATAGAGAATATAACTTGTAGGTTTAGCCACAATTTGCTCATTTAACAAAATTAATTTTACGTTTTAGTGGTAGGTTTTAGGCAAGTTTAATTTTAATTTAATTGTATGGCTTCATTATAAAATAAATAAAATTTGCTGGGATCGATTAGGATGTTACTCGATTTGTTAGGAAAAGACAATACTGTAAAAGACCTTGCGGCACTTTTTTTTCGTTTATTAGGTAGATTAAACATAATAAAAAAGACATTGGGTGCATGCGATAATAGATAAGCTGGTTTGTGCATGTTTTTTTGTTTGTTACATGATTATTACTTAATTTTGTTGTTACATTGTTATTTTTTGAGATTTGTGCCTTCGCGATACTTTATAAATAAAGGAAAATAACTAAAAACATTGTTTTACTCACTAAACCCCAAAGAAATTGATAAAACTTACCAATATCTACAAACGTTGAAGGGAAACCACAGAAACTACACTTATCACAACTAAGAACACTTTGTTGACAATTTGAGATATAATAATCTCTTTTAGATTCTTTCTTTGCATTAAAAAAAACATTAGATATGTAAGCAAGATCACAGACCTTTTACTTTTTATTTTTCTGTGTAGGTATTTTGACATTAAATTTTAAACTTAACAGTTTTGCCAACCTTTTTCCCCCAGTTCTAGGGACTTTCGGAAATTTTTAAAACATTTGTTTTATTCATGTTGTCTTAAATATTCATAGCACATTTAATTTATGATGTTTGTTTTATTTGTTCAGTAATTTAAATAAAAACATTTTTATTTATACTCTTTTGTAGGTACAAACTGGGAATTTTGTGAAGCAAATTCAGGAACTTTTAAGTTGGCAACGCCACTTAAAATTTCACAACATAACCTACATAAATATTTATCGTTTTTCGACAAAATGTAACTAATAAATTAAAGTAATTTAATAAAATGAAGTCGCGAATAACTCCCATAGATTTTATACGTAAAAATTGGCTTCTAGTGGGCATACTATTTTGTATTATCGTAGCTGCTATATTCCCTCACTTGGGTTCAAAAGAAGGCAAGCAAATACTTACATTACAATTTAAATATTTCAACAGTGCTTTTTAGGGCCTATGAGAACGGAATTCACAGTGAAATATGTCGCTGTGTTTGTAATATTTCTAATTAGCGGACTTAATATTAAAACGGACAGTATTTTTAACACATTTCGTCAGTATAAATTGCATTTATTTATACAATGTTTTACATTTATATTTGTTCCTTATATTACCACGGTTTTTATCAAGTTTTTGAATTTGTTCAGCATTAATTCATGGGTTTTAAAAGGGTGAGTTCACATTCTCTATATATAGAAAGCAATAAACCAATAACATCTAGTGTGCTGTGTACTTTTTATAGAAAGTTGATTGTATTGGCCAATCCGGGCACAGCATTTTACACAGCACACTAGATTGACGGATAATGCAGTGCTATGATTGGTTTGTGGCTTTCTAGTACATGTTTTTTAGATTAATAACTGTAGCTTGTATGCCTCCACCAGTATCCAGTGCTGTTATCCTAACAAGAGCTGCACAAGGCAACGAAACAGCTTCAATTTTTAACTCGGTACTTGGAAGCTTTTTAGGCATTCTACTTACACCTTTACATCTTCTAAACCAAGTAAATTACTTTAATTTTGTATGCTGTATCTAATCCGCAGATATATAATTCTACCAGAGCTATTTTATGGGTGGTGTGAAACTAACAAATGAATGTTTTTAGTTGGGTTCAACTACAATTATACCCATTTGGGCAACAGTTGTTCAGTTATCGACCACTGTTTTGTTACCTTTATCAATAGGTCAGATTGCCTTGCAAATGGGTTTTAAAGGACGAAAATGGCCTTTAAACACTGTAAGTCAGTGTGCGTTACTTTTTGTGATTTATACAACTTTCTGCGATACTTTTACCACACCAGAGGCCGGATTAAGTGCTCTTGATGTTATAATTACGGTTTTTTCGGGTAATTATGACTTTATTTTAATAATAGTTTAGGTTTTAGACAAGATTATGTCTATGGTACAGTTATTTTGATTTTTTACATCGTAAAAATTCCGAACTGACGGTTCCTGCTCGGGCGCCAATTTTGACAATTGTTTTATCTCTGACGAAAAAATTGCCAAGACAAAAAATTTAGAGATTAACGTGTCAAACATATTTGTTTACAGGCGAAACTTTCTGTATTTAGTTATAGAAAAGATAGAGGGCGCCCTCTAAAATTTGTTGAAACTAAAATTGCTAAATAAAAAAGTTGAAGAAATCGAAAATATCTACAAAAAATATAGAACGTTTTTTTTATTTCATCAACCGTCTGAAATTTTTTAGTTGTTTTTATTAATAATTAATTATTTTTTAGTACTTATGCTTCAAATATTCCTTATGATAATCAGCTTCAAAGTTTGTGGGTTTGTTAGTAAAGATTTTACGCCACAGGATAAAGTTGCTGTGGTGTTTTGTTCAACACATAAGTCCCTTACTTTGGGTAAGTTAAAAATATAACACCCTGTACACTTACGATGTTTAAACACTTTATTTATGTTCAAGGCATTCCAATACTACGAATTATGTTCCATGGTTATTCCCACTTGAGTCAAATCAGCTTACCATTGTTGGTATACCATCCAACTCAAATTATTTTGGGAGGACTGGTGGTCCCCCAATTAAAAGATTGGGTGCACTCCCAAAGAAAATATAAGGCTTTGGTTTAGCAAGTTATGTTACTTTTATAACTTAAAAAAATACATTACATTATTGAAATATATTGCTTTTAATTAGAGGTTTTATTAGAGGTGGGACAACACAAAATTTGTGGCTATGAAGGTATCATTTTGTGAAATGACCTTAATTTTATTTTTTCACTGTCACTGTCAGTGTTTTGGTTTTTTAGGTTCAGGAGAAATGTTCATTAATTTTTTTGTGTGGGACAAATATACCTACCTTTTCTTTTTGTCATTTTTTAACGCGACTTAATAAATAAGTTAATACAAGGTTGATGGTGATATACTTTACTTTTTTTAAACAAGTTAAAATAATTATTTTATTAATATTAATAATAATTATTTTAACAAAATTATTTAATTAGAAATATTTGAATGTTTCGCGCATACTAAAAATCACTGCAACACTGCACAGAATCTAACGGCGGCCATTTTTATGTCTATACAGATAAAAAAAATCGTTTTAAACGTTGTGTTTCTTACAGAGGCACTTGTAAGCCTCAAATGAGGCCTTTAAGTGCTAAGACCAACCATTTTAAACCTTATTCTATCAGGGATGTCGTCAAACTATCAAATTTAAATTTGTGGGTTATGGTAAATTAACCTTAAAATTTAAATTTTGACAGTTTAATGGCAGCCCTGATAGAATAAGGTTTATTTTTACCAAAAGAGGAATTCTTAGCACTTTTAGGCTTACAAGCGCCTCTTTAAGAAACACAACGTTTAAAACGATTATTAATCTGTATTAGGGCCACCAATTTTCCCTTAAAAAGAATGTCACAAGTTAAAACTAACCTAAAAACTAAAACACTGACAGTGAAAATGTCAAACATATAATTAAGGTCATTTTACACTAAGATTTTATATAGAATTTCTAATATTAAGCTGCACATTAAAGTTCTCCCACCTCTGCTAAAACACGCCTGTAATTGGCTACCTTATCACTTACTTACCTGTATAACAAGGCCCTATTATAGGGCTATATCGTATTTTGGTTTTAAATAAACTATAGAAAAGGATATAATAAACGCAATTTCAATCAACATATTTATTGTTACTTATACAATTTTTACATAAAACATTTAGGTATTATTTAGTATTCTTCCGATATTGACTTGGTTCAATCTGTTCAAAGGGATATGCTGGCTTGTTAGTTGGCCTGTTAGCAGGTCGAATCTTACTACCATCCCTGTGCCTTCTTTTGTTGTGGGGCTTGGCAAATGGGCAGCGCCTCCTGCCGCAAGGATTGCCCTCAGTGCAAGGCCAAGGGCAAGGGTACTTTTTAGGACAGTCGATTTTTCCTGCAAATAAATACTGATTACAGTCTATTCATTTAACAGACGGAGCAGATAAAAATGCAAAGGCGCTTTATGTATTATTTCATCCCCTTTTTCCCTGTGGAAATTTTTCTCTAAAAAGTTTTAATAAGTAAAAATAAGAGTTTTGAAAGTCTTACTTTCTCTCAAAAAGTCAGAATAAGATTTGAGTCTTCTGGAAGAGTTAATAGAGATGTTGTTTATTGCAAAAGGAAACACAAAGAAAATTATTTATAAATATTGTTTTTGTGTTGTTATAAGGCTTATAACATAGCGGAAGCAATATTTACAATATAGGTAAGCTAAGTTTATTTTAATTCATCACAATAAAACAGATGAGACAAAAGTTTGGTTTGTGAATATACAGATCCCTTGTAGATTACATAAGGTGTAATAACTATTATATGTAGTTTTTCGCAACAAAATTTAACATTTCATTTCAAATTTCATTTTGGTTTTAGATAATCACATGCGTCGTGGCATTTTTATTTACTCTCTCTGTTAAATTAATAGACTTTGGATAAAAATTATTTTATTTTTTGTTGTCTTACTGTCATAGCTTTTTGTGTCGCACAATATCTGAAAAAAAAAAAATTAATTTGAATTTTTAATTAATACGATAAGGTGTAGTGGGTTAAGTGTGCGCAGCGGGTAAAAGTGCGCATACAGTTTTCTCACAAAATTTAATTTGAATTTTTAATAAATACGATAAGGTGTAGTGGGTTAAGTGTTCGCAGCGGGTAAAAGTGCGCATACAGTTTTCTCACAAAATTTAATTATTTTATTGTATTCTTTTAAATAAAAAAAAAAAATTTTTTAATTTGTGGGTTATGACTTGATTTGTTGCGTTTGCAGTGTTAATAATAGAGATAATATCGTAAAGAAAAAAACAAAATGTAGAAAATTTAAAGATCTACATTAATATTTTCAAAACTTTTTTTGCCCGACCAATGGGAAACGAGGCGAAGCGATTTTCTTTTAAAAATGGCGCCCGAGCAGGCACACGAGAATTTATCTAAATACAGGTATAAAATATTTTGACCGACATGAACAAACCTTTATTGTTCGGTAGGGTGGTAATATGGGTAAGTGATTGGCTTTCGTGAATACGGTCCCTTCCTCTTCTTCATTTTGGTCGGACACTTGACGGAACACGGTTTCGGACACTTAAGGCACGGCGCCTGATCCGGACAATTTTTAGGACACTCCCTTCTGAACCTTTTCACGCACTGAATCTGCAACAAGGGAAGATGACGGTTTTTATGTGTAAATAAAAAATTGCGGGGAAAATAACTCTAGAATTAAATAATAACAAGTTTGACATTTATCTTCACAAGTCATCTTCCCCCATTTGCTTTAAATAACCCCATAAATATATATACAAACCTCCGGATGGAAGTTGGATTGACCATCAGCAACATCTACCAGAGATTTCTCAATATTATCGGTCAAAATCATGTCCAAGCTTCCCAAATCGTAGTAACCGTGTTTCAAATCTCTAGGTTTGTATTTTTTCGGGCAATTGCTTTTCCTGCTCTTAGGGCAACATCCGCTCTCTCTAATCTTGTTCGGGCATTTGCGAGGAACCTGCACAGCGTCCTGAAAAATACAATAATTATTAGAAAATTTACACAAGTCATTGAAAAATTACCTTCCAGAATACAACGGGTACCATATGGTACACCACTCTTCCAAAAGCAATATTTTACTATAGTCTCAAATTTTTTACTTCTTATGTACTTAAGTGTATTTTGGATTGAAATGTTATTTTTTTACCGTTTTACCTCTTTTCCTATTAAATCTGATGAATTTTGAAAGAAAACATTTCCAATCTGTCAACCGTTTTGTCACAGATTGCGTCACAGTCCCGAAAAAATTGTGTATTTTCTTCTTAGTTTGCGACTAACCCACCCGAAACAAAAAATCATGTAATTGTTTTATTATTATACCTTACAGATTGATTGGTGTAATAATATTTAGCAAAAGTAACGTTATGGTGGTAATGATTTAAAATACTAATATCTGAGCATGAGACTAATTTTTTTAGTTAAAAACTGTTTAAGGAGAATTCATTCTATTTGTGTTTATTTGTTACTAATGTTTTGTAGTACCTAAAGACTAATAAAACACCGATTTTGTCCAATAAATTGTTGTGATATCTTTTACAATAACCAAATACAACATCATCTTTTATTGTTTTTGTCCTACCAACGAGGTAAAACGATTTAAGAGATATAACATCCAAAATACTGCCCAATTAAAATTAAAAAAATTGCCACCCTTATCCCGAAAATAAACACAGTTTTTATATAGATATTTTTTATTATAGCACCACAGTTATATATAAGTTTTTTTAATTTATTCAAATATAAAAATTTACTCCTCTTTTTTATATGGGTGTTCGTATTCTGGCGGTAAATCGCACTTATCATAGTCTAGCGGATCAGGAAGAGATATGCGAATTTTCTTGCGTATTCTTTTGCCTTTCTTCTCCCTTGCGGAACAGCAGGGGTCTATATACACATTTTCCTGAAATGCAAGACAGATTGCAATATTTTTGCGGATACGGATACGGAGCTCGGAATTGTAGTAGTGCAGAAAGCACTGTGGATTTTCTATAAAACAAATCAAAGCACATGAAAAACAAACACGTATATTCATAAAATTTCGCTTATAACATTATTTTCTTTTTTTGTACGGGTGTTCGTGATCGGGAGGAAGGTCACATTGATCATAGTTGATCGGTTCTGGCACGTAAACTGCCCTGATTTTACGGTGCTTCTTCCTTCTACCGCAGCAAGGGTTTACGACCACGTCCTCCTGAAATAAAAAATAACAAAATAGAAAAACAGTGAAATTGCAAATTAATATAATGGCAAGTTTTCAGTCTGGGTCTAGACAAGTAAAACAAGCTTTCCACAGATTCTACTTTTATTGGAAATTAGGTGCGATTCGTGAAATCAGAAATTGGATGAAAAAGTCGAGGTTGAAAATTCAGATTCATCTCGGGAATAGTGGGGGAAGTCCAGGGATAATGTCGCCAGATAGAGAGTTAAATGTCCTTCAAAATTGATAGCAAAGCAATATAAAGGCTCCAATGACAATGGCAAGTGGGTGATTTCGCACCTTTTTGGTCTGAGTCTGCTCATTTGGAGGAAATACAAAAAACTACATTTATAGTAGACAAGTAAAACAAGACGAAGATTTTGTAAAGCTTTCCATAGATTCTACTTTTATTGGAAATTCTTAGATTTAGAAATGGGATGGAAAAGTTGAGGTTGAATAGTTGGGGGAATCCCAGGGATGATAAATCTCTCTTGTATGTCTGTATTTAACGTTTATTGGTACTTACTTTTTTCAATCACATTTAAACATTTAGTATTGTCTTCCGGGGCCGTAAGGATCGTCACCACCCGGAGTATAAACGGTGTTCTTGCACCTCCGGATGATTTTGCCCTTGCCTTTGCCGCCATGGACCCTGGGCTTCCACCCCCTGTGGTACTTGACCTTGAGGGGGCAGTCGCACGGGTCCTCGAATTTTTTCTTCGTCGCCGCGTCCGGACAGTAGTTCGGACACTTTGGCGGACACGATCCCGGACACATGGGCGCGGGGTAGTCGTCCGGGTTGGGGTACTGTTTCGGAATCTTCCTCTTTTTGGGAGGGGGGCACTCGCGGTCGCACATGCGCACAAGCTGCAAAACGAAAAATACCTCTTGGTCAAGTCTAGTTATTTAGTCTAAATGTCTAGTTATTGGACAGCATCACCAAGAAATATTTCACCTTTTGCAGCTTAAAGCAACGTTTCAACGGAAAAGAAGTACAGCAAATTATTTTTATGCAACTGGAGTGAATATTTTCGAAAGCTTACCGAAATAATTTGCTGTAAATCCAATGGTAGACATACAAGAGAGATTTGAGACAAAAAAAATAATAAAATATTTCTTTCCAGTTGCATACAATAACTAGACATGGACCACGACATAAAAATTAAATGATAATTTTCAATTTACACTGACGTAAATAACAAAAAAAAATGTTATAATAAATTTTGGATAAAGATAAAGAATAAAAATTTTTAAAATTCCTAATTTAAATTTATATTTATTTTTATATTTTGTAATTCTGTGGTTTAGGAAATTTTAAGAATTTTGTAAATTTTAAGAATCTTGGAAAACTTAAAAACGTTTTGTAAATTTTAAAAATTTTATGACTTTTGTAAATTTTAAATTTTTTATAAATTTAGGAAATTTTAAGATTTTTAAAATTCCCAAAGTTTTTTTAGAATTAAATTTAATTTTAAACATTTTTAAAATTAAATTTTATTCTAAAAAATTTTGGGAATTTTAAAAATCTTAAAATTTCCTAAATTTATAAAAAATTTAAAATTTGCAAAAGTCATAAAATTTCCTAAACCAGTGTTAAGATTTTTAACATTATTAAAATAACAAAATATTCAATTTTTTAAATTCTTAAAAACTTAAAAATTCTGTGGTTCAGGAAATTTTAAATATTTTTTAGATTTTTAAAATTCTTAAAATTTAAATAAATTTAAAATTTCATGGATTTTAGAATTTTTTAGAATTAAAATTAAAAAAATCCGATAATATTGAACATTTTGTAATTTTATTAATTTTAAGAATGTTAAAAATCTTGAAAGCCTAAAAATTCAGTAAAGTTTAAGAATTTTGTAAATTTTAAGAATCTTGGAAAACTTGAAAACGTTTTGAAAGTTTTGTAAATTTTATAAATTTTTAAATACTTTCTAGATTTTTATATGTCTTAAAATATAAATAAATTTAAAATTTCATGAATTTTAAAATTTTTAGAATTAAAATTTAAAAAAATTGAATATTTTGTAATTTAGTTATTTTAAAAATGTTAAAAACTTAAAAATTCTGTGGTTTAGAAAATTTTAAGACTTGTAAATTTTAAGAATCTTGGAAAACTTGAAAACGTTTTGAAAGTTTTGTAAATTTAAAAAATTTTTAATACCTACTTTCTAAATTTTTAAAATATAAATAAATTTAAAATTTCATGAATTTTGAAATTTTTTAGAATTAAAAAAAAATGAATATTTTTTAATTTTGTTATTTTAAAAATGTTAAAAATCTTAAAAAGTTTAGGAAATTTTAAGACTTGTAAATTTTAATAATCTTGGAAAACTAAAGAACGTTTTAAAAGTTGTTAATTTTAAAATTTTTATAAATTTTGGATGAAGATAAAGAATAAAGATTTTTAAAATTCCCAAAATTTAAAATTTCATAAATTTTGAAATTTTTTAGAATCAAAATTTAAAAAATTTAAATATTTTGTAATTTTGTTACTTTAAAAATGTTAAAAATCTTTAAAAAAATTGTGGTTTGGGAAATTTTAAGAATTTTGTTAATTTTAAAAAATCTTGGAAAACTTGAAAACGTTTTGTAAATTTTGTAAATGATTTCTAAATTTTTTAAATTCTTAACAAATAAATAATGAATTAAAAAATCCGGTAACCTTCAACATTTTGTAATTTTATTAATTTTAAGCAGGTTAAAAATCTTGAAAGCCTAAAAATTCAGTTAAGTTTAATAATTTTGTAAATTTTAAGAATCTTGGAAAACTTGAAAACGTTTTGAAAATTTTATATGTACCTATATGTTTGAAATTTTCAAAATTTCAAAATGTTTAAATGATACTAGATTTTTAAAATTCCCAAAATTTAAATAAAATTAAAATTTCATGCATTTTAAAATTTTTTAGAATTAAAATTAAAAAATCCTATAACCTTGAACATTAGGTAATTTTATTAATTTTAAGAATGTTAAAAATCTTCGAAGCCTAAAAATTCAGTAATGTTTTAAAATTCTTAAAATATTAATAAATTAAAAATTTCATGAATTTTAAAATTTTTTAGAATTAAAATTAAAAAAAAAACCTTTTGTAATTTGTGGTTTAGGAAATTTTAATGATTTTGTAAATTTTAAGAATCTTGGAAAACTTGAAAACGTTTTGAAAATTTAATATATTTTATAACCTTAAACATTTTATTAATTTTATAAGAAAATAATTTTGTAAATTTTATATACCACGTCATAATAATTAAATGATAATTTTCAATTTACACTGGCGTAAATAACAACAAAAAAGGCGATTTTTAAAGCTTGCTAAAAACGAAAAACTTTGTTTGGGTTTCGTGCGGATTTTATTCAACGAAAATAAAACAAACTACAACATTAGTATTGCGGTTTGCGCAGGCGCCAGTTCTTCTTGCCCCTGTGCCTCGGGTGCTTGTCCTTGGGCCGGCAAGCGCAGTACTCGGGCCCGTCCAGGCGGTCCTTGATGAGGTGCGGGGGATAGCTGGAGGGGTGGGGGCACAGGTAGTCCGGGTCGCGATAATCGTCTCGGCAGTGCTCGGGCGGGTCTTCGACCGGCTTGCGCCTGTATTTAAGGCAGTCGTCCCGTTTGCGACGCTTTTTGCAGTCGTTGGACTGAAACAGGCAAAGAAAAATATCCCTTGGTTATTATTAGTTGGTAGACACTTTTTCGGGGCCGATCAAAAGCCAAGAAATATTTTTCTTTGTGTGATAGTCAAACGCTTATTATAATTAATTAGATATCTTTGGTTAGGTACCTTAAACTTTTGGTTCGTATTTATAAAGTAAAAAAACGCGTTTTGTTCAGTGGCAGTCTAAAATTGAGTTGCGAAAACGAATGGATTCAAGTACAAAGAAAAAATGATTAAAAAAAGGTATGAGTACAAAAATTGAAGCAACAGAAAACATTAATGGAGCGAAAGTCTAAAGAGAAGAGCAGAAAAGAAAGGATTGTCCAATTATTAAAAAAAAAATAACTTATAATAATAAAAAACTTAATACAATTCTGTTTCTTTTAAAAGTCTAAAAACCCATTTTGTAATTTTATAAATTTTAAGAATGTTAAAAATCTTGAAAACTTAAAAAATTTTTAAAATTCTTAAAACTTATTTAAGTTTAAAATTTCATAAATTTTGAAATCTTGAAAACTAAAACATTTTGTAAAGTTTGGGAAATTTTAAAATTTTTGTAAATTTGAAGAATCTGAAGCTTTTGTAAATTTTATCAATTTCGGAAATTTAAATTTTTTAAAATACTTCCAAGCTTTTTAAAATTCTTAAAATTTAAATAATATTAAAATTTCATGTATTTTGAAAATTATAATTCCAATAATTTTAGAAAAATTGAATATTTAAAAAAAAAATCCAATAATATTTTGTAATTTTATAAATTTTAAGAATGTTAAAAATCATGAAAATTTAAAAAATCCAAAAATATTTTGTAATTTTATAAATTTTAAGAAAACTTAAAATTTGTAAATTTTAAAAATTTTGGAAAATTTGAAATCATTTCGAAATTAAAAAAAATTGAATATTTTGTAATTTTGTTATTTTAAAGAATTTTGTAAATTTTAAGAATCTTAAAAATCTTTAAAATACTTTCTAGATTTTTAAAATTCTCAAAATATAAATAAATTTGAAATTTCATGAATTTTAAAATTTTTTAGAATTAAAATTTAATAAAAACCTTGAACATTTTAATTTTAAAAATGTTAAAATTCTGTGGTTTACGAAATTTTAAGAATTTTGTAAATTTTAAGAATCTTGGAAAACTAAAATATTTTTTAGATTTTAAATTAATTTAAAATTTCATGAATTTTGAAATTTTTTAGAATTAAAATTTAAAAAAATTTAAATATTTTGTAATTTTGTTATTTTAAAAATATAAAAAACTTAAAAACGTTTTGAAAATTTAATATATTTTGGAAATTTTTAAATTTTTAAATGCTTTCAAGGTTTTTAAAATTCTCAAAATTTAAATATATTTTGTAAATTTTAAAAATATCCAAATTTTTAAATATTTTCAAGGTTTTTAAAATTAATTTAAAATATCATAAATTTTAAAATTTTTTAGAATTCAAATTTAAAAAAATTTGAATATTTTGTAAAATTTTTATTTTAAAAATGTTAAAAATATTAAAAACTTAAATTTCTGTGGTTTAGGAAATTTTAATAATTTTGTGAATTTTAAGAATCTTGGAAAACTAGAAAATTTTATATATTTTGAAAATTTCAAAATTTAAATAAATTTAAAATTTCATAAATTTTAAAATTTTTTGAATTAGAATTAAATTTTTTTAAAAATCCGAAAATATTAAGAATTTCAAATTTTTTAAATACTCTGGATTTCTTAAAATTTAAATAAATTTAAAATCTCATAAATTCAGAAATTTTGTAGAATTTACGAATCATTTTATATTATTTTTTTTTTAATTTTAAGAATGTATTCTGCAAATATTAGGAAATTATAAAAATCTTGGAAAACTTGGAAACGTTCTGAAAGTTTTGTGAATTTTGGTAATTTTAAGATTTTTAAAAATAAAGAAATTATTAAAATTTCATAGGGTTGAAATTTTTTAGAATAACATAAAAAAATGTAAAAATTTGAACATTTTGAAAATTTTAAGAATGTTAAATTTATTTATTTTCACGTTCAATAATATTGATTTTACCACGATACATGACTAACGCGTTGCGCTCAATTTCCCTTTAAAATAAGATGATACAAGATCCGAATTGTATATTATAGAAAACTGTAAAACAAATAAGCGTTTGACTATGTAGAAACCACGTCGCAAACCAAAATACGTCAAGTAGAAATTAAAAAAAAACTGCACCCAAACAAAGCCTTCACCAAGTTAAAAAAAAAAAAAAAAAAATGGTACTCACGTCGATGGTCTTGTCGACATCCGGGTACTTGTGCTTGCGGGGCGGGCACTTGTCGTGGCCACTGTTCACCTTGGCCAGCTCGTAGTTGAGCTGCTCGCACAGGCTCATGGTGGCCTGCGCGGACGGCGCGTTGTGAGCCGCGCAGGTGCAACCCTCGCCGCAGTCGGGCACCTTGCGACGCTTGCCTTCCGGCGTGCAGCACGGCTTGTCGGTGGCTCCGCTCCTGCGTCTGCGCTTGTGCTCGTAGTTGGCCTCGCGTGGATCATACTCGAACTAAAAAGAGTCGGGTTGTTAGTTTTGCGTGACGAGGTATCACCAACAATCCACGCAACAAGGTCTGATTTATAGATTGCCTTTCTTCCTTCCTGCCGTAAAAGATGAAGAATACAAAAACCGTTGTGCTGTTTATAGATTCCCTCATAAAATATATATAAAATTTACGAAACTTACACAGAAAAAAATCTAACATAGTACCAAGAACAGCGCTGTCATTGAATGCATTAAAATTGAAGCAATCGAAATTGTTATTTGCTCAATTAATTACCATTAAACCAAAATAGGGAAATATTTTGCCTAAATGTCAAAGAATTTATTGCGTTAAATGTATACATAGTATACATACAATAACATTCTACCATTCTAACAAATAAATATCAATAGATTTAGGAGCGATAACTTTTGTTGTTAATTTAAAAACAGTAAAAGATTATACACCAAGTGCTAACTATCTATTGGTATTCAGGAATACGGATTACAAGATCCCATTGATTTAATGGCTCACCCATTCATGCTATGCTAGCGTTTTTTCTGTGTACAAAACGTTTTCAAGTTTTCCAAGATTCTTAAAATTTACAAAATTCTTAAAATTTCCCAAACCACAGAATTTTTAAGTTTTTAAGATTTTTAACATTTTTAAAATAACGATTTTACAAAATTCTTAATTTTTTAAAATTTGAATTCTAAAAAATTCAAAATTCATGAAATTTTTAATTTTATTTATGTCTTAGGAATTTTAAAAATTTTAAAAATATATATTTAAAGTTTTTAAAAAACGTTTTCAAGTTTTCCAAGATTCTTAAAATTTCAAATATTCAAATTTTTTTAATTTTAATTCTAAAAAATTTAAAAATTCATGAAATTTTAAATTTATTAATACATTTTTTAAAAGATTTATAAAGTATTAAAAATTTTAAAAATAACAAAATTATAAAATATTTAAATTTTTTTTATTTTAATTCTAAAAAAATTCAAAATTCATGAAATTTTAAATTTATTTTTATCTTGGGAATTTTAAAAATTTAGAAACTATTTTAAAATTTTAAAATTTACAAAACTTTTAAAACGTTTTCAAGTTTTCAATGATTTTTTAAATTTTCAAAATTCTTAAAATTTCCTAAACCACAGAATTTTTAAAATAACAAAATTACAAAATATTCAAATTTTTTTAATTTCAATTCTAAAAAATTTCAAAATACAAGAAATTTTAAAATTTATAACGTTTTAAGTTTTCCAAGATTCTTAAAATTTCCTAAACCACAGAATTTTTAAGTTTTTAAGATTTTCAACATTTTAAAAATAACAAAATTACAAAAAAATTTTTTTTTTTAATTTTAATTCTAAAAAATTTCAAAATTCATGAAATTTTAAATTTATTTATATATTATTTATTTATTTATTTATTTAGAAAGTATTTAAAATTAATAAAATTTACAAAACTTAAAACGTTTTCAAGTTTTCAAAGATTCTTAAAATTTACAAAATTCTTAAAATTTCCAAAACCACAGAATTTTTAAGTTTTTAAGATTTTTAAAATAAAAATATTCAAATTTTTTTAATTTCAATTCTAAAAAAATTCAAGAAATTTTAAATTTAATCCTATCTTAAGAATTTAAAAGTTTTTAAAAATTTGAAATTCTTAAAATTTCGAAAATTTATAAAATTCACAAAACTTTCAAAACGTTCTCAAGTTTTACAAATTCTTAAAATTTCCTAAACCACAGAATTTTTAAAATAACAAAATTACAAAATATTTCAAAATTTATTTATGAAATTTTTGATTGCAATAATTTTAAAAATCGTTAGGCTTAAAATTTCGAAAATTTATAAAATTTACAAAACTTTCAATTTATAGATTGCCTTCCTCCTTTCCTCCCGTAAAAGATGAACGATACAAAAACAGTTGTGCTGTTTATAGATTCCTGTTCCTGTTATGTGTGAATTTGCCTTTACTAGTAAAATTTATAATTTGACGTTTATTATTTATTATATTTGTTCATATGTTACGGGAGGAAGGAAGAAAGGAAGAAAGAAAATCACTGCAACACTGGACAGAATCTAACGGCGGCCATTTTTATGTTTTCGTCAAAATTTGACAGTTTGATGACAGCTCTGATAGAAAAAGGTTTATTTTTTACAAAAGAAATCTTGTTGTGTGGATTGTGGTATCACCCTAAATAGAAACCATAGAAAATTAAAAGATTCCAAATCGAAAACACCTTAAAATGATAAAATATGGTTTCTACAGGGTATTCAACAAAAACACAACTACAAATCAACCATAGCTGGCCCGAATAACGCGCGCAACATAAACTGCAACCCGGCATAGTAAACGCCCTGTAAAAACCACATTTTAGCCGAAAATTTACCGCCTCGTAGGTCCCGTCCGGGCACCTGTACTTGTAATCGTCGCCGCAGTCCCTGTTCGGCGGCTTCCGCTTCCTGTTGAACAGCGCAACTCGCGACTGCGCATCTTCCGGCTCCTCCAGATCTTCCAGCGCCTCCAGAGGGTCCAGCATGGCAACGTCGCGGTTGGCAACGAGGCGCACCGCCTCGGTCCAAGCAGGCGCGCACTTCTTCTTCTTCCGCTCCTCGCATTCGCGTTGCTCCTTCTCTCTGCGCAGGCGCTCGATCAACATGCGCCGCTTTTCGCACGGAGAACAGGGGCGTTCGCACGGTTTTTTCTTTTTTTTTAATTTAATTTAAATTTTTAAATTTATACATATATTGGGTCAAAAATCGCGTTCAAATAGGCCAACTATAGTTAATTGCGAAGTTTAATAACACACTTACGTTTTTATAGGCGTACAGTTCGTCTTTCAACAATTCTGGGTCCAGTATCTGAAAATACAAATAACGACGTTTTTAAGTCGATCAGACGCACCATTAATTAGTTATTAATAAAATAAACTAACCAATCACAGGCGTGTTTTATCAGAATGATTAGAGGTGTAAAATGTAAAAGTGTAAAATGACCTTAATTATACGGTTGAAATTGTCACTGTCGGTGTTTTTAGGTTAGTTTGAACTTGAGACATTCTTTTTTTAGGAAAAATTGGTGGCCCTAATACACATTTATAATCGTTTTAAACGTTGTGTTTCTTACAGAGGCGATTGTAAGCCTAGAAGTGCTCTTTTGGTAAAAATAAACCTTATTCTATCAGGGCTGTCATTAAACTGTCAAAGTTCAATTTTAAGGTTAATTTACCATAACCCTCAAATTTAAATTTGATGGTTTGATGACAGCCCTGATGAAATAAGGTTTATAATGGTTGTTCTTAGCACTTAAAGGCCTCATTTGAAGCTTACAAGTGTCTCTGTAAGAAACGCAACGTTTAAAACGATTTTTAATCTGTATAAACATAAAAATGGCCGCCGTTAGATTCTGTGCGAAACAAGATAAAACAGGGTTTGTTGTGTGGATTGTGATTATTACATATTCATTCAAATCTCACTAATTAAATAATAATGTTAAAATTAAATATTATTGATATTAATAAAATAATTATTTTAACTTACATTCTCCTAAACCTAAAAACCAAAACACTGACAGCAAAATAGTGAAAAAATAAAATTAAAGTCATTTCACAATATGATAAAGTCCATTTTTTTAAATCTGGACTGCGGCAACGTTGCAAATTTAGGGTTTTGGTTGGTAAATACAGTTGTCAAGTTGGTCGCATTGATTAAAACAAACTAAGCTAGTTATAAATCTAATTGTGGTTATGTATAAATTATTGTAGGTTACATTGTGCAGTTGTCAAGTTGAGTTGTCGAAATTCGTAGTAAAATGCAATTAATTTGACTTTGGTGGTGCTTGGATGAGTAAAATCATATAAAAAAAGTAGTTAAATATAGGTTGCTTTACGGCCCACAAGAGCGGATAATAATCTTCGCTATGAAAAGAATTTATATAAAAGAAATTAAAATTTTTTGTGAACGTAAATGTTGTCCAATGGTGAATAATGTGAAAATATTGTGTGATGTAATATTTATAAAACCAAATTCGTTACTTTTTTACTCAAAAAATGTCCATAAGGCTATGTACTTTTTCTTTCATTGTGGAATTTGGCATAATTTCATCAAACGAAGTTTTGCCCCCAAAACGGCTTTTACATTCGAATTCGTTGCTATTATTTATGGCATAATTATCTTTTTATTTATAATTGACAAGTAAATTATCAATAATAAATATTATTGTCAATTTGACAGTGTCAAAGTATTTAATTAAATTCTTTAGCAGAAGTGCCATTTTTAAATACTAAAAATACCATAAGCCACCAACCTAACAAAAAAACACGAGTCCAGATAAAAAAAAATGAACTGTACATTCATAGCCATGGAATTTCTACAAAAGTTTGTGTAAATAAATTTCAAAGTAAAAAAATAAAGAACCTCATAAGAAATAAAAATGGAACAAATTTAAATGCGCAAATATTAGTTCTACTAACAAAATAATTTGTAAATGTCATATTCGTCGGGTAAAATATTTAAATGTTACAAAAAAATGCCTAGACAAAATTTTAAATAATCTATTGCCTTTAAATTTTAATTAATTTTATTTAATTATTATTATGTGAGACATAATTAAAATTATTATTCCATAATTTTAAAAAACCTACTTCAATTTTCATTTACATTTACATAAATGGATATAAATTTTAGGGAATTAATGCAATTTTTGTACTCACCAGTGGCGTAGACATTGTATCTTTAAACGGGGCAGCGGCCAAGCCTTTACCAGTGTGGTACTTCCTGTAGGTAACCTTAAAGTCGGGGCAATGTTTCCAAGGACATTGCACACATTCCGAAGGGTTTTCGTCCAGCTCTTCTGCGCATGCCTCGCTGTAAGATGGGTAAGGGGCCGGGCGTTTTTTGCAATATATCTAAAAACAGTTTTATCAAGACGCGACCAGGTCGGAAGCATTGTAGCACTCACAATTTTCTTTTTGCAGTAGACGGGACAGTCACAACCTTCCAAATAAAATCTCGGGCATTTATTTTGCTTGCATTTCTGATTGTTGCATTTCGGCGTTTGCTTGGGAACGCCGCATTTCGAAGAGTACGACCTTATTGGACTTTCCGCAGAAGGCAGTTTGCTCAATAGACTAAAAAAGATATTGAGGGTGAAAAAAAAATGTTCTTTTAACATTAAATCTGATGAATTTTGAAAGAAAACATTCCAAATTATAATGTGCGACAAAAAAACCTAGAAGAAACGCGTAATTTTTAAGTTAATAAGTCTTCAAAATCTGTACTCAAGTGAACTGAATGACCATTGTGCCTCTAACTATTGGAAATACGAGAAAAAAACTGTCAATCTGTCAACCGTTTTGCCACGTTGTGATTTGAGATTATTTGTCACAGATTGCATCACAGTCTCGAAAAAATTGTGTATTTTCTTCTTACTTTGCGACTAACCCACCCGAAACAAAAAATAATGTAATTGTTTTATTATTATACCTTACAGATTGATTAGTGTAATAATATTCAGTAAAAGTAAAGTTATGGTGGTAATGATTTAAACTAATATATGGCATATGAACAAATGTAACACCCGAAATTGGAATTACCCCTCTGTAACAGTTATAGTAATGAAATGACATTCCACTTCATGTCAAAAAAAATTTCGTATAACATATAAATTACACAGCCCTTCCTTAATATAAAGCAATATATTTTTAATACTTAAAAGCAAAAAAAAAAAAAAACTCACCTGGGCAGAGATTCTAAGACTTTTCCTGCGGAATGGACATCGTTTATGATGTTAACGCTCTGTGGAGTACACTCTGAGTGTACTTCCTTGGGACACACGGTCTCCGCTTTGGAGGCCAAAATTTTTTGGCCCTAAAAATCAACGACCCAAACGCTCATTATCCCCTTTTTATATCCCTCGATAAATCTACTTACATTTTGTATAAGACCACGGCAAATTTTGTTCAACTGAAGTGCCATAATTTGTATGATGTTGATTGATGAAATTTAAATTACAAACTCATAATTTTTCGTCATGGGGACGACCAAAGCTGCCTAAATTATTATCAATGACAATGGATTTTGAAAACAACCATGGGCGTGCGTGCATAGGCGTCACATCCGAGGGGGAAAATAAAAATGTTTTTTTCATATTTTAAATAAATTGTTTACTAAAAACAACAAAGTTAGGCAACCCACTGCACAGAGTTTTTAAGTCGAATAGTCGTTTCTCGATCAGTTATTAATAAAATAAATTATCCAATTACAGGCGTGTTTGAGCCATAATGTGCAGCTTAATATTAGAAATTCTATATAAAATCGCAGTGTAATATGACCTTAATTATATGGTTGACATTGCAACTGTCAGTGTTTTAGTTTTTAGGTTAGTTTTAACTTGAGACATTCTTTTTTAGGGAAAATTGGTGGCCCTAATACAGATTAATAATCGTTTTAAACGTTGTGTTTCTTACAGAGGCCCTTGTAGGCCTAAAAGTACTTCTCTTTTGGTAAAAATAAACCTTATTCTATCAGGGCTGTCATTAAACTGTCAAATTTCAATTTTAAGGTTAATTCACCATAACCCACAAATTTAAATTTGATAGTTTGATGACAGCCCTGATGGAATAAGGTTTAAAATGGTTGTTCTTGGCACTTAAAGGCCTCATTTGAGGCTTACAAGTGCCTCTGTAAGAAACACAACGTTTAAAATTATTTTTAATCTGTATAAACATAAAAATGGCCGCCGTTAGATTCTGCGCAGTGTTGCAGTGATTTTTAGTATGCGCGAAACAAGATAAAACAGGGTTTGTTGTGTGGATTGTGATTATTACATATTCATTCAAATATCTCTAATTAAATAATATTGTTAAAATCAATTATTATTAATATTAATAAAATAATTATATAAAGACTATTCGACTTAAAATGAACGGAATGTTATTTTATACTATAAAATTTATAGGTTATGTACATGGATTTATTCTAAGGACCTGTAATTTTACATTTTCAAGTCTTTCTATATGACCATGGACTTCTTTGTTACTGTTGCCTAGGCAACTGTGCAGCCATTTCAATTGTAATTTAAACATACATTGTCATTTTGACGGAAGATTTCAATCCTCTTCAAATCATCAAAATTCCAGTAAATATGAAACCAATCCCTTTATCGACGGCCAAAAAGAGCTTGGAAGTGGTGTACCCGATGATCACGAAAAGATTGTCTTCAACGGAGCAAAAGCCCAACATGGAAGAAAAAAATCAGCCCGACTTTGAGCCTGAAAGACCGGAAAGACCGACATTCATTAATGTAGCCGGCTTGCGCAAAATGGAAATGGAGAACATCACTATACATGCAGATGTAAGTTTGCTAATAAATTATAATAATAAAATAATAATACAGGGTGTTATGTAATTAATGTTATATATTAAAATGGGTTGTTCCTTAGGGTCCATAAAGAAGCACCTGAAACTTTTTTTTTCTAAATTCCAAAGTCTAAAAATAATTTATAATAACCTTTATCCTACCAAAAAGTACGCCACTGATCGACTAGGAACTTTAGGTTAATCTGGTGGATTTATTATGTTATGGTTGGTAACAGTGTTTCCAAAATCTCTCAAAAAAGTTGAAAAACATTGTTTAAATTTAGCTTAATTACAAAAATGACAAAATTAACAATGCAAATTGTCAATTTGGCGTTTTTATTAATTGTTGGTTATTTCATTTTTGTACTAAAGGTAAATTCAAACAAAATCTGCCAACTTTTATGACAGAATCTAGTGCATTTCTTTTAAATTTTAGGTTATGTTTTCAAATTGTAAATATCTTAACTAAGGGAAGTGCTTTTGGATTTATTTACACAAATTAAATGTTTAAAGTTTAACCTGTGAACTGGTCCCAATTTCATCTGAGAAAACAGAGAAAAAAACTGATGAAAAAATTAATTTTGTGGTTATGGATTTCAAATTTCAAAGGTACTAAATTTTCTAATCATTGCTTAAGCTAATAGCTGGATCAGTAAATAAATACAGAGGGGTATTAGAGCTTTAAGGGCATAAAACTTTTGTATTTATTGAGTTTTTATTTATTTTTTGCAAGAAAAATTTTTAGTAACAATTTTTTACGCATAGCTACTTTGTTGGTTGGTATCTATGTACTCACAAAATACAGGTGTGCAGAGATAAACAAGTGTGTAACCAGTGGCGTATCACAAAAAATATAAAAAACTTCTAATGCATATTTTTTCTTTATCTTTGGAAAAATGTTTTTTAAAATATTTTTCCTTTATTCCTTATGTCAAAAGGTATTTAGTATTTTAATATATAACATTAATTACATAACACCCTGTATTAATAAAAAAATTACATTTTTTGTGCATCTTTTTTCTTTGCAGACTTGGTGGAAGGAGAAATACATCATGCGTGATATCGCGTTAAAAAAGAAGAAATGGCCGGTGAAAAGGTACATCGTGAAGCCTGCGCCAAAGAGAACAGACAAATACAAATTTCCTTAACAATTTAACTGATATTTAAGGGTTTTGAAATGGATTGTAGTCTTGAAGTAGTAAAAGTTTCTTCAAATTTTATTGTTTTTATTCACCATCAAATCTTTTATACGGAATTTCTATTTTTTTTTTCTAGTTTTAATTACCCCACTGTACGGAAAACTCACTGTGCGACGCGAAATAATTTTTGTTTTTTATTGAACAAAGAATTTACAACTGTTGAGACACCGATTTAATTAAATCATCGCTGACTTTATGGCTGAATTTATTTGACAGTTGTCAAATGTCATACAAACGTCAAAATAAAGTAAAATAATACTTATTTTACAATATATATGTATACTAATAAAACTAATTTTTAAAAAGTTATTATGCATGTACTGTACTGACCTTTTGATAAACCATCCTCTTCACTTTCACTGAAAAACTGCTTGCATGTCGAATTATGTAAAAAATTTGGCAGTTTATGTTTATGCTATTTTGTTTTTAAAATTTCTTTTCGTTTAGTAATTTATTTTATCTTTGGCATTGTTAATTGTAATTTTAACCTTGAAATGAACATATCGTAAGTAAAATTAAGGCATTAAATTTAAAATAATTAAAAATACCAAATTCCCAATAAAAACAAACTTTAGTATCTTCACTTATGTTCTGTGTATCTTCATTTAAAGAGTGATAAATAAATAACAGTATGCCGTGACAACAGCAAATTCAGCGGTGCCAATGTAGTAAAAAATAAAACGTTGTATTTTAATTAACAAATTATTACTTTACTACCAATTAAAAAATTTCTAAAAACTAAAAATAACATACAAATTAAATAAGCAATAATATAAATTGATAATTTGTTGTTATAATGCAAAAATTAAGGTTTAAACTGTCATGTTTTTGAGTCTCTTAGGTTGGCAGCACGAAATTTGAAATGACAATTTTCAAGTGCTAAACATTGTTTTTTTGTTGATATTTAATTTAAAATTTAACAATTTTTAAAGGGTAAATAATCGAAGAAGCAACTTTGTTTTATAAATTTAAGTATAACACGTTGAAGTATTGATATTTGACTATTATTTGATATATGTGGCCAGGATCAGTTTTGAATTAGCAGTAGCAGTATTCATAAATGTTTAGTTTAGTACATTTTGTCATTTGTATACAAATATTGTTGTATCTTTTATTAATAATTAAGTATAGCATAACACATAAACGACGTTTAATATACAGGGTGTTTCACGTACGTAGTCCGTTAGAAGTTTCTAGGGAATCGCGAAAGACATCGATTTAAAATTTTAATAGCGTAAATTATTCGATTTAGACTTTTTCCCTAAATTATTTTGAACAAAATAATACTTCCTGTTTTACCGGAAATGTCTTTAACTTTGTTATTTTAAACAGGACACCTCATATATTTTTACATTTTTGAATTCTACATAAAATGGCTATAGGTACCATATCCTATACCTACCTAAAGTCAATATTTTTAGAGTTATAAATTTTTCAATCAAATATTTTAATTAATTTTACACAATGTCTCTGAAATTTTAACTTTAGTTATTATAATACCAATCGAAAGATTCTTTATTTTTCTATTTGATTATGTTAAAACATACAGGGTTTTACATTTATAATAAAAACGTTATTATTTTTTGAAGTTTGCCTAATTTCAAGTGGTTTTTTTCAAGCTATTTGTTGAAAAAACCTTTAAAAAAATAAATGTTTTAATATTCCAAAAATTCCAACCCCATGTCAGCAAACCTAATAACAAAAAAAATAGAGGCTATTTTTGATTAACGTGCATTTAGCAAAATTTTAACGAAAAAATTAATATCTTGAACACTATTGACTTTAGGTATGGTCCAAATAAAATTGTATATGCTATTAAAATTTCAAATCCATATCGTTTGCGTTTCTCTGAATAGTATAGCATTATATTAAATATAAAACAAATGCAAAATAATTAATTACAAAAAAGCGAAAAACACTAAAACATAAAAATAAAGTCTTTATTCTAATTTATTTATTGGGTGAATATTTCTTTCCTTAGTTCGGAATTCGTAAAAATTTTAAAGGAAAGTTTGTCTTGAAATTTCAGGCGCCAATTTTAGGCAAATGAAGGTCGTTTCTGAAATAGAATGAGGTAAATAAAAGCCTTTGAAAATATTTAACCATTTATTATTAATACATTAAGAAAGTACATTGAAACAAGGATAAATATTTATTTAAATAAAAATAGATTCAACTTTCTTCAGTTAGAGAAAATATTAACATTTCTTCAATTGAGTCAAAATTCAGGGGACATTAATAATAAATATTAATACTTCAGTTTATTTAGTTCTTTTTAAGGTTTTAAAGCAAACTCTATACATTTCGCAAAAATCATTGCAAGTGCTTTAAAAAATTAGTGTTTGGAATGTTTTAATGGCCATTAGCATTTACAATGATTAATGGGTTTGATGGTGAAATATAAAGCTATATTGGCAGTATATTATTTACTATTTTTTTTCAAAAAGAACTAAATCAAACCATATCAAATGGACGTACTTGTTTAGACAGTATCAAAGCAAATAAACCAGAAGGATTGTAACAGGGTATCTTTTAAGTACTTTTTTTTCAGTTTTTATAAAGACGCATATATTATATGTAACAACTTACACTTAAAGATTTTCCATGTATATATATTTATATGTACCAGTAGAGTATGCTAGAACAGATTTTATACAACCATCACTAAAAACGAACCAAACTAATATTAAAATTCATTTGTACAGTGAATGGTCGCAAAATCTCGAAGTGCACGACTTTCGTAAATGACTTGTGCGTTCTCTTGCATAGTAAAAAACCGGGAATCAACAAAATAATTTATTTCCAAAATATCATATCGATAAAAATTAAATACTAAGCAATTTTTTACATTATCCGAGTCTATCTTTCAATTCTTTCGCACGCGCTTTAATATAAGTTTGGTTAAAACGACCCGGGTAGGGGGCAGTACGATAGACTGGGAGAATGAGGGGTGGGGGTTCGAGGAGGAGGCTTTGGGAATAACGGGAAGTGGGGGTATAGTCGGGGGAGGGGAATGGGGGGGCCAGTTTATCCGCTCTTAAAAAGCAGTATTGCCACCTGTCCCAAGTAGAAATAGATAAAGTGGCGGGTCTCGTGGGTCACGTAAGATCCGAAGTTTCTGCCCACTATACAATGCCATGTGGGGTTGTATTTCTTGTCAAATTCCTTCTTTATGTATGCAGCAATATCCTGAATAAAAAAATATTTTTTTCACGACTTTTTGTGGTAATTGAAAAATGGGGTGTCATCAAACTGTCAAAATGGCAATTTTAAGGTTAATTTACCATAACCTACAAATTAACCTTAAAATTGACATTTGACGGTTTGAAAAAAACGGAAAAATTGTGAAATTTTCAGAAAAATTGAATTTTTCACTTTTTAAATATTATATTTAAAGGGTGATACGAAAAAAAGGCAAAAGTCAAATTCCTTCTTTATGTATGCAGCAATATCCTGAATAAAAAAATATTTTTTTCAGGACCTTTTGTGGTAATTGAAAAATGGGGAATTCAATTTTTTAGTCAACCCACTGTCATCAAACTGTCAAAATGGCAATTTTAAGGTTAATTTACCATAACCTACAAATTAACCTTAAAATTGACATTTGACCGTTGAAAAAAACGGAAAAATTGTGAAATTTTCAGAAAAATTGAATTTTGCACTTTTTAAATATTATATTCAAAGGGTGATAGGTACGAAAAAAATGCGTAAGTCAATTTTTCTGAAAATTTCAAAAATTACAAAAATGACAAAATCAACAATGTAAATTGTTAATTTGGCGTTTTTATTAATTGTTTATTGTGTCATTTTTTTAATGAAGGTAAATTCACAATCCAAACAACAAGGTCCGTTTTATCTCGTAATAAAAATACAAAAAATCACTGCAACACTGCACAGTTTAACGGCGGCCATTTTTGTTGTTTACAATTTTTGTGCTTTGGGTTTGTGCTCTGTTTATACAGATTAATAATCGTTTTAAACGTTGTGTAAGCCTTAAAGTGCTAAGAACAACCATTTTACTCCTCTATTGTAAAAAATAAACTTTATTCTATCAGGGCTGTCATAAAACTGTCAAATGTCAATTTTAAGGTTAAATTATAACCCAAAAATTAACCTTCAAATTGTCATTTGACAGCCCTGATAGAATAAGGTATATTTATTATAAAAGAGGAGTAAAATGGTTGTCCTTAGCACTTAAAGGCCTTATTTGAGGCTTACAAGTGCCGCTGTAAGAAACCCAACGTTTAAAACAATTATTAAACAGCACAAACCCAAAGCACAAGAATTGTAAACAACAAAAATGGCCGCCGTTAAACTCTGTGCAGTGTTGCAGTGATTTTTAGTATTTTTAGCATGAGATAGAACAGACCTTGTTGTGTGGATTGTGGCTTAAGCTAATAGCTGGAAGAGTAAATAAATACAGAAGGGTATTAGAGCTTTATCTTTGGGAACATATTTTTAATATAAGTATTACATTAATTTTATTAGTTAGTTAAGTTTATTTTCTTAAATTAATTTAATTCAATGTTTAGTTTTATTTTTTTTTGTAATAAAGGATTTTTTTATTAATTAAAATAATGTTAAGTTGTTTCAAATGTTTATATTTTCCAAAAATAATTCAATTTTTCCGAAAAAAAAAAACAATTTTTAAAAGGTTAAAAAAAAACGAAAAAAAAAACAGGTTTTCACCCAATTTTTCTGTTTTTTTTAAACCCCGGTCTGTATAAACAGCACAAGAATTGTAAACAAAATAAAAATGGCCAATGTTAAAGTCAGCACAAGAATTGTAAACAAAATAAAAATGGCCAATGTTAAAGTCTAACTTGCGATTTTTAGTAAACAAGGTCCCATGGATTAATGCAATAAAATTTATAGTTTGGAAGATATAGAGAATTTAATAAATAAATTTAACTGTCAAATATTGATAAACTAATTAGTAGTCCAACATGTAAAGGTACAGGGTGATCCCCTATAATGTCGCCCCCCTTTAACATTTTTATTTTACTTTTTTTCTACATATAAAAAATGATCAATATACAGGGAAAAACTGTTAAAAATCAAGAAGCCTCAGTATACCAAAATTTTTAATGAAAATAAATTTCTATAGTGAGAGAAAGACAAACTATTTCAACTTTTTATCTTAAAAATAATTTTAATATTTCAGAAACGGTTGAATTTAGGTATATGGTATGTAATATGAAATATGCTTAGAATTTTACAAGCAAACGAAAAATAAATACATATATAGGGTGATCCATTGAAAAAAAATGAACTTTTTGTTTTTCCCTGTATACTGATCAATTTTCCAATTTTATTTATACGTACAAAAAAAGGTATTTTTTAGTACCTACATAACCACTTAAATTTTTTGGGACACTTTACAATATCTCAAAAATAAAACCAACAAGCCTTTCAAGTAGATCAAACTTTTGGTTATTTTTAAAATTTAAAACCCCAGAAAAGCTGTTGGCTACCCTGGCTGTTTTTGGACATATTTGTACATAACCCATATTTTATATTATATAATAAAATTGGATATTTCTTTAAAATTTCAGAAAAATTCAAATTGCATGTTATCCATAAACAATAAAAATTATGAGTTTGAAATCAAGCAAAAATGAAATTTTCCGAGAAATTAAATGGTAAATTTTGAAAAAACGCGGGAAAAACATTGAAGGTGCGACATTGCTCATGTGGGTGTACAAACAGAAGAATTTGTAATTTATTGTGAAAAGAAAATATTTGCATTTTAAATCCTTAATTTATTTGTTTTTGGATCTCTGGTCACCTTGATTTTAATGGATTGTGTAACGTGGTACGCACCTTTTCAATGTTATATTTTTCAATGGCTTGTGTGGCACAGTCGACAGCATCTTGTTGCATGTCCTCGCTCATGTCGGCATTCTTGATAACTGCTTTGCGATCAGTCATTTTGGAATCTTTTTGGGTGCTAGACCTGCAACGAAAAGCAACTTGAGCACCAACAAATTATCTTGGAGCAATCTACAGCAACAATTTAATCAACAAAACAAAAGGGGGATAAATGACAGGTTATGTCAGATTTTGACCTTTTTCTGTATGCATTCAGGTTTCTCAGGCGTACTTTCGCATGGGCTATTGTTTCGGTCATAACATCGGTAAAACTGGCACGGACATGCTCCAGTTTTATCGATACGATGACAATATTTCACGTATCTTCGAACATGCAATAATATCGATGATTATGCCCGCGAATTGATTAAAGTACCCCCGGCGAGGCACACGCACCCCCATATCACTGTACTTACGTGAAATTTACAACAACTCAATAACGGAGTATGAAAAAATCGTCGGGAATTTGCACTTTTCACGCTCTTTCAATTTGTCTATTTTGTTGAATATGACGATTTTCAATTTTTTGACTTGCCTTCACTTTGCGCGGACAACACTGCTGCCAAAAATAACGACGCGCTGATTCGTCCCGGGCAGTGGGTTCTGGCAGAGGGGTCTGGCAGAGGCTTCTGGCAAAAGCGGCGCCATTGGTCGGCGCGCGATGAAAACATGACAACACGTTATACAGGGTGCTATCGAGAAATTTATAATTCAACTCTTAAAACGCTTTGTTCATATAATATTAGTAAACACGGTGTTTAGTTTGATTTTTTATCGATTTTGTTAATCTTTCATGTTTATTTAATATTCTCGTCAAATTATTATTTGCAGTGATGCCATATTGGGCGCTTTATCGCAAATTTTAGCATTTTAAAACCTTATTGATTATTAAAATTAAATTTTCTGAAATTAAAAATAAAGTGATAAGAAAATAAAAAAAAAATATTTAATGTGACAATGGTTTTTTTCATTTTGATAAATTTGTAAACATGTGCACCATAAACCCACACATTGTTGCCAAATTTCAAGTCGCCATCTATTATAGATTGAGAGTTATTTAAGTAAAAAATAATACATCGAAAACTAATAAAGATATACCTACTTGAGTTGTTTTTACGAAATGATTTTATAAAAAATGTATTTTTTTAATATCATATAAAAACCTAAACCTCGTGCTAAAATTAGCTTTACTGCCTCAAAAAAGGAATAAAAAAGGAATTAAAAATAAAGTGATAAGAAAATCAAAAAAAATATTTAATTTTTGAAAATGTGACAATTGTTTTTCATTTTGATAAATTTGTAAACATGTGCACCATAAACCCACACATTGTTGCCAAATTTCAAGTCGACATCTATTATAGATTGAGAGTTATTTAAGTAAAAAAACATATTTTGAAAACTAATAAAGATATACTTAAGTTGTTTTCACGAAATGATTTTATAAAAATGTATTTTTTTAATATCATATACATTGTCTTGCTAAAATTAGGTTTACTGCCTCAAAAAAGGAATTAAAAATAAAGTGATAAGAAAATCAAAAAAAATATTTAATTTTTGAAAATGTGACAATTGTTTTTCATTTTGATAAATTTGTAAACATGTGCACCATAAACCCACACATTGTTGCCAAATTTCAAGTCGCCATTCATTATAGATTGAGAGTTATTTAAGTAAAAAATCATATATCGAAAACTAATAAAGATATACTTGAGTTGTTTTCACAAAATGATTTTATAAAAATGTATTTTTTAATATCATATACATTGTCTTGCTAAAATTAGGTTTACTGCCCCAAAAACGGAATTAAAAGTAACGTGATAAGAAAATCAAAAAAAATATTTAATTTTAAAAAATGTGTCGATTGTTTTTTCATTTTGATAAGTTTGTAAACATGTGCACCACAAACCCACACATTGTTGCCAAATTTCAAGTCGCCGTCTATTATAGATTGAGAGTTATTTAAGTAAAAAATCATATATCGAAAACTAATAAAGATATACTTGAGTTGTTTTCACAAAATGATTTTATAAAAATGTATTTTTTTAATATCATATACAAAGTCTTGCTAAAATTAGGTTTAGTGCCTCAAAAAAGGAATTAAAAATAGTGATAAGAAAAACAAAAAAATATTTAATTTTTGAAAATGTGACAACTATTTTTCATTTTGATAAATTTGTAAACATGTGCACCATAAACCCACACATTGTTGCCAAATTTCAAATCGCCATCTATTTGATTGAGAGTTATTTAAGTATGCAAAAAATCATATATTGAAAACTAATAAAGATATACTTGAGTTGTTTTTACGAAATGATTTTATAAAAATGTATTTTTTTAATATCATTTAGGTACATTGTCTTGCTCAAATTAGGTTTACTGCCTCAAAAACAAAAATAACATTTTCTCTCGTAAAAATAACTAAACACCGCGAAACTAATTTCGTATTTGGGAATTGCAATGCACACCAACACCCTGTATATATTAATTTTTATCGATTTCAATAAATTATGCGGAATATGTAATAGGTTGCATGCAGTACCTATAGGTAGGTATAGGTATACGACAACGCCATGCAGTAAAATAAATTTATTGTAGGTTATTTTTACCATACCAATGTACTTTCAAATTAATGTCGTCTGAAAACGAGGCCCTTAATGTACTGCTCATTCAGGACTGCGCTAAAAAGCAATACAAACGTCATCCACCGTAAAAAAATCATGTTTTTTTATGGACCTAATGTTTTTATTTTATAAAATTTGCGCTAAAACTATGGTGAAAACAAGCGATTTTAATTCATGCGCTAGAGATTAGTTATTTGAAAAATATTATTGTTAGTTTTAGTATGCTGAAAAGCATGCAGTGAGGTGTAGCCTAAAATCGAAAATACTTACTAATAAAACACCTTAAAAACCTTTCCTTTCGCCGGCTTACATCCAAATCATAGAAAATATAGTTAAAACACCATTTGGACCCAAAAAAGTGCGAAATTTCGCCTGAAAATCTGTCGGTATGCTAGTGAAAATCGATTGGATTCGCCCCGCGCAGACTCAGTGGCGTCCGGGCTAAATTATTGATAAAACTTTTCGGGACAATGATTTATACGCCACTAATTATCTTATTCTTTGATTTACAACGACTTGACACGACAGAATTTTATCAATCGTCGAAAAAGTTTTGAACCGTTGTATCTCGATTCCTATTGGTCAGACAAAAAATTTTTTTTAACGAAAAATGTAGATCTTTAAATTTTCCACAAATTTTGTTACAAGCAAAACTTTCTCAGTTTAGTCCCTGAGAAGATAGAGGACGCCAAAGTTGACAAACATTATTTACATTTTGATGTTATCATTGAGATCTAAAACAAATATGTTGGGAGAGGGCTAAAAATGCAATAATTTGTTGTTTTTCAAAAGTATTTTTTATTTAATTAGCAATTTCATGACACAAAAAATACAAACAAATTTTGTAACGAAAAACACTTCTTATTAATACAGGGTTATGTAAACAAATGGATATTTTTTTTCACAAAACACGGTTGTGACGTAATCACAGGTAAACTTTAATGCTAAAAAAATAAACTACATATAAAAATAGAAATTAAAGTAACATACTACTTATCACAGAATTAGTATTTTAACAACACCAAAAATTTAATTTATGTATATATTTCGTAAAAAAATGTTAAAGTTGTGCTGTACAAAAAATCTACCGGCTAACAACTAATTTATAAAAAATATAAAGCACTTCGTAAATCAGTACGTTTGAATGTACAGTTACAGACAACTTTGTTGTCCTCAACTGTATACAGCAAGTACGGGGATTTCCCCTAACAACAAACATCAATCAACACCTATACAGTGGATTATTTTTATGTAAAGCAAAGTATTTTTTTTTATTATATATAAATCTATGTACTAAAAATAAGGTACAGCATTGGAGATTGTTTTGTTTTCAATACTGATCATTTTTATTGGAATGTTTCTTAAAATATACAGGGTGCTTCATTTAGAAACACCATGCATTTTATTGTATAAATATCTAAAGATAAAGAGAGAAATACAAATGTTATTTTGGAATTGAGCAAAGTTAAAAAGGCTTGAACAACGAGCGCATTTTATGCAAATTTAAAGTTATCAACATTTATTTTTATATTCTACGTTATTGTTATTTAAATAGTAAAGATTGTGTTGACACAATGCAGACAAATGGTTTGCTATCTTCAAGAAGTTTTAAGTTGTTATTATTAGGTTTGTTTATACCGAGCATTTGAACTGTCTAAAGGACGTCAGTGGCGTAAGGAATTAGTGGCTGAGCCACATAATATATTTAAGAATTTTACAAATTAAAAGTTTTTAGCTGATATAAATTATTTTTTCAAAACTTTTAATCTTCAAAATGATTTGTAAAATTGCTAAATATGAGATAAGCCCTTATGTGATAATTGTGAAGAATTAAGAGAGATGGAGATAAATAAATTCAACACGGTGGCCGCCTAAGGTTTAGCCCCGAATTTTTTGAAATTTACAAATTTCAAGTCTTTAAAATTCAAAAAATCCTTAAAATTATCAAGTTTTTTTAAATTTGCAAAATTTTCAAACTTACCAAATATTCGAGTTTTAAAAAAGTTTCAAGATTTTTAAAGTTTTTTAAAATCATAAATTCTAAAAATTTACATAATACAATTTTTAAAATTTCCAAATTCCATAATTTTAATATTTATTAAAACTCTCAAAAATTTTCTATTTTAAAATGCATTTTTAAACAATTAAACTCATTTTATAAATAGATTTGAGTTAAAAAATTAATTAAAATAAAAAATTAGTGTTTTTTAAAATCCTTATTTTATGTAATATTAATATAATAATTAATATTTTTCCCAAAAAACTACTTCTAGGCTTAAACCCCCATTTTTTATAATAAAACTGTTTAAAAAAAATAATTAAATTTTAAAGATTTTTAAAATTTTCAAAATATACAAAATGTTTAAAAAAAAATTAAATTTTTGCAAATTCCATTGTTTTAATATTTATCAAAACTCTCAAAACTTCCAATATTTCAAAAGTTTTTAATTTTTAAAATTTTTAAAATTTTAAAGATCTTTTAAATTTTGAAATAGTCCAAAAGTTTTAAAAACATTTCAATTTTTAAAATTTACAAAATTTTGAAATTTATTAAAATTCACAAAATTATAAAGATTTCTAAAATTCTCAAGTATTCAAAAATGAACTTTACAATCTTTTAAATTTCTAAAATTTTGAGATTTATAAAAAATCTCAAATTTATTAAAATCTCCAAGATCTCAAAATGTTTAAAATTTTGAAAAATTTTAAAATTGGGAAATTTATAAAAACATCTTAAAATGAATTAAAATCACCTAAATTTTTAAAATTTCTAAAATTCCCAAATATTCAAAAACTTTCCAATTTTTTAAATTTCTAAAATTTTGGAATTTATTAAAATTCTCAATTTTAAAATTTTCAAATTTATTAAAATCTCCAAGATCTTTTGAAATTTATTAAAATTCTCAAAACTACAAAATTTTTAAAATTTTCAAACATCTTAAAATGTATTAAAATCATCAAAATTTTTAAAATTTCCAAATTCCAAAATTTTGAAACTTTAAAATTTACAAAATTATAAAGATTTATAAAATTCTAAAATATTCAAACATTTAAAAGAACTTTCCAATTTTTGAAATTTCTAAAATTTTGGAATTTATTAAAATTCTCAATTATTTTAAAATTTTCAATTTTATTAAAATCTCCAAGATCTCAAAATTTTTAAAATTACAAAAATTCTTAAAAACTTTTAAAATTTTGAAATTTATTAAAATTCTCAATATTTTTAATTTAAGAAATTTATTAAAATTCTCAAAATTAGCAAATTTTAAAAAACTTCAAATGTTCAAAATTTAAAATTTCTTAAAATTAATGAAAATTTCAAAATCTTCAAAGTTTCCAAAATTTTCGAAATCATCAAAAAACGATAAGTTTCCTACTTACATAAATTATTTGCAGTCCAATTTTTTTTTAAATTTAGATACAGCAAATTTCCAGCTCATACTCCAAGATTTCAACGTCATTACGCGGCTTTAAAGTGCCGTAAACTCGTCGGGACTGCTCCTGCCGCCACCCTTGAAGCAAACCTTGGGACTTCCGGCCACCTTGAGCGAACTCCTTCCGTATCCGCTGCGCACGAACCCCCCACTCCTCTCCTTACCGTTCAGCGTCTCGACGATGCTCCGCACGACGGAGCAGCCGTCTGCGGCGCCAGCCGCCCCTTTCAGCGACGGCACGAACTTCGCAGGCTGCGGAAGTCTCCTCTGCAGGATCGGAGTGCGTCTGAGTATCGGGCTGTCGTCAGAGTCCTTGGTGTATCTGCAGACACACAGAGAGTGTTTTTACCGCCCTGAAAAGCAACCTTATCGATACTTACCTCCTCCTAACAACGCTGGACCTGCTGCCATCTTCCGGCAACCTCTTGAACCCTTTGCTCTCTCCCTCCGGCTCAGTCTTCTTGAAAATGCTGCGGCTGATACTGAAAGTACCGCATTTGTTGTTATCCTCGACTTTCCTTGAATCCTCGCTGCTTTTCGCAACGTAACTCGGCGGTTTGATTGCGTAATTTAATTTGCAACCCACCGGAAGTACACTACGAGTTTCCGGCGACGATAGAGTGGAAAAAACCACATCCGGAACGCATTCCGCACTCAAGTTGCTTACTTTCTCGTTCCTGGTCAAGTTGACGTTCTTCGCGAAGTTCCTTACGAACTTCTCCGTCACTTTAGACGTTGGGAGGCTCGAAGTTTTAAAAGCCATGCTTTCCAGGTTTAAATTTGAGTTTTTGCTGCAGCTGGGCACAGGTTTTAAGTCGAAGGTTTTTTTTTTGCCCAGGAACTTCACCGAAACGTCTTCGTCCTTCATTTCCTTCACGAATCGATTTCTGGTGAAGTTCTTCGGCACTTTTCTCAGGTGAACGTTGAACTTGTAAGTGTCGGGGTTTTTGTTGTTTTCTTCGTGTTTTATTAACTCGGTCTTCTCCAATTTTTTCACGGTTACGGTTTTCTCGCAATCGCCAGCGAATATGGAGTCGTTCCTGAGAAAATCGATGTTTTCGTAGTTGGGGAACTCCCTAGTGGGTTTCGAGATTATTTCCTCCAAATCCTCGCAACTTTTGGTGACAAACTCGTTGTTGATCTGGTTCTTGATGAGCATGTCGGAGCTGGAAGTCTTGGAAAGCAAATTTTCCTGGGATATCTTGATGGCGGGCTTCAGGCTCTCGAGGCTCTTGATTCGCTCCGGGTTTCCCGCCATTTTTCCCTCGCGTATGGGCTCTAGGGCGGGGCTCCGGTGCCCGGAGGATATTCCTTCGGGAGTGGTGCTGCCCGAGGAGCTGGGGCTGGTGCCTCGGTAGTGCTGGATGTCGAAGAGTAGGTCGGGGGGTAGAGGCATGCCCACCGACAGGTGCATGGAGAGAGATTCCAGCCACACTTCGATTACTTCGAACGGGGGCCTGAAATGGCATGCTTTGCTTAGGTACAATTTGACATTCTAAAATGCGTTGTAAACATTCTAGAATGTATTTTTCACATTTTAGAATGTGTTTTAATATTCTAAAATGTATTTTTAACATTTAAAATGTGTTTTCTACCTTTCAAATTGTGTTTTGACATTCTAAAATGTTCTTTTAACATTCTTACATTTCTTAACATTCTTAAATATGTTTTGCTATTCTAAAATGTATTTTTAGACCTTTTAAACTGTGTTTTGACATTGTAAAATGTGTTTTAAACATTCTAGAATGTATTTTTCACATTTTAGAATGTGTTTTAACATTCTAAAATGTGTTTTCTACCTTCTAAATTGAGATTCTAGAATACTTTAAAAAATTCGTTTTATATATTTTGCTATTCTAAAATGTGTTTTGACATTCTAAAATGTTTTTTTTCAGTTTCTAAAATGTATTTCTTACATTTCTTAACGTTCTAAAATGTGTTTTCTACCTTCTAAATTGTGTTTTAAAATTCGTTATAATGTATTTTAGACCTTTCAAACTGTATTTTGACATTCTAAAATGTGTTTTTAACATTCTGAATTGTGATTTGAGATTTTAGAACATGGTTTTCAAAATTCGTTTTCTAACATTTATAAATGTTTTGCTATTCTAAAATGTTTTTATTATTTCTTACGTTTTAGAATGTGTTTTCAACATTCTAAAATGTGTTTTCTACCTTCTAAATTGTGTTTCTAGAATAGTTTTAAAAATTAGTTTTATATGTTTTGCTATTATGAAATGTGTTTTAGACCTTTCAAATTGTGTTTTGACATCCAAAAATGTGTTTTTCAGTTTCTTAAATGTATTTCTTACATTTCTTAACATTCTAAAATGTTAGAATATGGTTTTAAATATTCGTTTTATAGCATTCTTAAATATGTTTTGCTTTTCTAAAATTCTAAAATACATTTATTACATTTTAGAATGTGTTTTTGGCATTCAAAATATGGTTTCAAAATTCGTTTTATAACATTCTTAAATATGTTTTGCTATTTTAAAATGAATTTCAGACATTTTAAATTGTGTTTTGAAATTCTAAACTGTGCTTTTATCATTCTAAAATGTATTTTTTACATTTTGGAATGTGTTTTTAACCTATCAAGATGAGTTTTTTGACTTTGTGTTACAAAATGGTTTTAAAACATTCTTAAATATGTTTTGCTATTTTAAACACATTGTGTTTTGCCATTCTAATTTTTTTTGCAACATTATAAAATGTGTTTTCTACCTTCTTAATTGTGTTTTGAGATTTTAGAACATGTTTTTAAAAATTCGTTTTATAACATTTTTAAATATATGTATTTTGCTATTGTATAATGATTTTAGACCTTTTAAATTGTGTTCCGACATTCTAAAATGTGCTTTTAACATTCTAAAATGTATTTTTTACATTTTGGAATGCGTTTTAACACTCCAAAATGAGTTTTCTGACTTTGTTTTGAGATGTTAGAATATGACTTTAAAAATTTGTTTAAAAACATTCTTAAATATGGTTTTCTATTCTAAAATGTGCTTTTAACATTCTAAAATGTGTTTTTTACCTTCTAAATTGTGTTTTGAAATTTAAGAACATGTTTTTAAAAATTCGTTTTGTAACGTTTTTAAGTTTGCTATTCTAAAATGATTTTAGACCTTTTAAATTATGTTTCGACATTCTAAAATGTATTTCAATCATTTTAGAATGTGTTTAACATTATAAAATGTGTTTTCTACCTTCTAAATTGAGAATGTAGAAAATTTAAATATTCGATTTATAACATTCTTAAATATGTTAAATTAAGTTACAAAATTTCTAATACATATTTTTACATTTTAGAATGTGTTTTTAACATTCTAAAAAGTGTTTTTAGATTCTAGAATATGGTTTTAAATATTCATTTTATAACATTCGTAAGTATGTTTTGCTATTTTAAAATGTATTTCAGACCTTTTAAATGTTGGTTTGACATTCTAAAATGTGCTTTTAACATTCTAAAATGTATTTTTCACATTTTGGAAAGCGTTTTTAACATTCCAAAATGAGTTTTCTGACTTTGTTTTGAGATGTTAGAATATGGCTTTAAAAATGTGTTTTAAAACATTCTTAAATATGATTTTCTATTCTAAAATGTGTTTCAGACCTTTCAAATTGTGTTTTTGCATTCTAAAATGTGTTTTTAACATTCTAAATGTTTTCCACCTTCTAAATTGTTTAACGAAAATTTGTTTTATAACAATTTAAATATATTTTGCTATTCTAAAATGTTTTTAGACCTTTTAAATTGTATTTCTAACATTTTAGAATGCGTTTAACATTCTAAATTGTGTTATGCCAATCTAAAATGTTCTTTTAACATTCTAAAATGTAATAAACACATTTTAGAAGGTTGGAAACACATTTCAAAATGTAAAGAACACATTTTATAAGGTTAAAATGTATTTGACGTTCTTTAATGTTTTCAGTATTGTCCTCACAATATTTTTGCTTACCTTTTATCAGGATTCAAATCGGTACATAGAAAAGCCACTTTGTAAAACGGCTCCGGGCAAGAGGTGCAAAATTTTTCCTTAAATGCCATTTGATTCAACCCGAAATCGTTCGATCTGGGCAAAAAATCTGGATCCGCTTGAACTCTCCCTATGATCTACAAAAATAAAGTTATATCGGTATATTTATAAATTGGACGAATAATTCGTTACCTCGCACAAAACGATTCCAAAACTGAAAATGTCCACTTTTTCGTCGTACTTGTTTCCTTTCATCATTTCTGGCGCCATCCAGTAAGGGTTGCCCACCACTGTGTACCGTTTTTTTCTCTCCTGGCGATTTTTTGTGCCAGTGGAAACCCTTCTTGCGCTAAAGTGGAGAAAGGTATTAAAAATATTGTTAATTAAATGTCTAACACGTTTTTAAATATATTTTTTTATTCTAAAATGTTTTAAGACATTTTAAATTGTGTTTCGACATTCTAAAATGTATTTCTTACATTTAAGAATGTGTTTAACATTCTAACATGTTTTTTTAATTACTAAATTGAGATTATAGATTATGGTTTTAATTGTTCTTTTTATAACATTCTTAAATGTTTTGCTATTTTAAAATGTATTTTAGACCTTTTAAATTGTGTTTTTACATTCTAAAATGCATTTCTTATGTTTTAGAATGTGTTTAACATTCTAAAATGTGTTTTCTACCTTCTAAATTGAGATTCTAGAATATGGTTTTAAATTTTCGTTTTATAACATTCTTAAACATGTTTAACTATTTTAAAATGTGTTTCAGACCTTTAAAATTTTGTTTTGACACTCTAAAATGTGCTTTCAACATTCTAAAATGAGTTTTCTGACTTTTTTTTTGAGATGTTAGAATATAGTTTTAAAAATGTGTTTTAAAACACTCTTAAATATGGTTTGACCTTTCAAATTGTGTTTTGAAATTCTAAAAGGTGTTTTTAACATTATAAAATACATTCTAAATTGTGTTTTAAGATTTTAGAACATGTTTTTCAAAATTAATTTTTAACATTTATAAATATATTTTGCTATTCTAAAATGTTTTTAAACATTTTATATTGTGTTTCGACATTCTAAAATGTATTTCATACATTTTAAAATGTGTTTAACATTCTAAAATGTATTTTCTATCTTCTAAATTTAGATTCTAGAATATGGTTTTAAAAATCTTTTTTATAACTTTCTTTAATATGTTATGCTATTTTAAAATGTGTTTCACACCTTTCACATTGTGTTTTGACATTCTAAAATGTATTTTTTACATTTTGGAATGCGTTTATAACATTCCAAAATGAGTCTTCTGACTTTTTTTGAGATGTTAGAATATGGTTTTAAAAATGTGTTTTAAAACATTATTAAAAATGGTTTGACCTTTCAAATTGTATTTTGACATTCTAAAAGGTGTTTTTAACATTATAAAATGTGTTTTCTACATTCTAAATTGTGTTTTAAGATTTTAGAACATGTTTTTCAAAATTCGTTTTCTAACATTTATAAATATATTTTGCTATTCTAAAATGTTTTTAGACATTTTATATTGTGTTTCGAAATTCTAAAATGTATTTCATACATTTTAAAATGTGTTTAACATTCTAAAATGTATTTTCTATCTTCTAAATTTAGATTCTAGAATATGGTTTTAAAAATCTTTTTTATAACTTTCTTTAATATGTTATGCTATTTTAAAATGTGTTTCACACCTTTCACATTGTGTTTTGACATTCTAAAATGTATTTTTTACATTTTGGAATGCGTTTATAACATTCCAAAATGAGTCTTCTGACTTTTTTTGAGATGTTAGAATATGGTTTTAAAAATGTGTTTTAAAACATTATTAAAAATGGTTTGACCTTTCAAATTGTATTTTGACATTCTAAAAGGTGTTTTTAACATTATAAAATGTGTTTTCTACATTCTAAATTGTGTTTTAAGATTTTAGAACATGTTTTTCAAAATTCGTTTTCTAACATTTATAAATATATTTTGCTATTCTAAAATGTTTTTAGACATTTTATATTGTGTTTCGAAATTCTAAAATGTATTTCATACATTTTAAAATGTGTTTAACATTCTAAAATGTATTTTCTATCTTCTAAATTTAGATTCTAGAATATGGTTTTAAAAATCTTTTTTATAACTTTCTTTAATATGTTATGCTATTTTAAAATGTTTTTCACACCTTTCAAATTGTGTTTTGACATTCTAAAATGTATTTTTTACATTTTGGAATGCGTTTATAACATTCCAAAATGAGTATTCTGACTTTTTTTGAGATGTTAGAATAAAAATAAAACTTTTGTTGGAAAAACTTTATGCTTGTGGTGTCCGTGGCAAGGCTTATGAGTGGGCAGCCTCATATTTACACGAAAGAAAACAAATAGTTGTGATAAATGGTGTGAAGTCATACACAGGGCAGAATAACCTGGGTGTCCCACAGGGGTCTATACTCGGACCTTTATTTTTTATTATCTTCGTCAATGATATTCAAAGCTACTTTGGGGGAATGGGTCGTCTTGTCTTGTATGCAGATGACACCAATATCCTGCTTAGCAACCCCAAAATCGATGGGTTGGTTTCAAAGGGTAATAACATTTCCCAGTTGTTTAATGACTATTGTATAAATAATGGACTAGTTTTAAATGGTAATAAAACGGTATATATGCAGTTTTTCCCAAAAAATGCATCTCTTGATTATAGTCTTCTGATTAAAATTAATGATAAATCAATTAAAAATGTGTCCGAATTTAAATTCCTTGGACTATACATTGACTCCAAGCTTACTTGGGAAAAACACATTGATTCCGTATGTTTAAGAGTAAGCTCTCTGTGTTTTTTAATTAAACATCTACATAACAGTGTAGATGAACAAACAATGAAACTCTTATATTTTGGACTAGTGCAATCAATTCTACAATATGGTTTAGTGTTTTGGGGCTCATCATCTTACTTTTGTAAGGCATTTGTCATGCAAAAAAAGTTTTTAAGATGTATGGAGAATGTACCTCCTGATACCTCTTGTAAGGAAATTTTTAAAAAATACAACTTTCTTACTCTACCTTGTCTATATATATTACAGTTAGTAGACTTTGTTATTGAGAGAGAGTCTTTATTTATGAAAAATAGTCATTATCATTTATACTACACTAGAAAAGCTACTGAAATTCGTTTGCCTTACTCTAGATTATCGGTAGGTCAGCATTCTCCTGCATTCATGGGAAGTAAGTGCATTAATAAAATAAGGACAATAATTAAAAATGTAAATAACCCTAGGGAGTTAAAAATGAAAACCAAAATTTTTTTATGTGATCATAGTTTTTATTCACTAGCTGAATTTTTTGATTATAAAGTTACAATGTAGGTTGTTCTTTACTTAGTTAAGAATATGTGTGTATATATTTTTTTTTACCTGACTAGCCTTTAAGTTTGTATAATGATTTACTTTACTGTACTGTTGACTTTTATGGTGAATAAACTGAATTTGAATTTGAATTTGAATTTATTAAAAATGGTTTGACCTTTCAAATTGTGTTTTGACATTCTAAAAGGTGTTTTTAACATTATAAAATGTGTTTTCTACATTCTAAATTGTGTTTTAAGATTTTAGAACATGTTTTTCAAAATTCGTTTTCTAACATTTATAAATATATTTTGCTATTCTAAAATGTTTTTAGACGTTTTATATTGTGTTTTGACATTCTAAAATGTATTTCATACATTTTAAAATGTGTTTAACATTCTAAAATGTATTTTCTATCTTCTAAATTTAGATTCTAGAATATGGTTTTAAAAATCTTTTTTATAACTTTCTTTAATATGTTATGCTATTTTAAAATGTGTTTCACACCTTTCAAACTGTGTTTTGACATTCTAAAATGTATTTTTCACATTTTGGAATGCGTTTTTAACATTCCAAAATGAGTTTTCTGACTTTGTTTTGAGATGATAATATATGGTTTTAAAAATGTGTTTTAAATATGATTTTCAATTCTAAAATGTGTTTCATATCTTTTAAATTGTGTTTTGACATTCTAAAATGTGTTTTTAACATTCTAAATATTTTCTACCTTCTAAATTTTGTAATGAAAATTCGTTTTATAACATTTTTAAATATATTTTGCTATTTTAAAATGTTTTTAGACCGTTTAAATTGTGTTTCGACATTCTAAAATGTTTTTTCTACCTTCTAAATTGAGATTGTAGAATATTTAAATATTCGTTTTATAAAATTCGTAAATATGTTAAATTAAGTTTTAAAATTATAAAATGTGTTATAAAAATTCTAATATATATTTTTTACATTTTAGAATGTGTTTTTAACATTATAAAAGGGGTTTTGTGATTCTAGAATATGGTTTTAAATATTCGTTTTATAACATTCTTAAATATGGTTTGCTATTCTAAAATGTGTTCCAGACATTTTAAATTTTATTTTGACATTCTAAAAGGTGCTTTTAACATTCTAAAATGTTTTTTTACATTTTGAAATGTGTTATAACATTCCAAAATGAGTTTTCTGATGTAAGAAATCGTTTTAAAAATGTGTTTTCAACACGAAATTACCTGTTTGTCGTGTGTGAAACTATCCTAGCCAATCCGAAATCAGCCACAATGACTGTTTTGTCTTCTCTCACAAGGCAGTTGTGAGAGTTGAGATCTCTGTGTATAATGTTCATGGAATGCAGGTATGCCATACCTAAAAAAAATATATATAAGTGTCACCATTAAAAATGCAGTAATTTAAAATTTACCAGCAGCAATATCTTTTGCAAATGACACCCTTTGCTCCCAAGGCAACGGCTGCACCGTATCGTGTATTAGTTCTTTCAGGGTCCCCCCTGAAATATATTCTGTCACCAAATGCAGTCTCCTTTCTTTGTACAAAACCCCAATAAACCTCAACACGTTGCTGTGGTGCAAACTCCTCAATACTGCAACCTTAAAGCAAAAAAAAAAATAGAACATATTATGAATATATTAACTTAAAGCTACAACGAAAAAATATATAAGGTATAAAAACAAATAAAAACAACTTGTTTTAATTTTTTTGTATAATTTTCGAAACTTAATTATAAATGCAAATTAGTTAGGTTTTCATCTTATTTAAGAATTTTTGAAGTTTCCAACATTTCTTTTTTGGTTAAGGTATAACCCTGATAGCACACTTTATTCTAAGAATGTTTTTTAAACCTTCCAGTGGGAATATTCTTAGGATCATGCTATATTTCTTCTAAAGAACATGCTTAAAAGACATATAGCATGATCCTAAGAATATTCTTACTGGCCTATAGGCAGGTTCTTAGAAGGTGCAAAGTTTTAGTGGTAAAAATTAGTCTACTCTAAAAATATGCTTAGAATGTTAAGAAAGTAATTGCTATAGAAAGTTCATTTAGGAATATTCCTGTTAAGCATATTTAGTTCAGTTACCTATATAATAGTAAAATATACCATAAACTACGTATAAAGGTATATACCTATACTCAAGTACCTAATTAGTAATAAGTATTAAATACTAAGTAAAAAACACAATCCAAAATATTTTTTTATAGTTATTTGTCAAATTAAAACAATATTCGATAACAAAAATACTTTTACTTTAGGTATTTTATTTTATGTTAAAAATAAATATTTATTAACTTGTATACCGATTTTTTATTTCTGAATTAACATTTTTATGTATAATAATCCTAACTATCTTCAACTTCAATCTAATCTGACTTATCCCACAAAATTTTCCAATTTTACTTTTTATGAAATAATGTCATACAATTTATGGTTTAGAGGTCAAATTGTTTATTTAATATTTTTAAATAAATATATATTAATATGTCGCAACATTTTTTAAGGGGACGACAAATACATTTCACTGTCTTATTATGACAGTGAGGCGTATTTGTCGTCTCCTGAAGAATTTTACGAATGTAGAATACAACATATTAGAACGTGGGTATCTGACATATTCGGAAATATTCTCAAAAGCTTCCTAGAAACTCCATAAGAAACCTTCTAAGAACATTCCAAAAACGTATTCTTAAAATGTTCTTAGGATGTTTTTAGGAAGGTTTTAAGAAGCTTTTAAGAATCGAATTGCATCATTAAAAGGGTATCTATTGAATGTTTTAAAAGTCCCTAAGAACATTCTTAGCAATAAGGGAAGGTTCTAAGAATATTCCATTATTCCGGGTCATATCTTTTTAGAAGATTCTTAAAATCAAAGTTATTCTTTATTCAAAGATTAGTTATTTTACTTCGTTTTTGTTAGGGATCGTAAGTCAAATTGTTATTGGATTATTTAAGTTGGAGATGTCCGAAAACTATCCTTAAAATTTTAGGCTTTACTTTTCATAGAAAATGATCTTTATAGAAAGTATTAAACCAATCATAGCACAGCGTTCTGAACAGCACTTTAGTGTAGAAACGGAAACGAAAACAGAAACAGACAGGGGAAACAAACGGGAACAGACGGAAACGGAGACGGAAATAGACAAACTAGGTGCTATGGAGAATCCCGTGCTTTGATTAATTTATTGATTTTTATAAACGATTTTATCCATTTTTAAAGAAAGGCTTTTTTTTGTTTATGTTGGAGATGGATTCTTTTTTTAAAGATTAGTTTTTTTTTATATACTTTGCAACAAAGGTTTTTGGGGATGTAGGTACGAAAACAAATCTTTATTTCATTTGTAGTAAATCTTACCTCTTTTAAGAAGTTCTTCTGAGCTTCCTCATCCACCCTGTACAGTTCTTTGAGCACCATGACTTCTGCCGTGTCCCTTGTAGTCACCTTAAAAACTTGCCCGAAAAACCCCTGCCCCAAAAGTTCCCCTTTCACTAAATCGGAAGCCCTGAAGACCCTTTGTTGGGGGCGGGGCTCTAAGAACGAGTAGGCCCTGGATAATTCCAGGCATCTCTTGGAATTCGCCGCCCTGAAATCAATTTTCGTATCACCGCTAGCGTGTGGTAGTTTTTCGCGATTATTTACTCATCTAGCAGTCTGCTCATGGAGGAACTGCGTTCCTTGTCCAGGCAAGGTTTGTTCTCGGCCAAATGATTTTTTCTTCTCAGCTGTCTAGACCTCGTGCCGGTCATGTAACCCTCGTCTTTTCTTTTGAACAGTCTCTCCTTGTTCTCACCCTTGCCGTTGCGCGCTTTGTGTTTCGGCTCGTTTAGTTCGCCAAACTCGCACTGTGGCGCTGAAACGACAAGTTTGGGGTGTGGATTAGGCCTATAGGGGATACCACGGTAAAAAAAACGCGCCCGATACTCTACCTCTAGGGTGGTGCGGAAAAGAGTATGACATGGATCTATATATTTTTTTTAATTGCTTGTGTATAGTTTAGTAAATTAAATCCAAAATAAAAATATTTTAAAGCCAATATGTTTTTTTATTTTAAATATTAAGTAGGATTTTTTTAATTAATAATCCTTTTCGTACCTAAATAGTAGATAAGGTAAGTAACGTATTTCATATATAAATTAAGACAATAACATTTAATTAATATTTTTTTACTGTGCATAGGTACTTATTTTTAATAAAACTTTTTTTTAATCTTTTAAAATTAAAAAAAAATACTTTTATCCGAAATCGGCAGTAAAGTAGTCAACATTTGGCAGTAAAGTAAAGTGAAAGAAAAAAAATACGACTTTACTGCCTTAATACATAAATATCCATTTTATTTGTAATAAAAACAATTTTGAACTATTTTCGCAAAACGATCTAGAAACGCATTAAAAAATAAAACCTTTGTTTTTTTCGATCAAAATATGGTTAATTATACGTAATAAATAAGTCTTACTTAAAACAGTAAAAAAGAAAAAAAAAAATATTTGTATTTGTAATAAAAACAGTTTTGAACTACTTTCGCAAAACGATCTAAAAAGCATTAAAAAATAAAAGCTTTATTTTTTCGATGAAAATATGGTTAATTATACTACCTAATAAGTCTTACTTAACACAGTAAAAAAGAAAAAAAGGGAATATTATTTTTGTAATAAAAACGATGTAAAAACGCATTAAAAAATAAAACCTTTATTTTTTTCTATCAAAATATGGTTAATTATACCTAATAAGTCCTACTTAACACAGTAAAAAAGAAAAAAATATATATTTATTTGTAATAAAAAACGTTTTGAACTATTTCCGCAAAACAATCTAAAAACACATTAAAAAATAACACCTTTATTTTTTCGATCAAAATAGGTTAATTATACCTAAGTCTTACTTAACACAGTAAAAAAGAAAAAAAAGGCAATATTATTTTTGTAATAAAAACAGTTTTGAACTATTTTCGCAAAACAATCTAAAACCGCATTAAAAAATAAAACCTTTATTTTTTAGATCAAAATATGGTTAATTATACCTAATAAGTCTTACTTAACACAGTATTATTTTTGTAATAAAACCAGTTTTGAACTATTTTCGCGAAACGATCTAAAAAAGTATTAAAAAATAAAACCTTTATTTTTAGATCAAAATATGGTTAATTATACCTAATAAGTCTTACTTAATAAGTCTTACTTAACACAGTAAAAAAGGAAAAAAGGAATTATTATTTTTGTAATAAAAACGTTTAGAAGTATTTTCGCAAAACGATCTAAAAAAGCATTAAAAAATAAAACCTTTATTTTTTTCGACCAAAATATGGTTAATTATATCTACCTAATAAGTCTTACTTAACACAGTAAAAACGAAAAAAATAAATATTTATTTGTAATAAAAAACGTTCTAAACGATCTAAAAACGCATTATAAAATAAAACCTTTATTGTTTCAATCAAAATATGGTTAATTATACCTAATAAGTCTTACTCAGTTAGTCTTACTTAACAGAGTAAAAAAGAAAATTTTATTTGTAATAAAACGATCTAAAAACGCATTAAAAAATAAAACCTTTATTTTTTTCGATCAAAATATCGTTAATTATTTCGAATAATTCTTACTTAATAAGTCTTACTTAAAACAGTAAAAAAGAAAAAAAATATATTTGTATTTGTAATAAAAACAGTTTTTAATTATTTCCGCAAAACGATCTAAAAACGCATTAAAAAATAAAACCCTAATTTTTTTGATCAAAATATGGTTCATTATACGTAAAAGTCTTAATTACCATAGTAAAACGATAAAAAATTAATATTTATTGAAATTTTAAATATTTTTTATTTTTTTTTAATTTTAAAAAAAGGAAAAAAGTCTTACATTTTGTTCTGCCTTCATTTAACGAATCTGCAGATCCAAACCCCAAAAAATCCCCAGTGGTTTTATTTGTTGGAATGTTGGTATCACTGGAAGTTGTTGTCAGAGGTAGGGTTGATGGAAGTGTCAGTTTTGATATTTTTCTCGATATACATTCAGGGTCATGTTCGATTGTCAACTAAAAAAAAAATAAAAAATAAATAGCAGTGGTATATTCCCCCACCCCCAAACTTTAATACCTGCAATACATTGTCGGAATACCTCAACAGGTTTTCCACATTTTCAAGTGGAGTATCCTTAACTGGGGTGCCGTTTATTTCCAATATTTTGTCACCAATATGCAATGACATCAAATCCGTGTTCATATCAAGTCTACAAATTTTTAAAATTGTTGTATTCAGAGAAATAATATAATTAATTGTTAAATTGTTAATAACCTACCTATAAGGGTTAGGCATAAAATAGCAGCAAATATTAAAAGCGTTTGTTAGAAAAGCAAAAGCCAGCTGCAAAACTTTCCCTTGCACCTTCCACACCATCCTTTAAAAAAATCAACGTGTTAAAATATTAATAAAAATCCCGTTAGAATCCCACTTAAATTAGTACTCACTCAGATATCGTAAAACATTCACTGTTTGTGCCTTGCAAAGAATTCTTCAACAATTTTATCCCCTGTTGCCCACCCGGAATCTCTACGAGTCGAATGGAATGCGGTTTTCTAATAAAGGGAAATTTGGCAGTTTTTTGTAACGGCTGCATCTGCCTTTTATAGCACTGTCCACTAAAAAAACGAAATAAACACAAAATAACCTCAAATTAAGCAAAACTCACCAATATAATTTGGATCTTTCCACAAGTGCATAAGAATCCCCATCTCCAATGAAAGCCCCACAGCTACCACAACAAAAACATTCCGGATGGAATTTGTGCTCCCCTGCAACCATAACAGGCCCTGTAATAATCTAAAAACAATTCTTTGTATAGATATTATAATAATAAACTATTAAATAAATAAATAAATACCTGGCTGCACTGTTGGCAAGCTTCCCCATATCTAGCCCAGTAATCATCCTTACAGAATAAGAGCCCTTCTTTCTCAAAATACCAACTAGACAGAGCCGCATCGCACGCAGAACACCTAAAATAATTAATTTTGACGTTTCGAAATTCACGCAGTGAGGTTATGTCGCTACCTGAAGCATTCCATGTGCCATTTCTGATCCAACGCAGAGATAAACTCCTCGTCCTCCAAAATGTTGAGGCATCCAGCGCAAATGTTTTCGTTGCAGGGGATCACATCGTCTGCGAATATAACAAAACAAAACATTGGTGTAGTGTGAAGCTACCTTCCTGTCAAAATATTTTGTTGTAACTTTGTTTATCGCGTATTTTTTGACTGTTAATGTTAATTTGCGTAGTGATAAATGTATTCTGTGAGTTTCAATTGTTAATGAAAGCTAGAAGTGCTGTAATTCTAAAAAACATGAAACATGTTCGTTTTGACATTTCATCTGTCATCCCACGCAGGAAAAGGTCGTGTTAGCAGGATTTCCTTGGGTTTTAGGGGTTGAAAACTATTTAGATCGGGTTTTTGCGGCGAAAAATGTGCATGTTATTTGATTTCAAAGCTGGAATGTTAAAACACGTACCGTATTCTACTTGGTCTTGCATTATTTATGTTCAATCTAGTGACATTTTAATAACATGGCCACCACTGAATTGTTTTGAAGGTAGGTTCACAAGACAACAAATAAGAAAACAGAGATGCATTTAATAATTTTAAAAAAATATGAATATAATTATGATAAATAAATTAGTTTCTTATCTAAAACAAAATAAACATAACTTTGTTATTATACTAATGCAAGAATTTAAAGAAATCATACATTTTGAATATTAGAGCTTCACGGAGGTTAGGATTTCGTATGGTTTGTTTTAAACATTCCTTTGTATATTTGAAATAAGTTATAGTATCTTTTGACACCTTAATATTTTATAAAAATACAATTGTACATACATAAAATATTTATAAAAAAAATCTACTTACTGAGATATTACACTTCACGGTGGATAGGTTTTTAAATGGCAAATTAATGAACTTAAACTTTTGAATTATAAAACAGCAACACTCTCATCTGCATATAAATTCTAACTGACCTTCGGGAATCACATGCATCTATAATGTCGTAAACAGAGGTTTTTGCCTATTTAAAATGATTAAAGCGCCATCCGTTGCATAAAATTTAAAGCAAAAACAGATTCACGGAGAATAGAATAAATTTTTGTAGCACCTACGTAAATGGTTATAAAAATTATTTATTTTAATTTTTAATAATATTTTATATTTGATTCGATTGCTTTGGATGTGTTTAATTTACTTGGTGAACTGATATTTTTAGTATGCTTTTATTACCTCAGATATTTGAAAACATATAGGTTAACCTAGAAAGATTAACAGTCATGGAGGATAGGTTTTGGAATTTTGGGACCTGAGCTGTAATATCTACTTAATTATGAAAGATCAAAACACAATAAAAGTGTAACTTATTTAGTTTTATTAAATATCGTGAGATTCACCCATGTATTATTAGGTTATTTATTTACTCATCCTGCATTTTCAATAAAACATACCATAGTATTCAAGTACGGTCCTGTTCAATTTAAATTTGCCGCCACCTTAGAGGAAACGACAGAGTCACTAACGAACCAGTCACATGACCTCGCTCGAACCAATCGCGTGCTTTGAATTTTTTAAGTCCGCAAAGAAAAGAACCCAAGCGTCTCGTACGTAAATTTTCTTATTGAATTGAAAAATGTGATAGAAGTGCGTTTTGTTGAATTATTTATACCGGATAATTGGCATTTTCTTATTGTTTAATTGATTATTGTTTTAAAGGTTGGCATCGTTCTAGCCAACGGTTTTTTTTTAGTTTATTTGTGAAATTTTGAATCTGTTGACTGCAAAATGGTCAGAGGTATGTTGATTTATGGATTTTACGTTGTTTTAAGTTTGTTTAAGCCATTATAAGAATAAGTTTTGTTGAATTGTTGCTTTTTTAACGTTGTTTGTCCGCCATTTTTATTTTGTAATGACATACGCATAGGTAACCTAAAAAGTTTGTTTATTTAGCTTTAGGAATATTAGTACTGTAAAGTATCTGGTCACCAGATTCTGGTGATTTTATTATATTTGTATTTTTAGGTCGTAGAGTAAGGGCTGTTGTAGCATGTAGTCGTAATGATGACTGCTGCTCTCCAAATCCGAAGAGGAAAGATCAAAAAATTAATATTACAGGAAAATTATCCCATACCCCAACCAAAACGCACACAATAACTGAATTCTTTCAGGTAGGAAAATATAGTTTTTAAAACAAAAAATATAAATTTAACAGCATAAGAAAGTCTGTATCTTTTAATATTCTAGGTAAAACTTGTATTATTAGTTTGGTTATTAAATTATCATTCTTTTAAGTTGTTTTATTTTTATTTATGTTAAATCAGGGCTGTTATTAAACTTTCAAATTTCAATTTAAAGGTTAATTTGTGGTTATGTTAAATTAACCAATGCTGTCTGAATTCAAATTTAACCAAATCCAAATGCAATTAAAGAAAAAAACTATGTAATTTTAGGCTGTATGCGATATAGACATAAAAAACACGGAAAATAATGAAATCAAAGAGCTGAGAAGGGCTCGCAGAAAAGGTACCCCAACAAAATTGGATTTAAACAAGGTAGAACCCACTGAAGTGTTGTACAAGAGTTTCAACAACGAGTTAATATTGAACACCTGCCCGACAACGCCAGTAATGAACAAGTTAAGGAACGGTAAAGATGTTTCCTCCCCTCCAACTCCTCACAGAATTGAGTTGCGATCAGAGGTTGTGGAGGAAATAAAGGAGGAGATTTTGGCGGAGCCTCTGGAGGCTCCGATTAAAGTTGAAAAAAAATTGAACGTCAAGCAGGAGGCCGACAAGCAGCAAGAAAAGAAGATTAAAAGTAACGATATCACGAGTTATTTTTCGGTGAGACGTTCTGTTAGAAAGACGAAAAAGGTCGTTTTGGAGGAAAAGCAAAGGATTCTGGAGGAGGCTGTTAGGGGTGGGAAGCAAGATGGCCTAAAGGTGAGAATAAGTTTTGATAAAAAAAATTTGCTAATTTTGCTGTTCAAAAATTGCCTACAAAATATTGACTTAAATATTGTAATTTCGCAGATAATCGCGATTTTATCCTAAGATAAAATCGCAATTATCTCTGAAACTGCAATATTTATGAGATAATTTATAAGAACTTTTTTTGTAGACAATTAAATTTACTAATACTTGGAATAAGTAAATTTTGTCAGGAAATCACAATTTTAAGTTAAAATCGCAATTATCTCTGAAATTGCAATATTTATGCGATAATTGACCTTTTTTGTAGACAATTAAATTTTCCAACAAATTATGTTAAATAAACTTTTTTTACTTTTTAAATAAGTTTTGTTAAAAATATGATAATTTTAAGATAAAATCGCAATTATCTCCTAAATTGCAATATTTATATCATAATTGATAAGGATCTTTTTTTGTTGAAAATTAAATTAACTAAAAAAATAACTTGGAATAAGTAAATTTTGTCCAAAAAATTACAATTTTAAGATAAAATCGCAATTATCTCCATAAATATCATATTTATACCACAATTGATAAGGACCTTTTTTGTAGACAATAAAATTTTCCAACAAATTATGTTAAAAATACTTTTTTTACTTTTAAAATAAGTTTTGTTAAAAAAATTACCATTTTAAGATAAATTCGCAATTATCTCCTAAACTGCAATATTTATGGGATAATTGATAATTTGCAAAAAAAAATACTTGGAATAAGTAAATTTTGTCAAAAAAAATTACAATTTTCAGATAAAATCGCAATTATCTCTTAAAATACAATATTTATACCATAATTGATAAGGACCTTTTTTGTAGACAATTAAATTTTCCAACAAATTATGTTAAAGATACTTTTTTTACTTCTAAAATAAGATTGTTAAAAAATGACTATATTAAGATAAAATCGCAATTATCTCCTAAACTGCAATATTTATGGGATATTTCATAAAAATATACAATAAAATTACTTGGAATAAGTAAATTTTGTCAAAAAAATTACAATTTTTTAGATAAAATCGCAATTATCTCTTAAAATACAATATTTATACCACAATTGTGATAATCACCTTTTTTGATGACAATTAAATTTTCCAACAAAGTATATTAAAAATACTTTTTAATTAATAAGGACCTTTTTTGTTAAAAATTAAATTTACAAAAAAAATTACTTGGTATAAGTAAATTTTGTCAAAAAAATTTTTTTAAGTTAAAATCGCAATTATCTCTGAAACTGCAATATTTATGCGATAATTGACAAGGACCTTTTTTTGAAGATAATTAAATTTTCCAACAAATTATGTTAAAGATACTTTTTTTACTTCTAAAATAAGATTGTTAAAAAATGACTATTTTAAGATAAAATCGCAATTATCTCCTAAACTGCAATATTTATGGAATATTTCATAAAAATATACAATAAAATTACTTGGAATAAGTAAAGTTTGTCAAAAAAATTACAATTTTTGGATAAAATCGCAATTATCTCTTAAAATACAATATTTATACCATAATTGTGATAATCACCTTTTTTGATGACAATTAAATTTCCCAACAAAGTATATTAAAAATACTTTTTAATTAATAAGGACCTTTTTTGTTAAAAATTAAATTTACAAAAAAAAATTACTTGGTATAAGTAAATTTTGTCAAAAAAATTTTTTAAGTTAAAATCGCAATTATCTCTGAAACTGCAATATTTATGCGATAATTGACAGGGACCTTTTTTTGAAGACAATTAAATTTTCCAACAAATTATGTTAAATAAATTTTTTTTACTTTAAAAATGAGTTTTGTTAAAAAAATGACAATTTTAAGATAAAATCGCAATTATAATAATAATAATAATAATAATAATAATAATAATAATAAGTAAATTTTGTCAAAAAAAATGACAATTGTAATCTCAATTATCTCTGAAACTGGAATATTTATGAGATAATTGACAAGGACCTTTTTTGTAGACAATTAAATTTTCCTACAAATTATATTAAAATTACTTTTTTTACTTTTAAAATAAGTTTTAAAAAATGATAACTTCAAGATAAAATTGCAATTATCTCCTAAATTGCAATATTTATACCATAACATGTAAGGATCTTGCTTTGTTGAAAATTAAATTAACTAAAAAAATTACTTTGAATAAGTACCTAAATTTTGTCAAAAAAAAAATTACAATTTTAAGATAAAATCGCAATTATCTCTAAAAATCCAATATTATACCATAATTGATAAGGACCTTTTTTGTAGACAATTAAATTTTCCAAAATACTTTTTTTTACTTTTAAAACAAGTTTTGTTAAAAAAAATGATAATTTTAAGTTAAAATTGCAATTATCTCCTAAACTGCAATATTTATGCGATAATTGATAAAACCTTTTGTTAAAAATTAAATTAAGCAACAAAATTTACAACAAAAATTACTTGGAATAAGTAAATTTTGTCAAAAAAAAATACAATTTTAAGATAAAATCGCAATTATCTCTGAAACTGCAATAATTAAGGAACTTTTCTGTTTAAAATTTAATTACAACAAAAACTTTTACTTAAAATGAGTACATTTTGTTAAATAAAATCGCAATTATCTCTGAAACTGCGATAATTAATAAGGACATTTTTTGTTGAACATTAAATTAATTAACAAAATTTAAAACTAAAATTTTTACTTGGAATATGTAAATTTTATTTAAAAAAATGACGATTTTAAGATAAAATCGCAATTATCTCTGAAACTGCAATATTTATGCAATAATTAATAAGGACCTGTTATGTTGAAAATTGAATTAATTAACAAAATTTACAATTACAATTTTTACTTGGATTAAGTAAAAGATTAAATTGCAATTATCTCTAAAACTGCAATATTTAGGCGATAATTAATACGGTTTTTTTGTTGAAAATTAAATTAACAAAATCTACAAGTAAATTTTTTAATTCAAATAAGTAAATTTTGTTGGCAAAAATGAAAATTTTAAGATAAATTTGCAATTATCTCTGAAACTGCAATATTTATTCGATAATTAATAAGGACATTATTTGTTGAAAATTAAATTAATTAACAAAATTTACAAGTTTTTTACTTTAAATAAGTAAACTTTGTTAGCAAAAATGACAATTTTGAGATTAAATCGTAATTATCTTTGAAAATGCAATATTCATGCAATAATTAATAAGGACCTTTTATGTTAAAAATTGAATTAACTAACAAAATTCCACAATAAACTTGTTTTTCATTAAAATCTCTGGTAGAAATACGTTTTGTTTTTTTGATAAATAAAACAGTAAGATCCAGAAACCTGTAACTTTTTATAGATATTTTCCAAAATTTTTATGTAGCTTTTTTAGTTTCAATCAATTTTAGAGGGTCAAAATTTAAAAAAGTGAATTTTGAAAATTTGCCTTTAGACAAATGCGTTGAAACTTTCGACCTCCACATTTTATGTCTTAAAAACAACAAACGATTATTCTCCTCCGTAGGTTTGCGATTTCGAGGGCAAAGGCCGAGGCGTAATCGCCACCAAAGACTTTGAAAAGGGAGATTACGTAATCGAATACGCCGGCGAACTCATAGACACTTTGGAGGCAAAAAAACGCGAGGAACAGTATGCGCAGGACCAAACCACCGGCTGCTACATGTACTACTTCAAGCACAACGAGCAGCAGTACTGGTAAGTACAATTTTTCGTTTCATCCTCTACCCCCAAGAAACGTTTTTTTAAAGCGAGAGAGATAGGCACGGTGCTGTTCTGAGAGGTGATTTTTGGACTTTCTGTGAAACCTAATTTTTTTTATATTCTTGTTAATTAGCTCATAACTAAAATTTTAAGAGCAAAATAAAAAAAAATTGACGGTTTGAATTGTTTTAATTGGCTGTTTATTGAAAATATGTATGCACACTTTCAATTCTCCAATTAAAACTTGCGATTTTATTTAAATATTATCATAACTTTTTAAATCAGATTAAAGATTAGTTAATTTCCCAAAAAAAGGTCTATACATTTTTATATCTTTTACTGTTTTGTTGTAATACACGTTTAAAGTTTTAATTTAAGGTTAAATGTATAGTATACATTTATTAAACAATAATTCTAAGGGTGCCACATTTTATTTAGGGCCGATTTATTCATTTTTGATTTATTTGACGAATAATTTCTTTGGATACTAGATATTGCCAAGACATGAAAGTTATCGGCCCGATAAACTTTACTAAAGATGAATAAACCGGTCCTTAGTTAAATTTCATGAATTTCTTCCTAACTTTTACTACAATTTTTCATTTTTGTTTATAAAAAACACTTTAAAAAACTAAACAAAAATTATAGAATACGTATACTGAAAATGACAATTCAAACGTCAAATAAATTTTTAATAGATCTAAGTTTCATGGCAACCTGTAAGGATATATTAATTAAGGGAACATAAATGTATACGTCAAAGGTTAGATTAAAAGTTTGAACGTTTATTGCAACAAAACAGTAAAATATATAAAAAAAATTGTAAAAACCTTTTTTTTAGTTATGCAAATATTAAATATTTAAATTAAATCGCTAGTTTTAATTGTATAATTGAAAGAGTGTATAATATTTTTAATAAACAGCCAATTAAAACAATTCAAACCGTCAATTTTTTTTTATTTTGCTCTTAAAATTTTAGTTATGACCTAATTAACAAGAATATAAAAAAAATTAGGTTTCACAGAAAGTCCAAAAATCACCTCTCAGAACAGCACCGTGTAGCAGATATTGTATTTTTAGCATCGACGCTACGGCGGAATCGGGAAAACTCGGCCGGCTAGTTAATCATTCGCGGTTTGGCAACCTCGCCACAAGAACGATAATGCTGGGTAGCAAACCGCGTTTAGTTCTCATAGCCAAAGACGATATCAAAGAGGGCCAAGAGGTACTCTACGATTACGGTGACAGATCCAAGGAGTCCTTGAAACACCACCCCTGGTTGGCCAACTGAACAAAAAAAAAATTATAAACTTTGTACATAGTGTTTTACTCCTCGGTTTATTTTGACTACCTACGCAATTTTTAGGACCAAAAATGTCTACTGTACTTTTAAATTTAGACATGGTTTTCTAAAAAAATATCAGACTGATAATAGAATTTTTTTTAACGTGCAACTCGAATGTTACTTTAGTCTAGAAGTGCACAAATTATGACAAAAAATCGAAATATTTATATTTTTTGTTCACTAATATGTCCAAAAATGTGGTTTCATTTCTATCTCGTAAAAATTACCGAAATTAGGCAACCCACTACACAGACTTTAACGGCGGCCATTTTTATGTCGCTTGCAATTCTTGCGCTTTGGGTTTTTACTGTTTATACAGATTAATAATCGTTTTAAATGTTGTCTTCTTTTGTAAAAAATAAACCTTATTTTATCAAATGTCAATTTTAAGGTAATTTTATCATACCCACAAATAAAAAAAAATTAGGATATTTTGAAAGATTTGTAGGTATATTTTGGCTATTTCGAAAATTTTCAAAAATGTCGATTTTGGATAGTTTTTAAAAAAATTAATTTCGAGATTTTGGAAATTTTACATTTTAAAATTTTTGGATATTTGTAACTATTTTTGAAATTTGAAGTTTTAAAAGTTTATAAAGATTTTGAGTAAATGTTAAAATTTTTGGATATATGCATATTTTGACTACTTTTGGGAATTTATTAAAATGTCAATTTGATAATTTTGGGAATTTTGAAAATTTTTCCGACAATTTTTCAATTTTGAACTACCGTGCGATTTTGTCCTACCATTTTTTAAATTTATACTGCTGTGCGGATTTTTCGAAAGTTTTGTTGGTATATTTTAGCTATTTAGGAGTTAAGTAAAAAAAATTAATTTCGAAATTTTGTAAACTTGAAGAATTTTGGAAATTTTATATTTTAACATTTTTAGATATTTGCGACTATTTTGGAAATTTTAAGTTTAGTAGATTATTATTTAGAAGATTTTGAACAAAATTTTATGTTTTAGAGGTTTTGTAAATTTTTAAAATTTTAGTTTGGATATTTTTAAGTTTAAAAATTTTAACTATTTTGGAAATTTAAAAAATGTAAAAATTATGAAAAATATAGAAATTAAAAAAAAAAAGTTTTAGGGATCTTAAAATTTTTAAAATTAAAAAAAAAATTGAAGGTTTTGGATATTTTTAAAATTTTTCCGACAATTTTTCAATTTTGAACTACCGTGCGAATTTATCCTACCATTTTTTAAATTTACACTGCTGTCCGAATTTTCCCAATTTTTTTTTTAATTTTGAAACACTACGATTGTCCTACCAATAATGAATTGTCATCAAACTGTCAAATTTGAATATTTTACCATACCAACAAATTTAAAATTGAATATATTTTGGAAATTTAAAAAAATGTAAAGATTTTGGATATTTAAATTTTCAAAAAAGTTAATTTCGAGATTTTGTAAATTTTAAGAATTTTATATTTTAAATTTTTTGGATATTTGCGACTATTTTGGAAATTTTAAGTTTTGGAGATTTTGGAAATTAAAAAAAATTGAAGATTTAGAATAAAATTTTAAGTTTTAGAGTTTGTGTGAACTTTTAAAAATTTTGGATATTTGCATATTTTGACTATTTTGGAAATTTAAAACAATGCCAATTTGATAATTTTGGAGATTTAGGGAATTTTGAAAATTTTTCCGACAATTTTTCAAATTTGAACTACTGTGCGATTTTGTCCTACCATTTTTTAAATTTATAATGCTGTGCGAATTTTCCCAATTTTTTTAAATTTTGAACCACTGCGTATTTGTCCTACCATTATTGAATTGTCATCTAACTGTCAAAATGTCAGTTTTAAGGTTAATTAACCTTAAAATTGAGATTTGACAGTTTGATGACAGCACTGATGGAATAAGGTTAATTTTTTACAAAAGAGGAGTAAAATGGTTGGTTAAATTAACCTTAAAATTAACAAGTGCGATTTTTAATCTGTATAAACAGCACAAGAATTGTAAACAACATAAAAATGGCCGCCGTGGGCAGTGGGTTGCCTAACCTCGCAATTTTTATTTTAAGAGCTACAACAGAAAAATTGCGTCCATTATTATGAAATTTTAATATTGAAAAAAAATCTGCGATTCTCAAATAATTATAAAAAAAATTAAGTTCACTTTTTTCAAAATGCCAGTTTTTCAATTTTTAAATTTCATTTTAATAGACAACTTTTCTGTGATTTGATCGGTATTATAAATAAACGTTCAAAAACTATTTTGGACATGTTAAAAATAAAAAATATTGATTTAATTTCGAACTGAAAAACCTTGGGATTTAATTTAATTTGAAAGAAGTGCTAGGTTAGAGATTTTACGGTTTAAATTTTTATTTGTCTGTGAAAAAACTGTTTTGACAAATTGCAATGCAATAATGATAATAATAATAATAATAATAAAGGGTTACCAAACCCAAATCATGATTTACTTAAAAAAATATATTAATAGGTTAATGTGGTTATGGCCCATAACCACATAACTTATGGGAAATTAACCTAAAAAAACAAAAGAGGAGTAAAATGGTTGTTCTTAGAACTTTAAGGCCTGTTTTAAGGCTTAACAAAATCATTATTAAGCAAACAACATACCAGATAGAAATTTTGTAAAATTTTAAAATTGGTGTATATCTAACACTTCTTTCTCGTCGGTATTATTTTAGCCCTGTATATAACATTTTTACTTAATTTTATTTATTTTTCATAATTTATTGATGACTCCAATATTATTAATACAGTATTGGCCCAAAAACGTATTTTGTTTACTATTGGCTTGTACTGTACAATTTTCACTAGGTATTTATTAAGAGTTTTATTTCGGCGTTGACAATTTATAACATCGTATACAAAGTGTTGTAAAATGGAAAAAGGAACATACCTCGCTCATCTGTTGAAAAAAAAAATTGGCGGAAAATAGAGTAGAGGTTGATTTTTGTAGGAAAGCTTTTCTGTAAGATCGCAAGTTGATTAATTTAGACAATGTTTTTTATTAGGAAAAAGTGTAGACTTTGTAGAACCACATTGCTGTTATACAGTTGTATTAGATTTTTTATTTAATATAATATATACTGTTTAATGTGTTTTTTATTTTACAAAAATTTCCCTCTATCAGTAAAAGTGCCTCAGGTTAATTTTATTTTATATAATATAATATATAATATATATTTATATATATATATATATAATATATATTTTATATAATATAATATATACTGTTTAATGTGTTTTTTATTTTACAAAAATTTCCCTCTATCAGTAAAAGTGCCTCAGGTTAATTTTATTTTAATTATATGCCAGAATGATGAAGAAAGTGCTTTATGTGCATAAAAATAAAACTTAACAAATTTTTAACATGACCGTGGCATACTTTTTTTCATGTGATTTGAATACAAAATTTTAATCTTTAGAAGTTTTATAAATTTTGAAAATTTCAGTTTGGATATTTTTAAGTGTAAAAATTTTGAAAATTATAGATATTTTAAAAATTTTAAGTTTTGGAGATCTTGTAAATTTTGAAAATTTAAAAAAATGCGAAGATTTTTGATATTTTGAAAGTTTTTAAAGATTTTGAGGTTTTGGAAATTTTAAAAATGTTGGATATTTGCATATTTTGAAAATTTAAAAAAATGCCAATTTGATAATTTTGGATATTTTGAAAGTTTTGGAGATTATGGGAATTTTGAAAATTTAGTAAGTTTTAAGAAATTTGGAAATTTCATATTTTAAAATTTTTGGATATTTGCGACTAATTTGAAAATTTTAGGTTTTGGAGATTTTGAAAATTTAAAAAAATGTGAAGATTTTGAATATAACATTTTAATCTTTAGAGTTTTTAAAATTTTGAAAATTTCAGTTTGGATATTTTTGAGTGTAAAAATTCTAAAAATTATAGATATTTTAAAAATTTTAAGTTTTAGAGATCGTGTAAATTTTGAAAATTTAAAGAAATGCAAAGATTTTGTATATTTTGAAAGTTTTTAAAGATTTTGAGGTTTTGGAAATTACGTCAAAAGGTATTCAGTATTTTAATATCTTACACTAATTATATAACACCCTTTAAAAGAGTCTAAAAGTAAGAAAAAACCTCGTCTGAAAACAAAAATATGATTTTTCCCACTTCTTTAGTATTTATTTTTTGTTAAAGTGGTCTGTGGTCTGGACTTGGGTTAAAAATTAATTTAAAAATTTGAAGAGTAAAAAACCGTGGCACGATTTGTTGTGTTGTTGGGTGTATTTCAAGAGGAAATCCTGGGTTGAGTTTTTATCGGTTTTCCAATAAACAGTGTTATTCCGAATGAAGAAATAAATTCTGCACCAACAAAATTTGTCGAGTAAAGCTTAATTTTCATGTATCCGTTTGTCCGTCAGTCCGTTCATCCGGGATAGCTCTTATTGGTCCAAGTTGAAACTTGACGGACCGATAAAATGTCATAATTTTCGAATTATAATTGGACCAATAAGAGCGCTCCTGGATGAACGGACTGACAGACAAACGGATACATGAAAATTAAGCTTTAGACTTGACAACAATACATTTAATTTGAAACTGTCATCCATTTATTTATTATTATGTATGCTGTCATCTCTAATTTAGGAGGTCTAAATTATTTATTTTGTAATGGTTGTTTTAAGTCCAAATTCAAATGATTCGGTCGAGGATGAGGTGCCACGAAAAAAAATTAAGTTGTCGGAAGATACCGATTACATAAACTCACTGCCGGATGAAGTGTTGACAGTAATATTTTCGTACCTTTCTCAGACGTTTTTGTACTCGACCGCCAGATCCGTGTGCAAAAGATGGCGTAATTTAGCCTGCGCTTCGGAGCTGTGGAGGAGAATAATCGCCGGGGAGAACATAACCACACAATCTCTCGAGTGTTGGATCAAAATGGCGACGCACTTAACCGAAATCACTTTGACGGAAAGGCGCGATATAAACTGCATTGCGCAACGCCTGGCAAGGTACTCGAGAAATCTTGCCACACTCAAAATCGAAAACTGCTGGGGAACTAAAGACTCCAAATGCATTAAGGGCGCCAATTTATGCCAAATGGTGTTGCACTGCAAACGTTTAAGCAACTATCACTTCAGCGACACCAAGATAAGATCATCAAAGTTCTTCAGGTTACTGAGTCAGCAGAGAAACTCCAACCCAATGCACAAATGCAATTATTACGGACCTGTGTCCAAGAAGCAGTTGCAAGTCTTCATCGATGCTATCACTAATAGCGATGCGTATAAAGGCGCCACAATTAACAGGGGCGTAAACGAGCATCGAGTTTTTTCGCAACCAGTAGGGATTGATAATGAGGATAATCAAAACCAAAACAACCATGGTGTTCTTGCGGCATTGATGCAACATATCGTAAATAATGTTAATGATGAAGTGGTAGAATAAAAACATTTTACTAGATAGATTTTTTTTTAAAACTCCCGTTTCACATGACCGTCGTATGTCCCTCGAGCAAAATCCAATATTTGCGATCTTCTAAAAATTTAATTCGACTTTTAAGTAGCGAAAGAAAATGATATCGAACAAATGTTGGGTTCTTTGTGTCATAAAATTGTCTGATATAGCCATTATTCACATGACCGTAGAAGGACTTTTAGGTCGTCTATTTGCCGCTAGATGGCACTGCATGTGTGAATTAAAATATTTTATTATTGCAAATGGCGACCGTTAATTGTGCAGTTTAGTTAGCGATACATTTACAGTTCATGTCGTGTATTTTAATATAGAAAAGGTAAGTTAAAGTTCTTCGTATTTTTTTTATTAACATGACCGTCAATCGCCATGTTTTTTTTGTTCTCGGTCGTTTACCGGTGGAAACTAACCTAAAATTCACAACATGGGGATACTTTTAATTTTGAGCAAATAAAAATGTGTGAAATCAAAAAAAGTATGCGACGGTCATGCTAAAAATTTGTGTAAATAAATCCAAAAGAACTTCCCTTAGTTAAGATATTTACAATTTGGGCCCATAACCTAAAATTTGTAAAAAATGCACTAGATTTTGGCATAAGTTGCCAGATTTTGTTTGAAATTACCTTCATTACAAAAATAACATCAACAATTAATAAAAATCTGGCAACTTTTTTGACAGAATCTGGAAAATTAAATTAGTATAATTGTTTTTCTGTTGTCACTATTTTAATCAGAAAAAAAAGTTAGCAATGGTGAGTTGATAACTTTCCGCACCCTGTATATAAACGTAAAACATGGTACAACGTTGTTTCAGCATTCAACTGAATAGAGTGTGCAATAAAATACTTTTACTTAAATAATATTATATTAAAAAGTTGCACAATATACTTTGGTTGAAATAGTTTCTTATAGGTAATAGAAATGTTAATAAATTCATATATTTTTTGAAAATATATACAAGTAAGGTATCAAATTAATATTATAATAATTTTGATAGGGGATCGTCGAGAACTTCTTTGTTTTCCAATTTTTTCACTGCTGGTTTTTTAACTTTTTTTATTTCATTGGTAGCAGACCCTAAAACAAAGTATAACTGAAAAAGTTTTAAGATTAAGATTAAGTCGGAAAAAGTCTGAATAAGTCTTAGTAAGTCAGACTAAGTCTTCTAGAAGAGTTAATAAGACTTTATAAGACTTTTAGCAGAGAAATGGTAGGAACCTAACTATAGCTAGCGATTAAAATAAATATCCGGAATTATTCAGAGAGGTTGTATTTGATTATTATAAAATAAAACACAAAGAAAAGTATTTATTAACATTTGGCCGGGTTGGAATAAGCCAAGTTTATTGCATAATTACCTATATAACATATGTGAGGTGTAATAATTATAACAATTATAGTTTTTTACTTTTGACTTGCTTTTATTGTTGCCACTGTACGTTTTATTTTAATAGTTTCTTTTCATATACGCAAATATTCATCTAACCATTGTTCCAAACAATTTTTAGACGCAATATCGATTTACTAAAACTTATTCAGATTTTTTAAGAGAAAGTAAGACTTTCAAAACACTTTCTCAGAGAAAAAATTCTAAATATTGTAACATCTGTTTTCTCAAAACAAAGTCCCTACAGAGGCATAAATTTAAAAAAAATAATCATTTGGTTTTTTTTATAAAAGAATCAAATTTGTTATAATTGCAGAAAAAATCTCACTTACCTTTGCTTCTAGTGGATGACGTTCCAAAGAGGTCATCTTCATCGTCGTCATCATCAAAAATCGATTTCGATTTTCCGGCGTTTTTCAGGGTTTTCTTCTTTTCGACGAAAAAATCTTCATCGTCATCGTCGTCGAAGATGTCTTTCTTCTTTTCTTCTCTATTTTTGGAATTGCCATCTTCGGACTCCAGGGAACCCCCGAAAACGTCTTTCTTCAGTTTCGAGGGTTTTTCTTCTTTCACCGTTGCATCTTCTTCCGCATCTTTGGACATAGAGCCGAATAGGTCTTCGAAATCTTCCGATGGTTTTGTAACTTTCTTCGACGTGGATTTCGCGGAAAAAAGATCGGAGTCGTCTGAATCTTCCGCGAATATGCTTTCTTCGTTTTTACTGAGTTTCTTGCCGATTATTTCTTCTTGGTTTTTAGTTTCTTCGATTTTTTTGCTGCCAATGTCGTCTTCAAACTTTTTGTTGAATATATCCTCGATTTTTTTGCTGGTTTGGGCAAACACATCCTCTCCTTCTTCCTTGTTGTTTTTCTTTGTATCTTCTTTTGGTTGTTGTTTGTTTTCTTCATTTGTAATTTTTTTGGCTTCTTCAGTCGATCCAAAAAGTCTCTTGGTGTTCTCCAAAACATCTTGATCGGTTTCTTCCTTCATTGCTTGATGGAATTCTTCATTGAAATCCGCAATGGATTTTCTCAAAATTTCTCTACCTCTTTTGCTGGACGGTCTTCGTTTCACTTGGATTCTGGGTCGGTCCTAAAAAAATATGTCAACAAAAAAACTACTTACAGTTTTTTGTTGTACTGACTTTGGTAACACTGCTCAGAATTTCCACAGAAGCCTTTTCAATGGACATTTCTGATTGGCTAGTGGTCAGTTTGAATGATTTCGTTGGAAGCACCTTATCAGGTTCATCGAAAAACTCAGTTTTTGGTCTCTCCTTCTTCTTGGGGAGTTGCCCCATACCTGGTAGCAATTTGTTGACATCTATGTTCAGACTGTGTCTCAGTTTACCTGGAGAAGCTGAAACGATGATAATCATAGAAAAGTAGTTGAATATAGGTGACTACGGCCCAGGAGAGACACAGGCTTGCTCTAGCAGAATTATTAAGCCTGAATTATAGTTTGCCTTCCTTCCTTCCTCCCATAGAAGATGAACAATACGAAATTTGACGTAATTGTCACCATTAACATTTCCCGTGTAAGAATTTTTAATACTTTGTGATAATATTTTGCAATTATAGTAATAAAAAAAAATCAAAGATCAAATCGTATTTTAAAGTATCAATAATTGTTAAGTTTAATTAAAATTAATAACGGGCAATGTTAATGGTGACAATTACGTCAAAAATGTTTATTTAAATCGTAGTGCCAGTTATAGATTCCCGTACCGTAAGGACGGCATTCCTTCCTCCCGTAGAAATTTTTAAGTTTTATCTTTCATCTTAAGGGTCTTTGACATGACCAATCACGTTGCTTGTTATGGACATGCGCTGTAGGGTGACAGCGCGTAGGCACAAAATATTTAAAATACATGATTGTTTAGTATTATTTAAGATAGGTGTTCAGTTTATTAAATAATTTGTGTCTCTAAATAGGATATTTAGATATTGTTTATGATCAATGTCTTTCATTTTAGAAACGTTGCTTTGTAAAACCCCATAGTTTCCCGGTCTTGGTAAAGTGGGCGAGTCTTCCAACGTCTTGTATGATGTTTTTTTTTCATTATACTGCCCTACTATGGAGAAAGGCAGTAACTACAAATGCGTTTTCTTGTGCTATGGACATTTTGTATCTTAATTCAACAAAGAAATGCAGTAAACTATCTTTTAAGTTAAATAAATCAGTTAAATACCAACTGCTTTTTATTAAAATGTAGTTTATGCTAATTTCCCACAAATTTCTTGTTTAGCAGTTACTGCCTTTCTCCATAGTTGGGCAGTATACAACAAGCTGCCTGGGCAATTAAAATTGTGATCACTGCACTAATATATAAATGATTATCTTTCATATTTACACACAATGGGTAAAACGCAGAATATAAACGAAAACAAATGTCAACCATTTTAGGTGTCATCGCGCATGGTTACGGAATTTTACACGGAAATCTATAAATTGACTTTTTACAAGACGCACAAATCGTACGGGCACGACTACGGGAGGAAGGAAGGCAATCTATAATTCAGGCTTTATAGTTCTCCCACCTCTAATCATTCTGCTAAAACGTCTGTGATTGGCTACTTTATTTTATTAATAACTAATTAATGGTGCGTCTGATCAAAAAACACGAGTGCAAATTTAAAAAAATGAAATGTAGTTTTTTTCTTTTTGTATGCAATTAAGCATTTTAAAACCAGTATTAGCTAATCTAGTAGGGAAAGATATGCATTACCTACACAGTATTAATATTACTCATTACTATTATCTCAATGAAAAAAAGTTGCGCAACATTTATTAGATATTTTATCCTTATCACTTTTCAGTTTAATACTTCTTGACTATATAAGGTGTTCCGGAATTTCAACCAAAAATTTAAAGATTTAAAAGGTTTGCAAAACATGATTAATTTTTTATATTTCGCGCTGTTTAATCGCCTTGTATATCGCTGGTATCACTGGTTAGTTATATTGAGTCATACCATGCTAGATTTCCTAAATTTGTAAATGTTGAAATTTCTACGTCTTTTTCTTTAATTTTTTTATTTTAATTTTTTAAGAACAATATTCACATATTATGTAAATACACTCGCAGGCAAAATAATCGATCCACACAAATTTTCGATGAATTTCAATCGCAAATAGCTTGTTTATTTGATGTCGGATTTAAACGAATATTAAAGAATATTGTAGATAAATTAATGGACAATCGCTCACATTTTAAAAAAATTACTAAAAAATAAACGTACGTTTATAATATACAGGTTTAAACAAAAAGATGTTTTTTACCATAAGTTTAAGACACTCTGTAGAGTGGCAAAACCGTATATTGTTCTAAATTAAGTTTTATTTATCAAGTCACATCTATTCTTAACAGTTTTGTTTTTGGATCACCTCGATATATTTATTTTTGTGGAAAATATGGATTTAAAAAAAAACATTGCAATTTTCAATATTTTTCGGTATGAAGAACTAAGGTTGCTATGGTCCATCCATAGGCTATGGAGAATGACAGTGACAGTTTTGTTGAATCACCCCATACTTGGACATGTCATACACGGCTTTCAAAAGCTATCAAATTGTTTTTTGCAAATTAATGTTTAAATTTTGAGGTGTCTTCTTACTTTATAAAATGGATATGTCTCCGACTAATGTTGCCAGAGCCATTAATTTAATCCAGGATGGACGGTCACAGTATTACGTGGCAAGTGTTTTAAACGTCACAAGAAGTAAAGTACAAAGGCAACATCAGTCGGAGACATTTTTAAAAGTAAGAAGACACCTCAAAATTAACACATTAATTTACAAAAAACAATTTGATAGCTTTTGAAAGCCGTGTATGACATGTCCAAGTATGGGGTGATTCAACAAAACTGTCACTGTCATTCTCCATAGGCTATGGATGGACCATATTAACCTTAGTTCTTCATACAGGAAAAATATTGGAAATTGCAATGTTTTTTTAAAAAAATTCATATTTTCCACAAAAATAAATATATCGAGGTGAACCAAAAACAAAACTGTTAAAAATAGATGTGACTTGATAAATAAAACTTAATTTAGAACAATATAGGGTTTTGCCCCTCTACAGAGTGTCTTAAACTTATGCTAAAAAACATCTTTTTGTTTAAACCTGTATATTATAAACTTACGTGGATTTTTTAGTAATTTTTAAAATGTGAGCGATTCTCCATTAATGTATCTACAATATTCTTTAATATTCGTTTAAATCCGACATCAAATAAAAATGTTATTTGCGATTGAAATTCATCGAAAATTTGTGTGGATCAAGACACAAATTTTAAAATATATTACTTATATGTCATGATATAATAACATAATGAACCAGACACAATTTGATTAACCTTATCTTTGTTAAAAAAATATGAGCGTATATTTATTTCTTATCTATAAATTTGATGTACAAATTTAATAAATAAGTGTTGTTTATATAAATAATTAAGTAATTTGTTGTAAGGGCACATTTTATAATATAAAAAAATACTTACTGGTGCTAGTTTTGTCCCTCATCTGGACTACCGGTGGCTTGACACTGTTTTGCAGTTTCTCCTTGAGTGCGGCCACGTTCATGTCTTTTTCCGATTTGCTTCGTTTTGATGATGCGGGTCGCAGTCCCCGTTTGCTGTTCAGCTTGTCGAGTCTGTCTTTCGCTGCGGAAATTTTCGATTCGGAATTTTGTGGCCCGATTTTATCGGATCTGATATCGGCCTTATCTGTGCCCTCCATCTGCCTTTTATCGTCGAGTTTATCTTTTTCGGATGTGGGGTTTTCCGTTTTTTTGGGTTTGAGTTTGGGAGTCTCTTCCTCTGGAAAATATACGGAGCACATTGGAAAAAATGCGTAAAATAAAATGTAAATGGAAAAATTATCATTGGTGTCAAAATATGGGCAAATAGGTTGGAAAAATGACAACCACTTCCGGTGTGCTGTATACAGGGTGGACCAAACGGAACCTTTAATATTTTGAGAATCAATAAAAAATTACAATTCAAACAAGCCTTAAAAGAGGCCTTAAAGTGCCTTAGTAAAAAATAAACCTTATTTTATCAGATCTGTCATCAAACTGTCAAATGTAAATTTTAAGGTGAATTAACCTTAAAACTGACATTTTGAAAGTTGATGACAATTCAATAATGGTAGGAAAAATACGCAGAGTGGTTCAAAATTGAAAAATTTTGGGAAAATTCGCACAGTGATACAAATTTAAAAAAATAGTAGGACAAATTCGCACAGTAGTTCAAAATTGAAAAATTGTCGGAAAACTTTCAAAATATCCAAAATTATCAAATTGGCATTTTTTTTAATTTCCAAAATGGTAGAAATTGACATTCTGACAGTTTGATGACAATTCAATAATGGTAGGACAAATACGCACAGTGGTTCAAAATTTAAAAAAATTGGGAAAATTCGCACAGCAGTATAAATTTAAAAAATGGTAGGACAAATTCGCAGAATAGTTCAAAATTGAAAAATTGTCGGAAAATTTTTCTAAATTCCAAAAATCTCCAAAACTTTCAAAATATCCACAATTATCAAATTGGCATTTTTTTATTTCCAAAATATGCAAATGTCCAAATTTAAAACTTAAAATTTTTAAAAAATCTATTATTTTCAAAATCTTTACATTTTTTTAAATTTTCAAATTAGTCAAAATATACCTACAAAATAGTCAAAATTTTAAAATTTAAAAGTATCCAAACTAACTTAAAATTTTATTCAAAATCTTCACATTTTTCTAAATTTCCAAAATGTCCAAAACTTAAAACTTCCAAAATAGTCGCAAATATCCAAAAATTTTAAATTATAAATTTCCAAAATTCCTAAAATTTACAAAATCATTACATTTTTTTAAATTTTCAAAATATTTAAAATATACCTACAAAACTTTCAAAATATCCTAAATTTTTCATTTTTTTTTTAATTTGTGGGTATGGTAAATTAACCTTAAAATTGACATTTGAGTTTGATGACAATTCAATAGTGGTAGGACAAATACGCACAGTGGTTCAAAATTGAAAAAATTTGGGAAAATTCGCACAAAAGTGTAAATTTAATAAATGGTAGGACAAATTCGCACTGTAGTTCAAAATTGAAAAATTGTCGGAAAAATTTTCAAAATTTCCAAATTCTCTAAAACTTTCAAAATATCCAAAATTATCAAATTGGCATTTTTTTAAATTTCCAAAATGGCCAAATATCCAAAAATTTTAAAATTTACAAAATCTTTAAAAACTTTCAAAATATCCAAAATCTTTAAATTTTTTAAATTTTCAAAATTCAAAAAACTCAAAATTTTTAAAATATCTAATATTTTCAAAATCTTTACATTTTTTTAAATTTCCAAAATATACCTACAAAATCTCCTAAATTTTTCAAAATTAAAAATTTTATTCAAAATCTTCACATTTTTTTAAACTTCCAAAATCTCCAAAATAGTCGCAAATATCCAAACAAATTAAAATATAAAATCTTTACATTTTTTAAAATTCCAAAATACCCAAAATATACTTACAAAACTTTCAAAATATCCTACATTTTTAAATTTCTGGGTATGGTAAATTAACCTTAAAATTGACATTTGACAGTTTTATGACAATTCAATAATGGTAGGGCATATACGCACAGTGGTTCAAAATTTAAAAAAATTGGGAAAATTCGCACAGCAGTAAAAATTTAAAAAATGGTAGGACAAACTCGCACAGTAGTTCAAAATTAAGAAATTGTCGCACAGTGGTATAAATGGTAGGACAAATTTTCAATACTTCAAAATTTGTTTTAAAAAGTTTTACTATTACCATGTAAAATATCTACCTGTTGAATTGAAGTCTTCCACATCTCCGCTAGGCGTAATATCAACGTTCGATTCGCTATCCTCTTTATTAGATGCATCACCACCATTTTTAATGGACGTTTCAGCTATACTTTCCATCGTAGGTATTTCGGATTTATTTTTCGTCACCAAAAAACTGTCGTTAGACTGCTGATCGTTGAAAATGTCAGAAGACAATCTTCTCGATGAAGACGCGTAAGGGTTGAACGAATCAGCGTCTAGGTCACTTCTGAAATTACAAAAACCCTAAATAACCCTAAATTTCTTAATTTGGTTACAGAAATATTTATATCACTCTTATATACCCCTTAAAGAGCTTATTCGGGCAGTTTATGAAGGTTATCGGTACCTATTTTAGAAACACTATAAATAAAACCCAAGTTTTATAACTAGAGATAACAGAAATACTATGGAAACCACTATATAACTTCCTAAAGAACTGCTACCGGCTTTTTTCCTTCTTTTAATATTTCTATCTACCTCAGGCACATTTAAAATATATATTTCTTTATAGGTACGCTATCTTTCTTATTGTCAAACTTTATAAAACTCCTTTATAAACCTACTGGTAACGGTTACTAAAGGTTGTATAAAATGTTTGTAGAAACAATTATATACCTAGAGTTTACAGTAACCTTATATGACCATTATAAAGCTAGTAAACTAAATGGCGATTTTATAAAACCTTGTTAAACTTTTATATAATTTGACAACTCTTATATAACCTCTATATAATTTATCGTTTAAAAGTATAAATACCACATTAAAAAGAAAATAGTTCATTGAAGTTAAAATAAATATAACAAATAATTCCATAAAAAAATTATATAAAAGTCATTAGAAAATTAGATGGGCGAACAAGGAAACATATGTTGCTTGATGAAGGATTTTTAATAAGATAAAGCCGATAAACGTTGAATCTGACTAAATAATAAACGACAAATTATGTAGAACAGGTTTAAATTATTAATTAATATTAATATAACGCGAAATTCTAAAGAACCCAATAAACATTAGTTATTGCTAAGAAGATGGTCAACTTTAATTAATTAAACGAACAGCTGTTTAACTGTTAAATATTAACGATTTAATAAAAACTATTTCGTTTTATTTGCGAACTAATTTGAATTATTTAATTATTCTTTTCATATTGTAATTTGCGTATATACAGGGTGTTATGTGTAATTAATGTAATATATTCGACTAGGAACTTCAGGCTAATCTGGTTGCCTAATTTAATTTATTATGTTATGGTTGGTAACTAGCAGCGTTTTCAGATTCTGTCAAAAAAAGTTGCCAGATTTTGTTTAAATTTAGCCTAATTACAAAAATTACAAAATTAATTATGCAAATTGTTAATTTGGCGTTTTATTAATTGTTGATTACGTCATTTTTGTAATGAAAGTAAATTCAAACAAAATCTGGCAACTTATGACAGAATTTAGTGCATTTCTTTGAAATTTTAGGTTATGGGCCCAAATTGTAAATATCTTAACTAAGGGCAGTGCTTATATGGCTTTGGGAAAATATTTTTTTAAATATTTCCGTTACACTCTATGTCAAAAGGTATTCAGTATTTTAATATATTACATTAATTACAGAACACCCTGTATAAGGTGTCTCTAAAATCATTGTTGCAGTCTATAGAAATATATTTATTTTTTCTTATGTTTTCGTATTTTGCTCTGTGGAATTTATGATTTCTGGCAAAAAAATATTTTGAATTCTAAATATAAGTAAATGTCTTTCTCATAAAATAATCTATAAATATAAGGAGAGATCATTTCAAATAGTTTGCGTGTCAAAAACTGTTCTATTTGATACAAATAACCCAATAAATTTATCCAAAATGTTATCGATAAAATATTTGTATGATTTAAACAAATATTAAAGAATATTGTAGATACATTAATGGAGAATCGCTCACATTTTAAAAATTACTAAAAAATACACGTACGTTTATAATATACAGGTTTAAGAAGAAGATGTTTTTTACCATAAGTTTAAGACACTCTGTAGAGTGGCAAAACCGTATATTGTTCTAAATTAAGTTTTAATTATCAAGTCACATCTATTTTTAACAGTTTTGTTTTTGTTTCACCTTGATATATTTATTTTTGTGGAAAATATGGATTTTTTTTTTTAAAAACATTGCAATTTCCAATATTTTTCCTGTATGAAGAACTAAGGTTGCTATGGTCCATCCATAGCCTACGGAGGATGACAGTGACAGTTCTGTTGAATCATCCCATACTTGGACATGTCATATACATCTTTCAAAAGCTATCAAATTGTGTTTTGTAAATTAATGTGTTAAAACATATCCATTTTTTAAAGTGAGAAGACACCTCAAAATTTAAACATTAATTTGCAAAAAACAATTTGATAGCTTTTGAAAGCCGTGTATGACATTTTAAAGTATGGGATGATTCAACAAAACTGTCACTGTCATTCTCCATAGCATATGGATGGACCATAGCAACCTTAGTTCTTCATACATTGGAAATTGCAATGTTTTTTTTAAAAATCCATATTTTCCACAAAAATAAATATATCGAGGTGAACCAAAAACAAAACTGTTAAGAATAGATGTGACTTGATAAATAAAACTTAATTTAGGACAATATACGGCTTTGCCACTCTACAGAGTGTCTTAAACTTATAGTAAAAACATATTTTTGTTTAAACCTGTATGTTATAAACGTACGTCTATTTTTTAGTAATTTTTAAAAATAGTACAATAATCGTCACAAATACCTAAAATCCTTAACATTCCAAACAAAACTGTACACTTGGCAACACCGCGGCGCTATAAATAAATCCCCGCCGGCTTAATTTGAACACTTGTTTCACCTCAATTACCGATATGTAGTAGGTATTACATCAGCAAAAAACTATAAACAAACAAAATGCATAGGGACAAACCTGTGCATTCGAAAGGAAAAAACTGCGCTACGCGTCAGATTGCGAAAAGTAGTAGGCCGCGAGCGCGCAAAACAAATGAACCGCGTTCTATTTCCAGGCGATGCGATCGCGTCACCTTGTCGACTTGATTTTCGCCTACTTACCGAGTCGCGTTGCAGTCTGCGATGATGCCGCTCGTTTCGTTGGCTGCGGTGACTAGAGATGGGGGCTCGCTGTCAAATAAACTGACCGATTCGGTGCGGTGTTGCTGTTGCTGGTAGTCTGCACCGTAGCCTTCGCGATCCTGCTGGAATATTTTTGGAGTTTCAAGTGGGTTCTCGGGAAAAAAATGCGAATATATTTTAAGTCGTTGCGAAACATTTATTTTAGTTTACATTCAGTTGTCAGATGTTTCCCAGCAAATGTTTTAACAAGAATATTAATTTTGATAAAAGGCTGTCGTGATAAAATACAATATGGCAATGTTCAGTATCAAGTTAATGGTACTTAAAAAAATAATGTTTTCTGTATATAAAACTATAAAACCTATAGTTAGGCTGAAGTTAGCAACAGGTTTTTAGTCACGGGCTGAAGTTAGTTTTAAGTTAGTTGACAGTTGTCAAATGTCATACAATCGTTAAAATAAATTGCCTTTCTTGTAAAATAATACTGAATGTGAAAATTATTTTATTATCTCAATACAAAAATACAAAAGTATTAAATAGTTTCTCAACGCCAATACTTAAAAAGTTTATATGAACATTGTACTGGCCTTTTAATTTCGCCGGCAGTAAACTATAACTTAAATTCGGGCACGGACTCCACTGTAAAGTGCTCATACAACATTTTCTTTACTTTCACTGTGAAAAACTGCCAATTTTCAAGAAATACATTTCGATTTATAACCTTTATAATTGTGTTTATAAAATGTAAAAATTTGACATTTGACGGTGACACACAGATTCCCCTATTGTTTCATAGATGGCGCTCTATACAATTTTTTGATTTAAATCATTTTAAGATAATAATAAGTGTTTGTCGTAGAAAAAGTATAGTATGCACCTCGTTTATAAACTTTTCTATACACTCACTCGCTCGCAAGCTCGCTCGTGCCTAAAAATTCGTGTGTAAAATGGCGTTTATCAAACTTAATACATAATATAAATTGTCTCTGAAATTTAACTTTAGGAAACAGTTATTATAATATCAATCGAAAGATTCTTTAATTTTCTATTTGATTATGTTAAAAAATACAGGGTTTAACCTTTATAATAAAAACGTTATTATTGTTTGAAGTTTGCCTAATTTCAAGTGGTTTTTCTCAAGCTATTTGTTAAAAAACCTTTAAAAAAATTAAATTATCTAAACAATGTTTTAATAGTCCAAAAATTACAACCCCATGTTAGCAAACATAATAACAAAAAAATTAGAGTCCATTTTTGATTAACGTGCATTTAGCAAAATTTTAACGAAAAAGACTTTAGGTATAGGTCTTTATTCTAATTTATTTATCGGGTAAATATTACTTTCCTCAGTTTGGAATTAAAATTGAAGCTTCCTTATCGAGTAAAAAATAAATTGAAGCTTGGTTGTGGAGCAAAAAATAAAATTAAGTAGGTTATAATTTCTAACTTAGTAAAATTAGTAAACTTGAAATTTTTTTTACAGTAAAAATATTTTAAAAAGTCACTTACGTAATCAAACACGTTATCTGTTGTATCCCAGGCATCGTCATCATCTTCAGGAGGCGAGGTATCAAACAAACTCGCTCTAGATTTTTGAGTTTTTATTTGCGGCGTTGCCGTTTCTACTTCTATATCCGGTATTTCATCCCCATCATTGGAATCTTGTTTTGAGAATAAAAATTCGTCATCGTCGTTGAACAACAAGGACTTCTTCAAGCTCTCCGATATATTGGAATGGTTATCGATTTTGAATAGATCATCGTCGCTTGGTGGCTCATCATCGAACAAACTAATGGATTTATTAGTTTTGGTTGGTTTTTCCGCACCAATAACCTGTCTGTCCATTACATCACCCGAACTTTCCACTGTAACCGCTAAATCTTCTACCGCGGCAATATCAGGATTAGCTCTTTCCAAATTCACCGCTACTTTGCTTGTGGGTGATGTTTTTTTAACTTTTTCAGCTTCTTCTTCCAGTAGAGCACTAAAAAGGTCGACCTTTGGATTTTTTTTCACCAAATTGTCCGAGAATGTGTCACAATCATCATCATCATCATCAAAAAGCGATGAAGTGAATTTCTTAGAGGTTACGTTGGAGAACAAATCGCTATCGAAGAGATCATCGTCGAATAGGGAGGTTTTTTGAGGCGAATTTTCTCCCGCATCATCTCCAAAAAGACTGATTTTTTCTACAAGATTTTCTTCAGTTTTGGGTTCAGTTTTTTCTTCTCTTTCAGACCCAGATTCTTCAGTGGAACTCTGCCTTCTGTTCTTCAAAAAATCGTTCATCACTTTGGAAGATCCGAACAATTGAACTCCACCAACAGGTTTTTTCCTTGCTTCCGGTTTGATGTCAATTTCCGGCGGTACGTCATCAAACAGAGGCAGAGAAGTTTTCTGCAGCGGCTTTAAAAATTCTTTTTTGGCCGCGGGCGCCGTTTTTTTCGGCCATAAACGTTTCGTCGTCGGTGTCGTCGCTGTCAAACAGTCCTTTGTTTTTAACGGCGGATTGCTTTGTTTTTGTGCTTTGTTTTTCGGTTGTTATTAGATTGGAGGATTCAAGGTCGTCGAAAAGGCCGGTTCCGCCCGAAAAAAGACCCGACTGAGCGTTGCTCGGTTCCTCAAAGTCGTCGATAGGTGGCGGTTCATCGGAAAATAGACCTGTTACAACACAGATACATACCTCTATAAATACAGGTCTCTATGTTCAACAAAAATCGAATTAAAGTCTAAAACCTATCCTCCGTGACTGTTACTAATTTTTATAACCGTTTACGTGGGCGTTACAAAAATTGATTCTATCCTCCGTGAATCTGTTTTTGCTTTAAATTTTATGCAACGGATGGCGCTTTAATCATTTTAAATAAGCGAAAACCTCTGTTTACGACATTATAGATGCATGTGATTCCTGAAGGTCAGTTAGAATTTATATGCAGATGAGAGTGTTGCTGTTTTATAATTCAAAAGTTTAAGTTCATTAACAGTCTTTAGTCTTGAAGACTCTTTTTGGCTAGAAGCTGCTTTATGCAGAATATTTGGTTTTATTCAAAGTTTTATTGTATGGTTTTATAGCGACCTTGGAGATCACAATAAGAGCATTAGTGTTACTTGGGACACAGGGCGTCAAAGTTCGTTAATATATTATAAAATTTCAACTCACCAAAACCACTTTTTGGCTCCACCTTTTGTATCGGTTTCCTATTAACCTCTTCACCAGGCAAACCATCTTCATAACCGACAACATTTCCCAGCTTTTCCGCCAACTGTTCGGCAAAGTTTTTGCTCGCAATAGGCGCCTAAAACATCAGGGGGTACAAAAAGTTTGTTCGATATAAAACGATTCATTTTTTCTCTTTTAAAATTGGCGCCCGAGCAGGGACCTCAGTTTTTTTTTCCTTGACTGTATGCTACCCAAATTTAATTTACCTGTATGGGTACCGAATTAGCGTCTTCGTCGCTGTTAGAATCGAATATATTTGAATCTCTGGCGGAATCGTTGAATGTAGAGTGGGCTTGAGGCCTAGAAGGGTTGGTTTTAGTTGAAAAGTCCAGTTCTGAACTTGAATCGGACGCTTTAACCTAAAAAAATGTTAAAAGCATTGCGTGAATTTAGGAATTGTCATTTAAAGTATACGAACTGTTATTTGTGTTTTACGTTGCAAGGAAAAAACAAAAAACTGGTTTAGTACTCGATTTCGATTGATTATTCTTTACATCATTGATTAAGAAACTCAACGCTTAAATGCTTATATAGTTACGTTAGTGTGCGTATTTTATCTGAGGCATCATGGTGAATTATTGCGTTTTTAATTGTAAATAAAATTCAAGAACTAAATCGTTGCATTTTCATGTTTTGCCAAAGGAAACAATACGGTAAGTACATTTTTTGGTGCAGAATTAACTAATGATAACTTTACCTAATATAATTTATATTTAAGTTTGGACATTTTTAAGAAATTGGTAAAAAATAATTTTTGCACAAACATAACCTTAAAATAAACCATTTCGAATTCATGGCAACATAATATTATATATGATACATAATATAATGGTATTTTACCTTCGGTCATCTATGATTTTACCGTTGAGTGGAGACTTTAAAGAATTCTTAATCAAAGCTTTTAATAATGCTAAATGCTGTTTAAATTTAGACGACTTATTTGTTTGACTGGCGATACTTCTTTATATAACAATTAATAAAATAGTAAAAAAATTAATATTCTACCTGTAAATGAAAATACAAAACATTTCCCATATTATAAAACAACGTTTCTTAATCAAACTCAACACAGGTTATAAAAGAAACTAAATAAAATCCCAAACATTCATTCTTAAATAATGCAATTAATTTAAGTTAAACTTAGTAGAGCATGGCACTTTTTGGATGTTTTTAATGATGTTTAAATTAAAAATATAATTAATTTAACTCTATTACACTTTAAATTGTTTAATTAAAACAATTAAAAAATTGTAAATTTTTTAAATTTATTTATTTGCCTAAGTAAAGATATATCACAACTTACATTAGATTTAGTTCTTGAAAAATCGGAATTCACTGATATATTTGAGTCTGAATCACTACTGTATAGTTCAGGAGTTTTATCAGATTCACTTTCAACATCTGAATCTTCAAGACCTATATGGGATTCTTTGTACCACTCTTCTGTGCCTATAACGTATGTTAGTGGTCTGTCAACATATGGGTCTTTAGGTTTCAAAACATAACTAAAAAATATATGTATTAAGTGTACTCTCAATTAAGGCAAAACATTTTTTATATTACCTCGAATCTATTTCATCTTCCTCCGAGTCACTTATAGGCACCAAAACTTTTTCATAGAACTTATCCATCATTGTAAGGCCTCTTAAAACTACATTTGTTATTCTTTGATCCCTTTCTTCCTCTGATAAAGTTTTTTCTTCAGTCTACAACAAAAAAAAGTGTATTTTTAACATAACCAAGTGTAAATCATAAAAACCTTATTAGTTTCACTGGTTTCAAGGGTTTCATCATCTTCGTACACCCTGCTTTCAATAAACTGAGTATTTCTCAAACTAGAAAAATCATTTTGTGCTAAGTCCAGCTTAACACTGACTTCGTCTAACTCGTTTAATAAACCGTCTACATTGTCGTTAATTTTAAGCGTTTTAGAGAGTAAATTCTACAAAATAATGTTATAGTTTTCACCAATTTTTGTTTGTAAGTCTTACATTCGCTAAATCAGTCACAGTGGACAATAAGGCTGCATCTCCAGCTAAATTCCACCTATCGGAATGGTCTATAATTTCATCCATGGACCAGGGTTTGTCCCACGGTTTTACATTATTATTTGTAGCCATTATAAAGCCTCATTTATCACAATTTAATGCTGCATTAAATCAATATTCTTATTGCATGTTTTGCGGTTGTAACCAAAATATCACAAACGTCAAAATCATATGGATCTGGGGAATTTCACTTTATCAGTGTGCGATTTTATAATTAACAAAAAAGTGATTTTTATTGATAATAAAGAAAAAACCAATTCAAAATCAATTTCATTGGATAAATTATTATTAATTAATTAATGAGTTGTAAGATAAAATGATTATAAATTACTGTAATTAAAAAAAAATGTATGCGGTGTTTTATGGTTTTTGCTGTTGGTAGCAACGACATAACCTCACTTTAAAACGTCAAGCGGGCGTCAACAAAACCGTAAACAAATTTATGCTGAATTATGGCAGATAGATTGACTCAGCTGCAAGACTGTATAAACCAGGTAAATTATACATATATCTACTATGCACGTTGACGTTGAATTCTGATTTTTTAGCAAGCGGAACATTTTTGTAACAGCATTGGTATCCTTCAACAATTCGCTCCTCCCAGTAAATTCCCGAATTTCGATAGGAGTGGGTCTCAGACTCCACAGCAGCAGCAAAGTCAGGAAGACTATGTTCAGTTGTTTACTACGCTGATAGCAAGATGCGCAAAAGATATCGATACACTTATAGATTCTTTGCCGAGTGAGGAGAACTCCACAGAACTACAAGTGACGTCTTGTTTGTTAATTAATGTGTTGCATTAGCTAATTATTTTTTTTTTTAGTTGGCTAGCTTGCAAAAATTAGAACAGGAGAACCAGATAGCAGCAGAAAGGCTCGAAGCCGTAGTTCGAAAAGGACAAGATTTGCTAGAGCAAATACAATCTTCGTTGAGTGATATTGCGCAAGCGCAGTTAGACATGCAGCATCTCACCAAAGGGGGCGCTAGTGTCGCCAAGGAGTATTAATGTTTTTAGGGGTTGAATAATAAATGTGATATTTTTGGTACAAGTGTTGTTTTATTTAAAAAAAGTGACAAAATAATTAATTTCAATAGGTTCGCTTTACTTCAAAAAATCTTTTATAACGGAGTTGACTATCCTGTCACATGTATCCTTAGGCACAGTAAACTGTATTAAAACCAAGAAGACTAAATAAAGGAGTAGTAAGACTTAAATTATATGTTGCATTGTATATTTTCAAAAAATAATGTGAAATTAGCGGTAAACTGACAGATAAATAACCCAAATTGAATTTAATGTTATATTGGTATTGTATGTTAATATACTTTGGTATTTTTAATATTTAAAATTGGTACTCCTGTTCAAGTCCTTGGTTTTAAATACTTTGACATTTGTCATTTAACTGACAGAATTATAATAAACACATGTGTATGTGTTTGTAAGGTAAAGTTATATTTGACATTTGACATAAACAATTTTATATTTATAACATAACCACAATTATAAATTTAGGGTCCCTAGAATTAGCCAACCATACCCCCAAATTTTGTATGTCAAATTCCGAATAAAAAAAAACAAAAATGTTACTTTTTTACTCCAAAAATGTCCAAATTATGTCAAAAAGGGGGACATTTTGTGTAAATTAACCTTAATTACAAAAATGACACAAACAACAATAATTAAGTATTGTCAAATTTACAATTTGCATTGTTTCATCGTGTCAATTAAGATAAGTTCATACAAAATGTCCCCCTATTTCTTGACAGAATCTCTCACTTTACATTTATCATAACTTCGAAATGAAGTTTTGCCCTTAAAAGTTCTTTTACTTTAGAATCTGATATTATTGTTGGCAAAGTCATCTTTTTATATCGATATTATATAATAATTAACAAGTAAATTATCAATAATAAATATTACTGTCAATTTGTCTTCAGCAGAAGTACCATTTTTAAATACTAAACATTTTAAATCAAACTGTCATAAGCTACCAACTTAATAAAAAAACAGTCCAAAAACAAAAAAAAAACTAACTGTGCTTCTCCTGTAATTAGTCTTCTTGGTTAAAACCATTCGTGCATAAAGTTTGTCTATATTTCTTGGTTGTGTCTTAAAGTATACACGTAAAAATGGTTGTTGCTAAAAAATCCAAGCGTCTGTATTCTTGTGTTGCGAATTATTGTAAAAATAATTCAGTTAATTATAAAGGAACTTTTTTTAAATTTCCGTCTAACGTAAACAGGTAACTTAAAACTCTTAACTACCTAAATATTTAAACAGATTAATAATAAATACAGTGTGTAGCATAATGTTAAAAATATTATTATTAATTGATTTTAATAATATAATAATTCGTTTAAATATATTTTTAGGACTAAGCAATGGATAAGTGTATGTGGATTCAATACTGATATTAATATTCAAAATAAAAGAATATGTGACATTCACTTTACATCAGAAATGTTTCGTAACACTATTAGGCCTTTATTAAACAATAAAGCGATTCCTATAATTTTTCCTTCTGATATTAATACATCTTTTACAACAAACAATATTGGGATACCAGATACTACATCAACAGGCGTTATTAATGACCACAAAACTATAGTAGACCAAGACAAACCTATATGTGGTAAGTTTAATTTTTATAATAATTTAGGATATTTGTTATACGCTATCCTTGATAAACTGTGGCTAGGGGATTTTTACTTATAAAGTTGGTACGGTTTGTTCTGTGGTTGGCATCACTGTTGTCAATGGGGTAGTTAAATTTTTTCTGACCTATACTTTTTATGGTTTTATTCAAGGCGTTTTGTAAATTTAAACATTTCTGTGAAATCGGAATTTCAATTGAGTTTACCGTTTTCGAGATATTTACAAAACAAATTCTCCTAATTACGTCACTAGGCTATTGACAACGTTGCCAGCTTTTTCTATAGTTGTCAGTGTGTTTAGTTTAAGATTCTTGCGATAGATGGCGCCACGTTATAAAATTTAAGTTGAGAAGAAGAAGAATTGATTTTTTGACGTTTCTTTTTTTCGGGTTGTTTTTTTTAAATTTAGATTATTGAAAATCAATGTTATTGCTATGTTATTTGTAATTGATATTAGATAAGTGATTTATTAATAACGGACTCCAAAGCAGAGAAATCTTGTGGAATGGTTGGTTACATTGAACATTGGAACTTTTAAACAAATAAAGTAAGTACCTACCTATAATTATAATCATATTTTGTCGTAAATGCATTTCATTAGTATAATGCCTAGTTCTTTATATTCTTTTAGATATATTATTATTTTTTGTAAATTTATTTCATTCATTTTCAGCTTTATTTTGCCACTTTTTTCTATGAAATATAATAAACTCTGCTTTAGACAGTTATTAGGTACCTATTTATTACATTTTATTAGGTTTCACACGGTGTTTCAATGTGTAAACCTATCAATAAAACTTTTAATTTTAGAATTTTCTTTAACCTCCTCTTCTTCTTCTTTCACTCAACTGACAGTGACAGTATTTGTACATAACCTCTTCGGGTATTTTCTGACATAACCGAATGAAATCATTAACAAGACAACTTGACAACAGGGTAATTTTCAACCAATAGAAATCTTAGAATGTTGGTCACATGGCGGGGTTTGTGACGTCATAAAATTTTATATTTTTTGTAAATATCTCGAAAACGGTAAACTCAATTGAAATTCTGATTTCACAGAAATGTTTAATATTACAAAACGCCTTGAATAAAACCATAAAAAATATAGGTAAGAAAAAATTTAACTACCCCATTGTTTATTTGAAAAAATGGACTCCTCAGCTGTTTATTTAAATCTTGTATAAAACCAGGATTTAATTGAGGAAAGTGCCAAAAAATCCTTAGGATTACACCGGGCATAGTTTAAGGAAATCTATGCGTCTATTTTGTTTGAGTGTCGGGGGATTTTGTTAGTTTAAAAAAATATGCTGGTTTGTGATCAACAAATGACAGCTACACAGAGCACAGATTATAAAGATACAGAGAAAGTTTCTTGTAAGTGAGGAATTTTATTAATTAATTAACTTGGAATAAAATTACGCTGTGACTACAGGCACGTTAACGTGCCGCGATTTGAAATGTTAAAGGCACGTTAGTTACGTCATAAACTCAAACCATCCCAAACTCAACAACACAACCCAACCGACCCCGCCCCATTGGCCCCCCCCCCGCCCCATTGAACAAAAAACCCAACTAAAATGGGCAAATTTATGTTACGATAAAAATAAAACACTTTTTAACAAAGGAACAACATATTTATGAAATAAGAAAAGTTCGACAACTTCTAGTAGATTTTATGTTACGATAAAACTAAAACAAACCAACCAACCCAACCCAACCGAACACTGTTTAACAAAGAAACAACAAATTTATGAAATAAAAAAATAAAAAAAATTCGACAGCTACTTGGTTTCGAACCCCGGACCTCTCGCATGCCAAGGGAACGCCCTACCATATAAGCTATTTAGCTTGATGTCAAATATTAAATGGACAGGGAACAAAAACGGATTATAATTATGACGTAACTAACGTGCCTTTAATATTTCCAATCGCGGTACGTTAGCGTGCCTCTAGTCACTGTGATAAAATTAATTCTTTTTAACCTCACTTTTCCCAATCTGACATTGTCTAACGGTTTTAACCTTACTTTTTACCAATTTAATGAGAAATGAAGATTGAAAATTATTTTCAGGGAATAATGAACTGATAATGCCAAAAGAATCTGATATCAGTTTTGACAATTCTGTATCCAATGAGGTTGACATGCAATTATTAAATGCCAGAAAGGCAACACTGTTGGAACAATTTTTGAGTATAATGAACTCCATAGATACAGAAGAAGAGTTAGAAGTCATAGAGAAATTTATTGAATCATTGCAATCAAAACTTGATGCAATGAGAAGTAAGTCTATTTTTTATTTTTGTCTCTCATAACAAAATAACCAAAAATTGATTTTAGGAGGAGAATGTGTTTCTGATGAGGAAGAAAAATGCCCAATGGATTTGGAGGTTGTTTTGGTTAAAGAAGAACCACTTGACCGAGAAAATGAAGATTTTCGAAGTATATAGATTTAAGGGAAGAAGGTTGGGTGTAAGAATAAATATGTAGAGTACACTCTAAAGAAAAATTATTTAGTGGAATGACCCATATAAACTTTTTTGAACTTAAAAATACATGTGCTGAAAGTGAAACTTCTTTTGGAAAATTAAATTTTTGGCATTCAAGTTTTTATTTGAAGTTTTTTTAAGGTAACAATTTTCAATTTTTTAGAATTTTTGAAAGTTTAATGTTTTTTGGAAATTTTAAATTTTTTGTCCATTTTGAAAGTTGTATATATTGGAAATTTTGAAAGCTTTGGATATTTTAAAAGTTTTTAAGATTTTGAAAATTTTAAAGTTTGAATTTGTTGAAATTTTGACTTTTGGAAATTTTTAAATTTAAAAATTTTGGATATTTCAAAATTTTGTATATTTTGACCATTTTGAAAATTTTATATTTTTCATTTTTTGGATATTTGCTATTGCGACCATTTTGGAAATTTTTATGTTTTGGAGATTTTGTAAATTTAAAAAAATTGAAAGGTTTTGAAAATTTTGGTTATTTTAAAAATTTTAGAAACTTGGTTTTAGAGATTTCGTAAATTTTTAAAATTTTCAAGTTTGATTTTTTTGACTATTTTGGAAATATTTTAGTTTAAAATTTTTGGAGATTTTGATTATTTTGGAAATTTCAAAACCTTTGGAAATTTTATTTTTTGTAAAGAAAGAAGATTTATTTATTAAATATAACACTGTATCATAGTTTAACAAAACAGTTTTATAACTGGTACCATCAAAACCATTTTTAAGATTAAAAAAATTTTGAAAAATTTAGAATATTTTGAAAGTTTTGTAGGTATATTTGACTATTTTGGAAATTAAAAAAAAATGTCAATTTATAATTTTGGATATTTTGAAAGTATTTGAGATTTTGAGAATTTTGAAATTTTTTTGACAATTTTTCAATTTTGAACTATTGTGCGAGTTTGCCCTACAATTTTTTAAATTTATATGAATATAAATTTAAAGGTTAATTTCCATACCAACAAATTAACCTTGAATTTAAAGTTTAAAAAAAACTTAATTAAGTATTTGAAGATTTGTAAATTTTAAGAATTTTGAAAATTTTATGTTTTAAATTTTTTGGATATTTGAATATTTTTGAAATTTTAAGTTTTGGAGATTTTGGAAATTTTAAAAATTGTAAAAAGTTTGAAAATTTTACATATTTTATTAATTTTAAGTTTTAAAAACTTGTTAATTTTGAAAATTTTAAGAAAATGTGAAGATTTCGGATATTTTGAGTTTTTAAAAATTTTGAGAATTTGAGATTTTGGAAATTTTATATATTAAAAATTTTGGATATTAGCATGTTTGGACTAAAATTTAAAAAAATATGAATTTGATAATTTTGGATATTTTGCGGACAATTTTTCAATTTTGTAGTACTGTGCAAATTTGTCCTACTATTTTTTTTTAATTTATATTGTGAGAATTTTCCCAAAATTTTTCAATTTTGAACTACGGTGCGTATTGAAAATTTTCCGACAATTTTTCAATATTGTGCGAATTGTCCCAATATTTTAAAAAATTTATACTAATGTAATTTTCCCAAAATTTTTCAATTTTGAACCAATGTGCGTATTTGTTCTACCATTATTATTATCATCAAACTGTCAAATGAAAATTTGTAAATTTTATATTTTTCGAATATTTGACTATTTTGGAAATTTTAAGTTTTTGAAATGTTAAATAATGTAAAGATATTGAAAATTTTACATATTTTAAAAATTTTAAGTTTTAGAGATCTTGTTAATTTTGAAAATTTAAAAAAATGTGAAGATTTTGGATAATTAAAAAGTTTTTAAAAATTTTAAGAATTTGAGATTTTCGAAATTTTTTTCACTATTTTGAAAATTTAAATATATATCAATTTGATAATTTTGCATATTTTGAAAAATTTTCCCAAAATTTTTCAATTTTGAACCACTGCGTATTTGTCAAATGTCAATTTTAAGGTTAATTTTCATACCCACAAATTAACCTTAAAATTGACATTTCATGACAACTGATAAAATAAGGTTTATTTTTTACCAAGGCACCTAAAATGAAATAAAAATACTGTTATATTATTTATTGTTTATTTATCATTCTTAATAAAACATATTATAATTAATAAAATAAATGTTCAGTGATAGTCTTCATGGTCCCGCATGGGCGGTGGATATTTATTGTCGGTCTCTCCCTGATTTATTTTCGTGTACTGTTCCATAATATCGTGATTATAAGTGGAGTTCAACATTAAAGCCAACACCCCTGCCCTAGAAGCCATACTCGTCCTTATTTGACGTTCCTTTTCCAACATCTCGTCCATCTTCAACCACTGCCTCACCCTCTCCAAATCAATCTACAACAAAAAATACTATTTTCCTATCGATTCCAAGGATTATTTTTCTTACCTCGGCTCTCCGCATCTTCTCCCACACGTAGTGCTTGGAGCAGGACTTTTTGGGGGCCCTGCATATGTCACCAGTTGGTGAAAACACGTTGGTCACCAACGGACACCCGCACACTTCGTTGTCGCCTATTTTCGGGTCCTTGCAATGTTCCGGGCACAGAACACGCAACCTTTTGCAGTACGTCCGGTTGAGGGTGTTGTAGAAATCGCAGAACATGTTGTTTCCTTCGATTCTCGTCTTGAATATCGACCCGAACGAAGACTGCGACTCGTACTTGTTGAAGCACTTCTCCATGTGCCTGATGGCCGTCTTAGAATGAATTTCGTGGCCGCAAGTTATGCAGTACATCGACATTTCCGATTCCTCCTCGTTATCGTTGACTTGGTTAGGATCGATCGAAGTGGTTTTGGCCCTTTCCAAAATCAAATCCAGCTCCTTGTGGCGTTTGTCCAGCTCTTGAAGTATTTGCTTCACTTCCATCTGCTGCCTTCTTACTTGATCCAAAGCTAGAAGAAATACTAAGTAGAAGTTTTCCGAATGAGTAATGGGAAGTCTAAACGCGTTTCAATCATTTACGTGTGGTTTGTGCTATATTTTTGCCGCTACCGATCCAATTAAATTAAAATTTGTAACGAATGAAGGTAATAACCTGTGTTAAAATTTTATACAGATGCACTGCATATTTTACGAAATAATGTAATTTTTTTAATACTTTTACAAGATTTTTACACTTAACCGGTATAAAATCGCCGCTATCGATCCAATTAAATTAAAATTTGTAACGAATGAAGATTATTAACACACAAAACCTGTGTTCAAATTTTATACAGATGCATTGAATATTTTACGAAATAATACTTTTACAAGATTTTTACACTTAAACCAGTATAAAATCGCCGCTACTGATCCAATTAAATTAAAATTTGTAAAGAATTAAAATTATTAACACACAAAACCTGTGTTAAAATTTTATACAGATGCATTGAATATTTCACGAAATAATGTAATTTTTTTAATAATTTTACAAGATCTTTACACTTAAACCTGTATAAAATCGCCGCTACTGATCCAATTAAATTAAAATTTGTAACGAATGAAGGTTATTAACACACAAAACCTGGGTTAAAATTTTATACAGATGCATTGAATATTTCATGAAATAATGTAATTTTCTTAATACTTTACAAGATTTTACACTTAAACCAGTATAAAATCGCCGCTACTGATCTAATTAAATATAAATTCTTAACGAATGAAGGTTATTGACACACAAAACCTGTGTTAAAATTTTATACAGATGCATTGAATATTTTACGAAATAATGTAATTTTTTTAAATACTTTTACAAGATTTTTACACTTAAACCAATATAAAATCACCGCTACTGATCCAATTAAATTAAAATTTGTAAAAAACGAAGTTTATTAACACACAAAACCTGTGTTAAAATTTTATACAGATGCATTGAATATTTCACGAAATAATGTAATTTTTTTAATAATTTTACAAGATCTTTACACTTAAACCTGTATAAAATCGCCGCTACTGATCCAATTAAATTAAAATTTGTAACGAATGAAGGTTATTAACACACAAAACCTGGGTTAAAATTTTATACAGATGCATTGAATATTTCATGAAATAATGTAATTTTCTTAATACTTTACAAGATTTTACACTTAAACCAGTATAAAATCGCCGCTACTGATCTAATTAAATATAAATTCTTAACGAATGAAGGTTATTGACACACAAAACCTGTGTTAAAATTTTATACAGATGCATTGAATATTATATTTTACACTTAAACCAATATAAAATCGCCGCTACTGATCCAATTAAATTAAAATTTGTAATGAATGAAGGTTATTAACACACAAAACCTATGTTAAAATTGTATACAGATGCATTGAATATTTCACGAAATAATGTAATATTTTTAAATACTTTTACAAGATTTTACACTTAACCCAGTATAAAATCGCCGCTACTGACCCAATTTAATTAAAATTTGTACAGGACCAAGATTTATACAACAAAATTATGGTGTTAAAATTTCATAATAATAGTTGCTTTTTTATTATTTTTTCTTTGAATTTTAAATCTTCAGTAGTTATAATGTTATTACCTTTGATATTGGACCCCTCGGCAGTTGAAGGGCTCAAAGACCATTCCTGTATTCTTTGAGGCAGCACCTGCAAAATTCTGGCCCTAGCCAAATCCATCCCGCACTGATCAGAGCAATATTTCGAACCGTACCTGGCACTTTTAACACATTTAAGGCCGTAGCACTGTCTTGCATAATCTGTTTGCAGATGGGAGTTATGCGGGGGCTCCCTTTCGCTGCTTGAGTCCCTTCTTTTACGCCTTGCACTGAAAATGCAATTAAATACTTTAAAATAATTTTTTTTATTTATTTTATGTATTGTACCCTCCGGAATTCACACAAATCCTTTGTTTACACCTCTCCTTCTGCCGGGATGATCCATGTCTGTTTTTCTTGGTGCATACATCGCATCTGCCGCAATCTTCGGTTCTGTAGCACCCCATGCACTCCCCACACTTCTTAACTTTCTTGTCGTTCTTGTTTTCTGCTCTGTCTTTGCGTTTTTTCGCTTTGCGGTCCTCAGTGTTGGTATTGGCGCTGGATTCGTCCCTCTTTTGTTTCCAGCGCGTTTTTAGGGTCGCGTCCTCGTCCTGACAACGCACGCAGAAGTATTGCTTTATTAGTTTTGCCTCTTTCTCCGATATCTGTATGCAGTCTCCATGATACCTAAAAAAGTATGGGTATGCATTTGGCAGCAATTTTATTGTACTTTATTCACCATTCTTCGCAGGAATCGCATGCTATCATGAACCTTGAACTATCGGAAGATCTACAAATACAATACGCTTGATTGTCCTGCTTAAGTAGCGTATCTATTTTCGACTGCCTCTCCGGCAGTAAAAACTGCTTGGCAATCTCTTCTCGCTAAAAAAACATTTTAATACCCAAAAAAGTGAAAATAAATCCGATATTTACCGTTTTATCCCGTTTTCGCGACATCTTGCTGTTTTCTAACCTAAAAATCAATGGCGTTTGTTTGTTTGTGGCTAACTTCGTTGCCGCTTTGCAGTAGGTCGATTGACCGAATGCCGGTAGCTCCAATAAAGCAACGTAGCCAAACTGGGCAAAAAATCTCACAGAAAGTTATCTGTTTGGTAAATACGGAACCAACATTGGTTGCAGTGATTAAAAAAACAAACTAAACTATAGTTATAAATGTAATTATAATGTAATTGTGGTTATGTTTAAATTATTGTAGGTAAGTTGTATAATCTGTGTTGTAGGTTACATTGAACGGTTGTCAAGTTGAGTTGTCAAAATTCGTAGTTCAAAATGCAATTAATTTGGCTTTGGTGGTGCGTAGATGAGTAAAATCATATAAAAAAGTAGTTAAATCTTCGCTTTGAAAAGAATTTATGTAAAAGAAAGTGCAAATTGAAAGAAGAAAACGTTTTGTGATTATTGCTTATCTTTTTCAAACCAAATGGATGCTATTTTCAAAGACAGGAAAATTAACTAGGTACTAGATTTTTCACAAAAAGCAAATAATGTTTATTATTTAGTTTTTTTATTTTCCCCTTATTTTTTAAATTTCAAAAAATTTTGATCTGCTTTGAAGTTTTGCCCTTAAAAGTTCTTTTATTTTACTTTTGGCATAGTTATCTTTTTATATTGATATTAAATAATAATAATTAACAAGTAAATTATCAATTATAAATATTATTGTCAATTTGACAGTGTCAGACAGAGTCCAAATAAAAAAAATGAACTGTAGTTTTAATTTTGTTTTATGGAGTACCCTTTTATCTCTCAAACACATAATTTTTTCGTTTTAAAAAGTAAATAATGGTCCTAAGGCTGTCTTGATCATTTGGTTTTATTAAAAGTTTTATTGTAGTTTTAAAGCGACTTTGGAGATCGCAATAAGACAATTATAACACTATATATAACATTATAACACCATAGTGTTGCATTTTAAAATTTAACAAAACCTTTTTGGAATTTTTTCAATGATTTTTCGACAGATTGACTGAACTGTAGTGAATAAAAGATTTTATACATGTAGAAATTATGCAAAGTATCTTAAAAAATCTTTATTTGGACACAAAACAAAACATCACACCTCACAGCATTTTTGACTTCTTGGCAGGAATTTCATTTGGGGTGACAAAAGCCAAAACAAAATCCTTTTTCCTGGACTCCCTCGTATTTTCCTGGTCGGTGTTCAACAATCTCAGTTTGTTTTTCACCAAGGTGATGGATTCCGGCGCCTTTCTATAGAACGACCTCCTATCAAACGCCAGCGACTTCAGGGTGTCGGTCATCCTCGATTTGGAGACGCTAAGGGGAAGAGCTTCCTCCAACATCCTCTCCACGTTGTTGCACGGTTTTAAAATGAGTTTTTTCTTCGGTTTCTTCTTGATTATCTTGGAGGAAGTCACCGATGTTTTCTTCGAGCCTTCTTCGCTTTTCTTCAAGGACAAAACCGTGGGTTTGTTGGGCTTCTTCGGTTGCGTTTTGAGCATGCACATCAAGGCTTGCGCTGTGTACTTGTCGGCTATGAAGCTGTTGGCGTAGGTCATTTGACCGCTTTTGTCCAGTCGGTTCCTCAGTCTGGGGCCGGTACCGTCCTTGTCGGTTTCCAGTTTGATGGATTTGTTCGTCAGTTTCAAGTTCTTCGCTTTCACTCTGTCCATCATTAAAGAGGAAACGTTCAGTTTCTCTTGACTCACCTTTTTTCCGACGTTGATTTTCTTCATCGCCGATTTCGATTCCTTTTTTTTGCTCATCAGAGACGGCGTCACTGCCACCTCCTTCAAAACCAACTCGGCGTTGTTGGGCAGCAACTTGATCAAGCCTTTGGTGTTCTTGTTCGCTTTCTTGCTCGCCACCACAGAGTTCTCCGACGTCTTGGAGCCTTCACTGTAACCGAACTTGTTCTGCCACTTGCTCATAATCAAGTTCGTCAGGTCCAGGAGGTTCAGCGGCTTCCTCAACCTCTTGCTTCTCATTTTCTTCGCCTTCTTCACCTTCTTCTTGACGGTCAAGTCGCTGCTGCTGACTGAGGTCATGTATTCCATCTGCTTGGGCAGCTCTTTGTTCTGCTGAGTGGGTTTACTGCCGAACAGGGCTTTCCTGATGATTTTGGTGATGGATTTCTGAGGGGGCGGCACATTCGGCTGCGATTTAGTCGCCGACACTTTGGCGTGCACATGCGCGCCGCATTTCTGCGCGCAGTGGCACGACTTGGGCCGGGTCAGCGACACGGTGCTCTTCAAAGCGCGGCTATACATTACTAAAATTTTATGTGCAAAAAGCTGACATTATTTAAAACCGTCAAAACGCATTTGAAATTCACGAGGACTCGATCGATTTAAGAAACGTCAGTCATCATGTCATGTCCATAAAACTAAATTCAAGTTAAATTTTTGGAGAACTATCGAAATTTTAGTGCAACATGTACAAAAGTCTCTACTCGTATATTGTGAAGTCGCATGGGTTGTCCGTTGTGCGTAAGACCAGTTTGTTGAGCGATGCGGTCGGAGGAAGTGCCAATTTTTCTTCGGCAGTGCTGTTGGACGTTAAGAAGGTTAAGAGTCGAAGGAAATGCAAGAAGGAACACACGTTTAAGAACAGAGACAACTTGGAGCATTACTTAAACTCGTCCAGGCAGTGTTACCACATCCTAAACAAGAACAGCCATCACAAGGTACTCCCGGAACACGTCACCAACTATGATCAAGTACGAATTTTAAGTTTACTTACTAAAAATAGATCCCTGATTTCATATAGGTTCGAATTCAACCATTTCGCGTTGAATCAAAGCTTTTAACAAATATTTCTAGATGCTGGTAGCATTTTGCTACACTATATACACAGCAAACGGAAAAATATAGAAGTGTATTGGAAGACGCCACGTTTGAATACATTCATTTGTTCGTAGATGCTACTATACCTGCACTGGTGTGTACTTTTTAATCAACCAGATTTAAATATTGCTGAACTAACATAAAACTACCAGTGGAGATGTGCAGGGTTTACCAACAGACCTCATTACTAAATTATTAAAGTTTAATAGCATATCGATTGTTTTTACAAGATAACCTCTGAAATTTTTAAACTATTTTCAACAAAATGACTTGCATCCATCAAAACTTCTTGCAATATTGAATTACACCCTCTTTTTATACTCTCAGAAATATTGACTAGAACAGTATTAGATAGACTCCAGTTTCTATAACTTGGTAGAGTAAAGAGAAGTCGAAACCGTTGCGATATTGCATTGCGCTGTTTAAGTACAATTCTCGGGGACATTAACGAAAATCGTTGCCAGTAAAATTCGAAAAGCTCGAGTTTCTATGTCTCTGAAGAGAATAGAAATCCGAAGTTGCTGCATCATTGGACTGCCCCCTTTTTCAAAAATTTCTAGAGACATAAATGACTGCGTCATTCAACAGGGTCGGGTTTCTACCTCTCTGTTGAATATAGAAAATAAAAATAATGTATCCTGTAAGACACCATTGAGTTATAGTCGTGCATAGGTATAGAGGCGAAAAATATAAAAACAAAGCACGTTCAATACAGTTCTGATAAAACTTTAAGATTTAGTATTCAAACGGGGAGTCATCATATACAGTTCTATATTTTTCCGTTTGCTGTGTAGGTTCCTATACGTCCATTCGGAACATAAAGAAGGTCGGGACAAGATGCATTTGGGTTTACTGTCCTAGTCATAGTCTATATCTTGTTCTTCGTTGTCAGTACTGACTTTGATTCAGCCAGTAGTTGTTTTATCTAAATTGTAAAATTAGTACAGTTTAGCATATAGGATAACGATTTTATAAGTCAAAAAGTGTGCGTTTCGAGTGTTTCACGATTCTGCCTCTATGTCCTGAACATCGTTACATTTATTTGAAATTCAGCGAATTTTCTTAGGGAAACTTTCCTAAAAATTACAGCCCTCCAAAAGTATAAAATTTACTAACCATCTACCACATAATCACTGTCACAAATAACTTTCTATTATTTTTTTTTTATAAAATTTTACTGTTTCGGGTGTTACCATGGTTCTGTTTCGGGTGTTACAAGTACAAAAATTAAACACCTTATATGGACAAAATCTAAGTATTCGGTATTTTGGTAGGTCCGTTGCCATTTAGGTGGAAATAACGAAATTTCGGTAGGTTCGACAACACCATCGGAAAAGCAGTCACACCTCTTTTAAACATATCAAATTAGTCTCATGCTCAGATATTAGTTAGTATTTTAAATCTCTACCACCATAACGTTACTTTTACCAAGTATTATTACACTAATCAATCTGTAAGGTATGATAATAAAACAATTACATGATTTTTCGTTTCGGGTGGGTTAGTAGCAAAGTAAGAAGAAAAGACACAATTTTTTCGAGACTGTGACGAGATTTAAGAACATATTTATTTTTTCGTTTGTCATGGAATGACCATATATAATATAGTACAACATAGTTTTTTAATAATTTTTCTACAAATCCCACTTTTTTGTCAAGGTGATAAGAAACATCCATAGACAGCCGATCAAAAACAAACGGTTTGTTCTAAGATCGACGAAAGCTAACCCGCGACCTAACAAAAGATGCGCTTGTTTAGACGATACCGATACCAGAAAAAAAGCGACGTACCCTACTAAAAACTTGCGCGTGGCAGTTCCCGTGATGAAATACTCCCAACTGTCCACCAAAGGTTCGGACGACGGTACCGCAGTCTATAGTAAGTATTGCGTTGATTTAAGAAATCGCATCATCACATAATCGTTGCAGAATTTCGTATACCCCTGAAACGAAAGAAGCTGAAGATCGACGATCTTTTCGAGAAAGTGAAGCATCTATCCGGGAACGACATGTTGGATCAGAAATCTGATTCCGTCGCTAAGTCTTGCGACGTGCTGGCTAAGCAGTTGAGTGAACACGAAGAACGCGAATTAAGTGATAGAAGTTCCAGTAAATTGAGCGTTTGTCCCAAACCTAGGCAGCTGATTTATAGGCTCGACAACTATTTCATAAAGGATGTAAGTAAAAGAACAAAAAAAATCACATTTACACAATTTGTTGTGTTAGATCAACTCTGAAGTTCCAACATCATACGATCTGGTGTACTCGCACCTCAACGACATATTGTACAGCAAGTACACTCCCGCCCCCTTGGAGGAGTCGAAATCGGGGAAACCCTTTTTCCAAAAGCTCATCAAAAAAAAGGAAGTCAAAAAGATGCAGAAGGCGGAAGGGAACGTTTTGAAGCAGGGTTCGAGAGAAAACAGCATCCTCACGAGCAACCAGGATCTTTTCGACAAACTGAAGAGGTCCACGATGCGTTTAACTCCCGAGAGCCCGAAAGATTACGAGGTGACTAATAACACTAGTTTACAAAGCGAAAAAAAATTTGTGTGTTTTGACCCGCTAAAAATCACACTTGGTTTTCAATTTTCAAACGTCAAAACACCTCAGAAAAATGGCTGTAAACTAGTGTAATCGAACGTTTTGCTGGTTAATTCCACTGATTTCTTCGTTTCAGTGTTCGAAATCTGTAAGACGAGTCAAGTCGAAACGGTATGAGTTGAGGAACAAGCTGGAGTCAACGAAGGTTAATAAAATAAAACAAATAAATGTTGCGTTATGGTTTTTTTTTTAGGAAATCAGGGATCGCGATGAACGCAGAAGCGAGGTGGAAAGCGTGCGCAGACTCGAGCTGCTGATGAAGCAAGAACGCAAGAAGAAACAGAAAATCGACAGCCTCAAGCAAAAGTTGAGCATGCTGAACAACGAGGCGCAGAAGAAAGAAATGACCGGGAAGAGGAAATTCCCCAAGAGGGAGGAAAAAAGTAACGTTGAAGATATAAAATCTGCACCCAAAGAGTTGAAAGTGTTCAGAGTGCCGAACGTCAAACGACATAAGAGGAAAAACGCGGTGGAAATAACCCAAGACATGCTCGACGGTTTGGAGGGAAATTTGAACAGCAAGTATTACATCGTGAACCGGAACAAGCCGTTCAGTTACCTGGAGCCCGATCCGAACTTCGAGCTGTACTCGAAAAAGTACAGGGGCGCGAGAAAAGAACTGAGAAAGAACTCGCTTGATTTGATTAGCAAGGAAGGGCTGGCCCCCCAAGAGGGTTTCAAGTACTGCGACAAGGAAAGCATTGAAAGTATGAATCTTGCGGAGGATGTGGCGGAAGTTGGGCCGAAATCAAACCATGCGCTGCAAATGGAGGAGAAAAGCGTAAGTAAAAATTCCACCCTTGACTTGTCACCATTTAGATGTTTATAACTTTTTATTCATTAACAATACGGAAAAAATGTTTGAACAAAAGTTGTTGGTAACACGTTCCTTAACAATTTCGTTAATGGCTATTTTTGGCGTGGCATGCATACTTACAGAGTTAATCAGACTCTCCTCTAAATATCAAGCTGGTCCAAATTTAGATGTTTATAATTTTTAAATGATTAATAATACGGTAAAAATGTTTTAACAAAAGTTGTTGGCAACACGTTCCTTAACAATTTCGGCGATGGCTATACAGAGATAATTCGACTCGCATTTAATAATGTGCCTACTTTCGTACCGTTTGACTGGACTAGGATTGTATCCCTTGCAGATTTCCTCGTCGACCAGGGGCAAGCAGGATCGCCTGCTGGCCAGTCTGAAGGCCCTGAACAAAAGCCACCACCCGCAGATGTCGAGCTCGTCGAATAGCAAAGACGTGGACTTGCTCGGCAGCAAGATCGCGGAAGGCGAGCCGGCCAAGGCCGCCTCGGTCACGAAGATCGAGATCAGGCTGACGAGGCCGCACGATGCGAAAGATACGGAGGAGTTTGTCTGCGTGGCGAGGCGAAAGAGCGAGGCGGTCGAGGCGATGCCGGCCAATCAGATCCCGATCATCAGGGACGAGGGCCCGAAGAAGAGGGACGAGAAGGATAAAAAAGAGAAGGAGAAGGACAAGAAGGTGGGGAAGAACGATATCCGGTTGCCGCCCGCCACCAACAGTCCCGCCTTGAAGTTGGAGGGCCGGAAGTTGACGAGGTGTTCGGACTTCAATCAAGTTGGGTGAGACTATTATAAATACAAATACAAATTCTTTATTTGCTCATTTACATACAAAAGATGTTTAATTTTAATATTGCATAATTACAGATTACATATTTAAAGTAAAAATCCCAATAATAACAATTATAATTAATAACAGTTAACAAAAATAAACTTAAACTTAAAAGTGTTTTATCTTTTTAAAAATTCATCGATAGTATATGGACAGATCTCCAAAATTATTTGTCGTTAAAATAGGTAGAGCTTTTATTTCAGTTGGTAGGAAGTTGAATAAAATAATAGAGTTATTTAAAAAACTTTTATGAGTTAAATGTAACCTATGTTGGGGTATCAAGGACAATTTTTTTAAAATTAAATTCAATTTAAAATAATTTTTTTTTTTAATTAAAATTTTTTGAAAATTTTGGAATTTTGGATTTTCTAAAATTTTTGAATATTCTTTTTGTAAATACTGGAATTTTTGAACATTCTGTAATTTTTGAAGATTCTGGAATTTTTAAAAATACTGAAAATTTTGTAATTTTTGAATATTCTAGAATTTTGTAATATTCTGAAATTTTGATGGTCTTAAAATTTTTAAGATTTTTGAATAATCTTTTAAAAAACTGGAATTTTTTAAAATTCTGGATATTTTGTAAATTCTGGAATTTTTGAAAATTCTGTAATTTTTTGTAAATTTAGTTATTTTTGCAAATTTTGACATTTTTTAAAAATTTGGAATCTAAAAAATTTTAATATTCTGTAATTTTTAATATTGTGTAATTTTTAATTTTCTGTAATTTTTTTAAATTCTGTACTTTTTTAAAATTCTGGAAATTATAAAATTACCGAAATTTTTGAAAATTCTGGATTTTTTTAATATTTAAATCCTGGAATGTTTGAAAATTCTGGATATTTGTATTTTGGGATTTTTGATAACCAGTTGCAACTTAATTCTACCATTTTGAAAATTTTGGAATTTTAAAATTTTTGTAAATTCTAGACATTTTGGTATTTATTTTTTATGGTATTTTTGAAAATTTTGAAATTTAGTGAAATTTTTGAAAATTCTTTAATTTTTGAAAATTTGTCAATATTAGAAAATTCTGGAATTTTTAAAAATACTGAAAGTTTTAAAATTTTTAAGATTTTTGAATATCCTGTTATTTTTTAAAAATCTGGAATTTTTGAAAATTCTGTAATTTTTTGTAAATTTTGTTATTTTGCAAAAAATTTGATATCTTTAAAAAAATTTAATATTCTGTAATTTTTGAAGATTCTGGAATTTTTAAAAATACTGAAATTTTTGAAAGTTCTGTAATTTTTGAAAATTCTAGGATTTTGTAATATTCTGGAATTTTTGAATATTCGGGAATTTTTAAAAATACTGAAATTTTTGAAAATTCTGGATTTTTTAATTTAAAAATACTGAAATTATTTAAAAATTTTGAAAATTCTGGAATTTTTTAAAATTCTGGTATTTTCTTAATTTTTCTTAAAATTATAACAAATTTTGAGTTTTAAATTTTTGAATTTTTTGCAAATTTTGGAATTTTTGATACAACCTCATTCTGGACGTTTTTTAGACGCCGGCAATCCCCGCGTGAAGCTGTCACAATTATGCCCAACAGCCAGACAACTCGGGCTCCGGCTTTGGCTCCGAAAAAAGAAAGCCACGCGAGCGCCTGTAAGTCGGATATGGTCGCTAAGGAAAATGAGGACGCCGATTTGCCTCAATACGTGCAGCAAACTCGCGCGGAGCGTCTAGAGTTCGAACAAGAGGCTGAAAAGATGAGACTCGAGAGGTCGAGAGTCGAGCATTTGAAAGGTGAGGAACAAAAAACGCATTTTTTAAATTAAATTTTGTTTAATTTTTAAGAATTATGGTCAGAGAGACTTGGCCTTTCTCACAATTCCAGAGACGGATTGCAAAAAGGTGAAAACCAACATTTATTTTTGACCCTAATGTGATTAACCAGATTTCTTAGGTATATTTCCCTTCTTCTTCTTCTAGGTCTGCCTATTTGTCTCTTTCCTGGCCTTTGTAATTTTTGAAAATTCTGAAATTTTTATAAATCCTGGAATTTTTAAAAATTCTAGAATTTTCAAAAATTCTGCAATTTTTGAATTGCTATTCTGACATTTTTAAAAATACAAAAATGTTTTACTTCGAATTCTGGAATTTTTAGAAATACTGAAATTTTTAAAAAATCGGAAATTTTCAAAAACTCTGCAATTTTTGAAAATTTTGTAATTTTTGATTATACTGAAATTTTGAAAATTCTGGGATTTCTAAAAGTTCTGGAATTTTTGAAAATTCTGTAATTTTTAAGAATTTGAGTTTTGAATACAAATTTGGGGATTTTTGAAAATTCTGGAATTTTTAAAAATACTGAAATATGTGAAATTTCTGAAATTTTAAAAAATTCAGTATTTTTAAATTTACTGAAATTTTTGTAATTTTTAAGAATTTGAGTTTTTGAATTTTTTACAAATTTTAGAATTTTTGAAAATTATGGAATTTTTAAAAATACTGAAATATGTGAAATTTTTAAAATTTCAGGATTTTTGAATTTACTGAAATTTTTGGAAATTCTGGAATTTTTAAAAATTCTGTAATTTTAAAAAATTCTGTAATTTTTGTAAATTCTAAAATTTTTGAATATCCTGGAATTTTTGTAAATTTTGGACTTTTTTGGATATTTTTGCAAATTTTATAAACATTTAGAATCTTTGAATTATCTGTAATTTTTGTAAATTCTAAAATTTTGGAATTTTAAAATGTTCTGTAATTCTTAATTTTTTAAAAATCTGTAATTTTTGTTAATTCTGGAATTTTTAAAATCATGAAATTTTTAAAAATTCTGGAACTTTTGTAAATTTTGAGTTTCGAATTTTTTGGATTTTTAAAAATTCTGGAATTTTTAAAAATACTGAAATATGTGAAATTTCTGAAATTTTTAAAAATTCAGGATTTTTGTATTTACTGAAAATTTTGAAAATTCTGTAATTTTTTAAAATTCTGGAATTTTTGATTATACTGAAATTTTTGAATTAACTGAAAATTTTGAAAATTCTGGAATTTTTTTAAATCCTGAAATTTTTAAAAATTCTGGAATTTTTCAAAAATCCTGAAATTTTTAAAAATTCTGGAATTTTTAAAAATTCTGGAATTTTTGTAAATTTTGTAATTTTTAAGAATTTGAGTTTCGAATTTTTTGGATTTTGAAATTTTTACAAATTTTTGAATTTTTAAAAATTCTGGAATTTTTAAGAGTTATGATCAGAGAGACTTGGCCTTTCTTACAATTCCAGATATCATCTTCTTACTTTTTAAGACTCCCCATGAGATTCCTGATCTTCTGTTTTTTCCTCAACCCAATCCACCAGACTTGACCTAGTCTAATTCCTTCAGAAAGTTTTCCTTCATGTTCCATCTTTTCTACTACCTATCTATATTTTTCTTCACCTAAACTAAAAAAAAGATCTTAATAATTGACTTGACAATTGTTAGGTCGAAATCAAAACACCACCCCGATGTCTCTGAAGGAAATCGAAGACAGATTCAGGCAGTACGATGCCTATGTTAACGATATCGTGAAGGAAAACGAAAGTGCCGAAGAAACGCACAGTGTGTTTTCCGATTGCGAAAAGGCTGATAAAAGGTTTGCGTTGTTGACACCGTCCTCCTTCAATTTTGGCAACACATTATTTTTTGCAGACTTTCCCAATCGAGTCAGGATAATAACACGATGAATACGATTGAAGAAAGTCGCGAGAACTTAAGTTCAAACCGCAAAGAGGTGGGTGGGTTGTGCCAGTTTCATGCTGCAGAAGAGCAAAAGTCTGTCTTCGCAACTCCAGTGGCGGAGACATTTTTGTGTCCGTATCACAAAGCGGAAACTACGCAGTCGCAAAATCAAGATTACGCCAAAAAGCACGTCTACTGTTTGTTTCATCAGGAGAACATGTCGGAACACGGCGGTTTGTGCGAGTTCCACGTTAGAGAGTTGGAAAACTCCGCGAAGGAACAAAGTAAAGAAAACCTTGAGCATAAAGACCTGCAACTAACTACCACAGCACCAAAAGTCTTGAACGAAGAACAAATACTTCAGGAATGCGCAAAGAGTGTTAAAGAAATCGATGAGGTCCAGAGAGTAAAGGAAAATTTAACGGAAGAGGTGAGTTTCGCTGAAGCCGAGGCCAGGACGAAAGACGTCGAAGAAACCACCGATAAACTCAAAGGAATTCTAGGTGAGTCTTAGAATTATTCTTAGGTATTATTTTTTCAGCTACTAAGTCAGAAGGAGTCGGTCATAACAGTTTCTTAATTTTTTCTGCACTCTCTATCTCTCTGCTTCAACTTGATAGTATTAATGGGTGGTTAATTGGTGTCTTCTTATCAAACATCCAACAATTTGAGTAATCTCAGCCTCTACTGAAGGATTTCTCTGCTTCAACTTGATAGTATTAATGGGTGGTTAATTGGTGTCTTGGTATTATTTTTTCAGCTACTAAGTCAGAAGGAGTCAGTCATAACAGTTTCTTAATTTTTTTCTGCACTCTTTATCTCTCTGCTTCAACTTGATAGTATTAATGGGTGGTTAATTGGTGTCTTCTTATCAAACATCCAACAATATGAGTAATCTCAGCCTCTACTGAAGGATTTGAAACGAATTTTCGATAGGTATTTCCATCATTCCTCGTTGCTGTATCAACGCCTCATTTTCCACGAAAACCCAACTAAAACGCGTTTTTTATTTTCCTCGTTTTTCCGGTGTTTTTCTTCAAGCCGCAAAACCTGAGATGCGCAATGAACTCCATAAACTTGTAACGTTGACATTACTAGCTTGAGAGCCTCTTCGCTTGATTGAGCCACCCATCCCCGACAAATCATTTATTTGAGGTGGTAATGCGTCAAGGACCTTCCTGTTTCCTTTTGCCCAATGATGCAGCAACTTCGGATTCTTATTCTCTTCAGAGACGTAGAAACTCGAGCTTTTCGAATTTTACTGGCAACGATTTTCGTTAATGTCCCCGAGAATTATACAAAAACAGCGCAATGCAATATCGCAACGGTTTCGACTTTTTACTCTACCAAGTTATAGAAACTGGAGTCTCTCTAATACTGTTCCAGTCGATATTTCTGAGAGCATAAAAAGAGGGTATAATATTGCAAGAAGTTTTGATCTTTTGATGGATGCAAGTATTTTGATTATTCTCATTTCTGTTTTCTGTTTTCATATCTACATCTGGATAGCTTTCTCTCAATCCTTGATATCTAAATGATGGATTTTAGGTGGCATTCAACCTAAAAACCAAAACCGCGAACCAAACTTCATCCCGGAAGCATCCCTCCCTCAAAAAAAGACTAGCCTCTCCGCCTTTAACGTTGTTCTGGAGTCAAAGGACTTGAACAAAAAACTCGAAGTGCCTCTGGTGAGAGTCAACGTGTACGACAAGGAGGCCGAGGCGTATCTCAACAACATTTTGAAGATCGAGGCCAACGTCGACTTTAAAGGTTACTTCCACACCGCACGTTTAAAGCCTGAATTATAGATTGCCTTCCTGCCGTAGTCGTGCTCGTACGATTTGTGCGTCTTGTAAAAAGCCAATTTATAGATTTCCGTGTAAAATTCTGTAACCATGCGCGATGACACCTAAAACGGTTGACATTTGTTTTCGTTTATATTCTGCGTTTTACCCATTGTGTGTAAATATGAAAGATAATCATTTATATATTTGTGCAGTGATCACAATTTTAATTGCACAGGCAGCTTGTTGCATACTGCCCAACTATGGAGAAAGGCAGTAACTGCTAAACAAGAAATTTGAGGGAAATTAGCATAAACTACATTTTTATAAAAAGCAGTAGGTATTTAACTGATTTATTTAACTTATAAGATAGTTTACTGCATTTCTTTGTTGAATTAAGATACAAAATGTCCATAGCTTTATCATAGCACAAGAAAACGCATTTGTAGTTACTGCTTTCTCCATAGTAGGGCAGTATAATGGAAAAAACATCGAACAAGACGTTGGAAGACTCGCCCACTTTACCAAGACCGGGAAACTACGGGGTTTTACAAAGCAGCGTTTCTAAAAATGAAAGTCATTGATCATAAACAATATCTGCATGTCTATAACAAGCACTGTGATTGTTCATGTCAAAGACCTTTACGGTAAAAGATAAAACTTAAACATTTCTACGGAAGGAAGGAATGCCGTCCTTACGGTACGGGAATCTATAAATGGTACTACGATTTAAATAAACATTTTTGACGTAATTGTCACCATTAACATTGCCCGTTATTAATTTTAATTAAACTTAACAATTATTAATACTTTAAAATATTAAAATAACTTCAAAATATGATTTTGTTGAGAAAATATTTTATCCTTTGATTTTTTTATTACTATAATTGCAAAATATTATCACAAAGTATTAAAAATCCTTACACGGGAAATGTCAATGGTGACAATTACGTCAAAAATGTTTACGAAATTTCGTATTGTTCTATGCTCCACACCTCAAAGTCCCACCACGTGACCACGTACGGAACGCAGTCTTTTGAAAACTTGGCATTTAGGGCTTTTCAGGTTATGTATCTGTCAAAGTATAGTCATCAAAAGAAATAATATTATGTTTAATGAAATTCTAAAGTGTATGGTGCCAAATAAGTAATATTTTTGTGAATTTGGTCCAAATATCTGGTTTTCTCCATAAAATAATTTTAACTAAACAGCATTTATTTAAAAAAAACTAGCTTCTCTATTATGAAATAAGAATATCTGTATTAAAGGTAGGTTAATATATTATAACAAAAATATCATCTAATTTTGTAATTTTAAGGTTAGAAAAATTTATTTTGACCAAAATTAATAAGTATTTTGGATTATTTAAAAGACTGTATAATATGGTATTTAAAAATGTGGTAGTTTTTCTTATCCAGCTTAAAGTGTACCTACATAAAGTTTTGTCAATACAAATAGTTAAAAAGCTTTGACTGAACTTGATCTACATTGAAAAATCATTATAACTTTTTATTTATAACTTTTAATAAATCACATGTCATGGGAGTATTACATATTTTCACATTGCAGTTTCTCTAAAAATTGTTTGTTTTCTTATAATCTAACTTAAAGTAAGTATGCCGAGAGGTATGCACAAGTTTTGTCGTTAGAAGTATAAAAGCTTCAATTTAATTTGAACCATATTCAACAATTATTTAGTATACCTATATTTATTTATGACCATATTAACACACTCTTTCAAATAATCCACTTATTTATTTTGGTCAAAATAGATTTTTCTAACCTTAAAACACAAAATTGGATGATATTTTTTGTTCTAATACATTAACCTACCTTTGATACAGATATTCTTATTTCATAATAGAGAAGTACGCGGTCACGTGGTGGGACTTTGAGGTGCGGAGCATAGTTCATCTTCTACGGAAGGAAGGAAGGCAATCTATAATTCAGGCTTGACATCGCAACTAACAAAGTTACCCGCACAGATGCGGATCATTTGGACAACGTGCTGACAGTTTTCGAGAACAACGAGATCACGGTTCATCCGACCCTCAAAAGCGGCAAAAACGATCTTTTGAGGAGGCGGCTCAGTATGCCGGACATGCAGATTAAAATTTACCAGGACGTCGACACGGCTGTCGCCAATACGGGCAGCAACACGACCATAGAGTTCAAAAAAGCGCACAAAACCGATTCCCTTATGGAACTGCAAATCGTAGACGAAAGTTTGCAAAAGTACGTGAACAACGTCAAGTTGGTGCAGGCGAGGATTCTGCTCAAGGATGTCAAAAAAAGTGGTTGCACGCCCATGACCAGCGATACAATTTTGTCCGGGTTCGATTTTTCCATCAACAAAGGTAAGTCGGTATTAATCTCGATTGGGTTTAAATCGGGGCTCCGCGGCGGCCACGGAATGAATTTTGGCCACCTTTTGGCCATTCCGGTCCATCTTAAGACTTTCTTAGAACCAATAATTGCTTTCGGTTTTCGCAGCTCTAATAAATCCTCCTCTGTCACCTTTATAAAGCTATATGGTAGTTAGGTGAGCTTTATGTTGTCCTTGGACAAAGAGGTCGATAAAGTTAGTTAGCATGTAAGCGTATTCTTTTTATAAACATTTTGCCGTAGTATATACAATTTTGCTTTGGTTTAGAATGATATTAAGACTATTATTTCTCTAGTAAAGACTTTAATTTTTTATGAAGTAAAACTTTAAATTAAATTGTATGTAGTTTATAATAATATTTAAAAGCAATATTTATCCTGGGGTGATAATTTAATGCTACCACCACAAGAAGCAACTTTGTTTTATAAATTTGAGTATAACATGTTAAAGTATTGATTAATTTTTTCTAATCCCACCTTTAAAACGCCCTTTATCGTACATGTTTCCATGACACTAAGTGACCTTTTAAATACACATTGACAAGTTGTGGCTTTACGGCGCTTTAGTCACGGGCTGAAGTTAGCAACAGGTTTTTAGTCACGGGCTGAAGTTAGTTTTAAGTTAGTTGACAGTTGTCAAATGTCATACAATCGTTAAAATAAAGTGCCTTTCTTGTAAAATATTACTAAATGTGAAAATTATTTTATTATCTCAATACAAAAATACAAAAGTATTAAATAGTTTCTCAACGCCAATATTTGAAAAGTTTATATGAACATTGTACTGACCTTTGAATTTCGCCGGCAGTAAACTATAACTTAAATTCGGGCACGGACTACACTGTAAAGTGCTCATAAAACATTTTCTTTACTTTCACTGTGAAAAACTGTCAATTTTCAAGAAATACTTTTTGATTTATAACCTTTATAATCTGTGTTTATAAAATTTAAAAATTTGACATTTGACGGTGACACACAGATTCCCCTATTGTTTCATAGATGGCGCTCTATACAAATTTTTGATTTAAATCATTTTAAGATAATAATAAGTATTTGTCGTAGAAAAAGTATAGTATGCACCTCGTTTCTAAACTTTTCTATAGACTTATTAATTTAAGCACTCGCTCGCAAGCTCGCTCGTGCCTAAATTAAATTCGTGTATAAAATGGCGTTTATCAAACTTGATACATAATATACTATTAAACATTGACAGATTAAGTGGTAACTATGGATACTGTCACATTAACCCACATGTAGAATTTCACAGGTTTGTTGATACAAAATTGTATTGAAAATATTAGAAATTGTTAAATATATAACTTTAGGAAACAGTTATTATAATACCAATCGAAAGATTCTTTAATTTTCTATTTGATTGTTTGAAGTTTGCCTAAATTCAAGTGGTTTTTCTCAAGCTATTTGTTGAAAAAAACCTTTAAAAAATTAAATTATTTAAACAATAATTTTTTATTCCAAAAATCCAACCCCATATGGGGTTGCTCAAATATTTGAGCAAACCTAATAACAAAAAAATTAGAGGCTATTTTTGATTAACGTGCATTTGGCAAAATTTTAACGAAAAAAATAATATCTTGAAAACTATTGACTTTAGGTGTAGTATAAATCAAATTGTATACGCTATTAAAATTTCTTATCCATATCGTTTGTGTTTCTCCAGAAACACCCCAATAAAATTAAAGTAGGTTATAATTTATAACTTGCTGACACTGTCTATAATTATTATTTAGTTTATTCATTTTAATAAATTGATTTTCTGAGTTTTTAGTACACTTATAAATTGAAACGCAAAGCTTTTTATTAAAGTAATATGGTTCTAAGAACGATTAACTTTGTGATAACACTTTTGACGTTCAAGGTAAAAAATTCTCGACGTCTGCGAAATCGCTCACTCTGATCAAAAAGAAATTTTTCATCGCCGACCGCAAAAAGTTTTGCACCAAAAGCGGCGACTCCCAAAATCCCGACTCTAAATCTACAACCTCGAAAAATAACAAAGATAATGAGGAAGCCAAGGAAGCGGCAAGCGAATCTCCGATGACCTTGAAGCAGGTCATCAAAAGGATCGAGGAGAATTTGAGTTGCGCCGCCAAAGAGGTGATCCACGAGAAGTTCCAGAAGATAAACAGCAACTCCATGAAGAAAGTCCTCCACGATCCTTTGATGAAGATATCGCCTCCTGTCGTGAAAGCTGGACATTCCGGTAATAGAAGCTTCCCTTGTGGAAATTTTTCTCTGAGAAAGTCTTACTTTCTCTGAAAAAGTCAGAATAAGACTTATTAAGTCAGACTAATAGCAAGATTTGGGAGTCTTCTGGAAGAGTTAATAAGACTTAATAAGACTTTTAGTAGAGAAATGGTAGGTACCTTTGGCGATAAAAATAAATATCCGAAATAATTCATAGAGGTTGTATTTGGTTATCGTAAAATAAAACACATAGTATTTATTAACATTTTTGCTGTTGTTATAAGCCAAGTTTATTGCATAATTACCTATATAATAACATAGGTAAGATGTAATAATTATAACAATTATAATTTTATACATACGATGCGCTTGACATGCTTTCATTGTTTCCACCATAGAAAAAGGAGTTATATCATGTCTATAGACATTGGTTGATCTTCGTGTTTCATTCATCTTTGTATCATGGTTGATCTTCGTGTTTACGTACAGTGTTGCCATAAAAGTTCCTGACCATAAATTACAAAATACTAAAATAATAATAAAAATGTAACAGGATAAAATAAAATAATTGTGCATATTTAGTAAATATACAATATTATTTACTGAAAATTTCTTTTGTTATTATTTTGATAGAAACTTGCAAATCACCCGCAAATATTACGAAAATACCCGATTTTCGAGTAAAATACTTGCAAACGGCAACACTGTGTCCCACTGACAGGTCAGCTGTGCTCTAATTGGTCAGCTAGCTGAGCTGGTCTCTCGATATTACGTCTAGAAGATTTGTTTGGAACAATGTTTAGATAGGTAAATATTTGCGTGTATCAAAAGAAACTATTAAAATAAAACGTTCAGTGGCAACTCCCTTTTCTATGGTGGAAACAATGAAAGCATGTCAAGCGCATCGTATGTATAAAATTATAATTTTTATAATTATTACATCTTACCTATGTTATTATATAGGCAATTATGCAATAAACGGCTTATAACAACAGTTTAAATGTTAATAAATACTTTTCTATGTGTTTTATTTTACGATAACCAAATACAACCTCTATGAATTATTTCGGATTTTAATTTTTATCGCCATAGGTACCTACCATTTCTCTACTAAAAGTCTTATTAAGTCTTAAAAAGTCTTATTAACTCTTCCAGAAGACTCCCAAATCTTGCTATTAGTCTGACTTAATAAGACTTATTCAGACTTTTTCAGAGAAAGTAAGACTTTCTCAGAGAAAAATTTCCACAAGGGTTGCAATCGGAAAAACTTTAGTACATTGTGGGTTTCAGTGAATCACATGATTGAAGAAAAGGACTGCAAAAACATTCGCAACAAGGATATGGAAATGGTGGACAAGATCGTGAAGGAAACTAAGGAGTACATGCAGAATCACTTGAAGCAAAAGTCGAGTAAAGGCAACAAAAGTAAGTACCCTATAATTTATATCGACAAAGATCAGTCTTTTTAACATGACAGGGCATCACGTTATAAAGAAAATTTAATCGATAATTTGGAAATTTACGTCAAAACCAAAGACGCGGACCTGGAAGAAAGTTTTGACGTAAAACGTCCAAACAGTGGTGTCGATGTTAGTGCGAACAAAAATCAAGTCGTTATTATGACGGTCCCGATAAATTTACCCCCGTCTCCCCCCCTTCAAAATTCCGAAAACGAATTCACCGAAATTGCTTCTGCATCTGAAGTTTTGTGTGATAAAGTGAACCAAGACGAGTACAAGCCTCACAAAGATTTAAAGTTGAGCAATACTGAAGAATCGAAAACTCTCAACTTCGATGAAGTTGATGCCGAAATTTTGGTAATTTATTTGCCACCCTTCCTCTAAAAATAGTTTTAATGTGGTTTTATGGAGTACCCTTGATGTACTCAGTAAAACCCATTAAGAAAACTATTTTTTGTATCCTTAATGGAAAACAGCCATTTAATTAGCTAGAATTCAACAAGGAAATGTTTTATTTTACTAATTAGCAACACTTTAATAGATAGAAACATAAGAGTCATCCTTTGAAGCTTCCTGTTAATTGGAGTCTCTAAAAATTTTCGTCGACGTTTGAATTTTATTTCGAATGCTTTTATACAACTCTCAGCAGAAGATGTTGAAGACCATCCCCCAGTATTTTCAAATCAGGGAAACTGCCCCCTCATTATCAACCAGCGTGGTTTCTCCACCCCTTCGCATACAATGCCCTGTGTAGCTATTGGAATCAGATAGCTTCAAATATTCGGCAATTTTTCTCGGCAAACTATAAAATGTGTTGCACAGTGCATTTACCATTCCGGTAACAAACGAAAAATCGTGTTTTGTGGCCTTAATTTACGATACAACTCAATTCCGTTCGCTTCCGAAGTTATGCTTCTTTTTCGTTTTTGTATTACGTACACTCTTAGAAAAGACCTGGTATTTGTAACTAACTTATTATCGTTGGGGTAAAACTGTTGCAGAAAATAAAATTTTTTGTTTTTTGTAATCAGTACCTTTATATGTGTAACTGCTTGCATCATTACCTGAAAAGATTTAGTTTTGTTGTTGAGTATTATTTACTGCAAAAAGGCGATTAAGTTATTTTAACTGAAACTTTGTGTTGGCTAGAAGTATTGACAACATTATCTCAAAAAAATCATTTCGGCGGTAAAATGTTTTTGTTGGACCAAATATTTAAGTAACATTCTCAACTGACTGAAATTAGTCTGTGGAACTAACGGTTCGGTTGTATAAACTATGCGTCACTTTTTACACAGCTAAGACACCAGCGGTGTGAAACAAAGTGTCAGTTGGGGATGTTGTCTCTGTAGGTTAATGCAACTGCAAACTTTGTGCATTTTTTTTTCGCGCGCGTTTTGTCCAGCCCGGCGCGTGCTTTACTTTTAACCTGTAAACAAACTGTGTTGCACGGCGTCCAGACTTCGGTGGTGTTTGTTCTTTTGTATTTGTGTATCAGCTCGTGTGTAGTGTATATTTTAGGTAAGAAACTAATAATAATAATAAATTTTCTTTATTGAAAAAAATACATTTTTCAAAGGGCCATTGACTTTCGTCCTTCAGCCGGCTACATACTTTTTAACTATTCATATATATATAAGAATATATTCTTATGTGTTGGTTACTTATAGATATCTCGAACAAATAATATGGATGAGCGGACTGAAGTAGAAGATTTATTAGGAACATGGGGTTTACCTGAATTGGTTCCAGTTATTAAAGGTTAGGTATTATTATTGCACTCCTTTAATTACACTATTGTATACAAAAAACTATAGTTTTGGGGTCCGAAAAAAAAATCCAAAAATGTGAAAATGCCATTCCGACTGAAAATGGCCTCCTGAATCCAATGGTGCCCACCAAAAGTCTCCATCACGTCGGAATTTCGAGAATTTTTTTGTTTTGTTTTGTTTTGTTACAGCTCAAGTCGCATTTTTGGTATAGGGCCTATACTATAGGCACTCACACTCAAAATTTATCGAATGCTTACCCCTGTTATCATGCAAGTATGTTACGTTGTACCTAAGAATCATTGTTAAGTTGTTAAACAAAGGCTTGCACTTCACGTAAACATCACGGTTTACTGAAGAAGTATAGTCAACTTATATTTGGTGTTTTCAGTTATATTGTTATTTTCAGTTATATTGTTATTTTTTAATTTATAATAAATATTTATAAAACGAACGGACATGAATTTCCTTTCTCTATTTTTTATAATATTTACACAAAAAGTGTTATATTTACTAAGCAGGTATGTACTGTGGAATAATACAAATTTGTTGTTGCTACTAATGCAAGCATTTAATATTAAATATAACTTAGTTACAGTAAAAAACAAATTTATATTATATCAACTATTAAATTCTTTAAATGTACCTTTTTTCATGTAATTTCAATTAAAAAATAAATTCCTGCATGATACAATGTTTGTTGCGATAAATAGCAAGTGCAGTTGTTACAACTTAGACGCTGCTAAAATAACAGATGTGATTGCATTAAATATCAATTATTTGTATGAAAAAAAAACTAATTTCGATGCACTTAAACTTGTTGGTTGGAGCTACCAATATTGGCTGTTCCGACAACAAACTGTAAAAACAAATTTGTATTAGTTCCCACAACATATTTTTTTGTTGTGCCTATTTTCACTAATAAAATTGGTTCTGGGAACTAAATTTTCATTGCAAATACCAGGTCTTTTTTAAGAGTGTAGTTCCTGATAGCAAAATTTGATTTTAAGAATCTTCTAAGAAGATATGACCCGGAATAATGGAATATTCTTAGAAGCTTCCTTTATTGCTAAGAATGTTCTTAGGGACTTTTAAAACATTCAATAGATATCCTTTTAATGATGCAATTAGATTCTTAAAAGCTTCTTAAAACCTTCCTAAAAAGCATCCTAAGAACATTTTTGGAATGTTCTTAGAAGGTTTCTTATGGAGCTTCTAGGAAGCTTTTGAGAATATTTCCAAATATGTCAGATACCCACGTTCTAATATGTTGTATTCTACATTCGTAAAATTCTTCAGGAGACGACAAATACGCCTCACTGTCATGATATGACAGTGAAATGTATTTGTCGTCCCCTTAAATTTTGCGACATTAATATATATTTATTTAAAAATATTAAATAAACAATTTGACCTCTAAACCATAAGTTTTATGACATTATTTCATAAAAAGTAAAATTGGAAAATTTTGTGGGTTAAGTCAGATTAGATTGAAGTTGAAGATAGTTAGGATTATTATACATAAAAATGTTAATTCAGAAATAAAAAATCGGTATACAAATTAATAAATATTTATTTTTAACATAAAATAAAATACCTATAGTAAAAGTATATTTGTTATCGAATATTGTTTTAATTTAACAAATAACTATAAAAAAATATTTTGGATTGTGTTTTTTACTTAGTATTTAATACTAAATACTAAGTAGGTACTTAAGTATACGTAGTTTATGGTATATTTTACTATTATATAGGTAACTAATCTAAATATGCTTAACAGGAATATTCCTAAATGAACTTTCTATAGCAATTACTTTCTTAACATTCTAAGCATATGTTTAGAGTAGACTAATTTTTACCACTAAAACTTTGCACCTTCTAAGAACCTGCCTATAGGCCAGTTAGAATATTCTTAGGATCATGCTATATGTCTTTTAAGCATGCATGTTCTTTAGAAGAAATATAGTATGATCCTAAGAATATTCTCACTGGAAGGTTTAAAAAACATTCTTAGAATAAACTGTGCTATCAGGGTTACTACGTAAGTTTTCCACTTTTTCCATTAAGGATGCAAGAAAATAGCATGTTTAACTCGTAAGAAAAGGTTTTAATTTAGTCAAAACTTATTATCTAGAGTGAAGAGGTTCAACAACATGATAAAGATTCATTAAAAATTGAGAATCATGTTAAATGTCAGGAAAATGCAACGTCAGAACAAAACGCTATTTTAAACGAGGTAATTGTAAATAAAAGTCCATCACATAAAAGAATATCATGAAATCCTTGTTTTAGTCCAACAAAGATATTGTAGAGAACGAAGTTAATAGTGCAAAATCTTTCGATATGCTCCATTTTGAACAAGTAAGTTTTGATCCTCTAAAATTGATCAAAACCAAAAATAAGTCTATACGCTTAAAGAAGTATCGCTAGTAGCGAATTGAATCCTTTGGCAAAACATGAAAATGCAACGATTTAGTTCTTGAATTTTATTTACAATTAAAAACGCAATAATTCACCATGATCCCTTTGATAAAATACACACTAACGTAACTATATAAGCATTTAAGCGTTGAGTTTCTTTATCAATGATATAAAGAATAATCAATCGAAATCGAGTAGTAAACCAGTTTTTTAGTTTTTTCCTTGCAACGTAAAACACAAATAACGTGCGCGATTTAGCTGTGCAATTGAACAAAATTTGTCTCTTAGTGAAAACCCGATACTTCTTTAGCGTATACAGATTTTTAAGTTGGTAATGACGACATTTTAGTTAAACAAAAACTCGGAAAAAGAAACCAAAACCATGCCGGAAACTTCCGATATACCGGAAGAAACAAAAAAACCATCCAAAATACCTATACCCATTAAGGTGTATAGAAAATCTGCCGCGAGCACTAATGAATACGCCAAATACAACTACAACCAAGACGATTTCACGGAAATTTTGAGGTTAAACCAAAAAGAAGAAGAAGAAGCTTTAAAACTATCGAAAAGATATACGAGAAAGTATTTGACAGAAAAGAAAGAACATTTGAAAAATACGCAAGTGAGTTTGAAATATTTATTGTACATTAGGGTGTCCCTTATTTTTATTTTTTTACGCATACCCTCTAATTATATATATTACTTGTTTATATACTCCCAGTAAAAATTTCAGCTCATTCTATAAACGGGAATCCGTGCCGACTTGCATATAAACCCTCCGTTAGCCAACGTTAGGCGCGCGCGGTATTTTGTAACACGAAACACTTTAAAAAGAAGATTTACTTCATGACTGTATTTTTCTAATGATTTTATTAAATATGATTACTAATTAATATTATTGCTTTTGTTTCTATCATTTGTTTCACTAATTTAGTTGATTTTATCCCTTAAATATATTAATATACTAATTAGTATTGCTAAAATATACTGTTATATGAAATTTCAGCTTTTTATAAGCATTTCTTTTCTTGATGTCCTCCCAAAAATATTTCAGACAGTTCAATAAGTTTTCGGTAGTCATCTCTAACAATAGACTCTTTTAGTTATTTAGAGTAAAACCCATTAAGTTTATCAATTTCAGAGTTTACGGCCTATTCACCAGACCCTTCCGGGTAACTAGCCACTCTCTGTGAAAATATACATTTTTATCGAAGTATGCACATAAATAAAATTATATTTTAACATTTGTCAATAATTTATAATATAAGGGTCACATAATAACAAACACAAAATGACTTACGATCGAAGACCTCGCGACCAACCGTGTTACAAAATACCGCGCGCCTAACGTTGGCTAACGGAGGGTTCAGATGCAAGTCGGCACGGGTTTCCGTTTATAGAATGAGCTGAAATTTTTACTGGGAGTATATAAACACGTAATTTATATAATTAGAGGGTATGCGTAAAAAAAATAAAAATAAGGGACACCCTATTGTATATAGGTAATATAATAAATATAACAACCTGCTTTTAAGAAGGATAGATTGCAAAAGGTTATGAAAGAAATGTCGGAAAGAGAAGCAATAAAAGTACAGGGTATTGAAGAAAAAATTGACATTTTGGAAAATCCGACTTACAGCGACGATATTTCAACGTTAGAAGCACAAGCATGTCAGGTGTGGTAAGAATAAGATTACAAGAATCTTAACCGTATTGGAAACATTTCAGGAATGCGGTAAAATAACCGAAAACGCGTCAATAGGATCTGTGAGCCTTTTCATTGACCCCAAAGATCATTTGCATATAGATAAAGTAAACCTGTTGAAAAAAGTGGAGGTAAAACGTTTTTTATATTAAAGTACAATTTTCCACAATTTACATGGGTAAGATGGCCTTTAATCTCGCTTTGAATTTAAGAAAACTTGTTTATATATATTTCTTAAACCTGATTTAATTCATTATTTCTATATTCTTTGAATATTTTGTGATGCATTGTAAGCAGATTGCCGGCGTAGGCGACGATTCAGTTGTGTTTTGCATTTGCTAGTGTGTATTTCGAGCGTTTTAACATAAATGTCCTACACATTGCAAGAGAAAATTGACGTGATAAGCTGGTCTTTAGTGTTCAATTCTCTACGTCAAACAAGAGACCTATTCGCAGTTAAATATCCGGAACGTTCTATACCTTCAATTGGAACAATAACAAGCGTTATCCAAAGGTTTAAAACGAATGGTTGTATTTTGCGGTGTAAATGTCACAGTACTCCCAGAATTGATGCGGATGCGGAGATGAAAGAAATAATGGTTTGTGCAATGGTAGAAGAAGATTCGAATACATCAATTCCTTAAATAGCCGAAGAGACCGGCATTAGTGTGGGTAAAGTCCACAAAATATTAAAAAAAAATAAATATCGTTCCTATAAATACCAAGTACATCAGAAAATTTTTCAAGACAACGAGTACCGGAGAATGGAATTTTGTGAAAATATGATGGAACGCGCAAATGAGAATTGAAAACATAGTATTTACCGACGAATCCACATTTCCATTGCATGGAAAGCACAATCCTGCTATTGTCTGGTACTGGTCTATTGAAAATGAGTACAGGCAACTAAACTTAAAGACTCAGTATCCTGAAAAGTTGAACGTGTGGTCTGGTATTTATGGGAATAATATTATTGGTCCCTTTGTAATTGGTGGCAATTTAAATGGAGCGAGATATTTGGATCTTCTTCAAAATAGAATCCAAAACATAACCCCAAATTTGGATAACGTTTGGTTTCAACAGGACGGTTGCCCATCACATAACACAAGAATAGCGATGGAGTATTTACGAGGGATTTTTCCCCAAAGGATAATTTCTACCAGCGGCGCTATTCGATGGCCAGCAAGGTCGCCAGACTTGGCTCCTAACGATTTTTTCCTACGGGGATGTGTAAAATCTACCTTGTACCGTCATGAAAAAATGAATAATTTGGGCGAATTAGAGGCAAGAATGCGTACAGCGTTTGAGACAATTACTCCAGATATGCTAGCTAATGTTCGCACCGAATTTTATGACAGTCTGGGCTTTTGTTTGACGTATTGAACGTATTGATTTATTTATTTTTTTAGTTTTTTATAAGAAAAAACTTTTAGTTAAATGCAAAACAAACAATGATTTTAGACCTTTAATTAATAATTTACTGTTAAAAGTGATTACGTTACATTTTAAGTATACCTATACTATACAGATATCTGAATCATTTTTAAAAGTAAATTAACTTAATAATGCGTATTTTGTATTAATAATCCAGAACAACCCTTGTGGAAATTTTTCTCTGAGAAAGTCTTACTTTCTCTGAAAAAGTCTAAATATTTATTAAGTCGGAAAAAGTCAGAATAAGACTTATTAAGTCGGAAAAGTCTGAATAAGTCTTATTAAGTCAGACTAATAGCAAGATTTGGGAGTCTTCTGGAAGAGTTAATAAGACTTTTTAAGACTTAATAAGACTTTTAGTGGAGAAATGGTAGGTACCTATGGCGATAAAAATAAATATCCGAAATAATTCATAGAGGTTGTATTTGGTTATCGTAAAATAAAACACATAGAAAAGTATTTATTAACATTTTTGCTGTTATAAGCCAAGTTTATTGCATTATTACCTATATAATAACATAGGTAAGATGTAATAATTGTAACAATTATAAATTTATACATACGATGCGCTTGACATGCATGCTTTCATTGTTTCCACCATAGAAAAAGGAGTTAATATCATGTCTATAGACATGATATTTTCGATAGACTCATAAGATAAATATGGTTGATCTTCGTGTTTCATTCATCTTTGTATCATGGTTGATCTTCGTGTTTACGTACAGTGTTGCCATAAAAGTTCCTGACCATAAATTACAAAATACTAAAATAATAATAAAAATGTAACAGGATAGAATAAAGTAATTGTGCATATTTAGTAAATATACAATATTATTTACTGAAAATTTCTTTTGTTATTATTTTGATAGAAATTTGCAAATCACCCGATTTCAGCCGCAAATATTACGAAAATACCCGATTTTCGAGTAAAATACTTGCAAACGGCAACACTGTGTCTCACTGACAGGTCAGCTGTGCTCTAATTGGTCAGCTAGCTGAGCTGGTCTCTCGATATTACGTGTAGAAAATTTGTTTGTAACAATGTTTAGATAGGTAAATATTTGCGTGTATCAAAAGAATCTAATAAAATAAAACGTACAGTGGCAACTCCTTTTTCTATGGTGGAAACAATGAAAGCATGTCAAGTATTATTCAGACTTTTTCAGAGAAAGTAAAACTTTCTCAGAGAAAAATTTCCACAAGGGCTGTCTAGAGGAAAAATGAAAATACGGTAGTAAATTCAAGGTTCTGAATACTTCTCAACGGGTCAAGTTCTTCAATACCTCCCTGAAGTATTTGCAGTCAAAGTTGGTGAACGTTTTGATTTCTACCTCTGAGTCAAGCGGTTTCCTCTGATTTCCTTACTCGCTATTTTTAAAGACTTGGAACTTTGCCTAAATCCCATTTTCTCCTAGCCAGAAAAAGATGGCAAATCAGTTCCGTCATCAGGCGCGTCTGATGGAAGCGTACAAGGATCTGTGTGGGAGGCAGCAAGAGTTGTGGCGGGCCTTAATGCAAAAAGGCCCGGTGAGAAAGTCGCTCTATTGCTCGGTGATCCGGCAACACAGCGAGATGCTCCACCTCACGGAGAAAATAAGGCAGCAGATGTTCCTGACCTTGGTCTCGTTGACCGGAACGCGTTAAACGACGCGTCGTTCTTCGATCAAAGGATGGAGGAGTTCAAGAGGAGGATGGACGAGATCATGTGCGCGAAAACTGGCGACAAAGATGGGACTAAGAAACCCCAAAACAAAAACTACAAGTACAAGATGCCCAAGCTGCGTTACGTCATTTTAAAAGACAAAAACGCATCGGACTTCGCCAACGCAGCTCTGGTGAACATGACGAAAAACATGGAGTACTTGAATCCGTACTTTCAGGTGGACAAAGACGGCAAAGTCACGTACATACAACCGAAAGTTGGCAAAAAGGATAAACGTTCAAACAAAAAAAATTACTGCGGGAAAATTTGCTGCATTCCCGGGGAAAACGCTAAAGAAAAGGCGCTGAAGCAACCTTACCCCGAAAACTTCGATAAAAATAACTACGAGGATGCTAAGTTGGGGTACTTTGCTCCCCTGGAAACGCACGAAATAGAAAAACTGCACAAAAGTATAGTAAAATACGACTTTCTCACGAAAAAATCCAGGCTTTCCAGAAGGAGAAACGTCACCACACCTGGAAGCAAGGATATCTTCAACTTCGACATCGCTCCGGATTTACCGAGTCCAGAAACTATCAACCTGATCAGAAAGTTGGAGGAAAAAATACAAGAAACCATAACGGAACGCAAAAAAATCAACGACAAAAAGTTTATCGACATCGATATGGCAACACTGCTGGAAAAAATCGAAATGGTAAAGAAGAAGAAACTAAAGAAAACCGACGACAAAAATAACGCTTGATTTGTCACTGTAATTGCTGTAATAATATTTAAACTGTGGCCTATACGTTTTATAAATATTTATATCAAAATTCTGCATTTTATCTTTAATCAAAAAATAATATCGTAAAGAGAATTGAAAACAGTATTATAGCCCATTAATGTCAAAAAGCTTGTAATATATCAAAAGCTTTTTGACATTAATGGGCCATACTTTAGATGAAATTGCTTGCTTATTAAAACAAGTAACAATTGTAACAAAATCCGACTCTAAAACCTAAGTTAAACCTCATAGTTATTGGACACTTAAGGAATATTATTTCTTGGATTCCTCATCCCTTTTCTGGATTCTGAAGGTAACTACTAATTCCTTGGTCTGACTTCTGAAATAGTTTGTTGCAAATATCATTAGGTGTGGTATCTCTAGTTTGTGAAGCACTTATAATGTTTAGGCCGGAACAGGATGATTTAAATATATCCAATATTTTTTCGGGTGGTATGTTAAAAGTATTTTCCGAATTTATTAATTTTGTTGCCATTAGTTTTTTATGTTCTCTATCATGCTCTATACTTATATCACTGTTATTCTGCAAGATGTCCTGTGGCGAAGAAATCACTACTTACTCTTTAAAAATGAATTGGTCAAAAATGTCATAGCGAAAAAGCAGCCACTAATAATTCTCGTCAACAGCAATTTGTATCCAGGACATTAAGCAAACAATTCCTATGAAATATTATTCGCTGAATCCGAAAATGTCGTCAAAAGTTATAAAAGTAAAATATAATCAATTTTACATACAATATGGAATTGACTATATCTCAAAAACTGCTTAACTTTTATAGCTTTTGACGGTCTTTTCGGATTCAGGGGACAATTTAACACAAGAATTGGCTGGTAAATGTCCGGTATACAAATAGAGTATGATATTGGACATGTGTCCAATAATAGAAATTTACATTTTTTACCAACCAGTAATTGGACACTGGCCATTTTACTGTTTGTTTTCAGAATTAAAATTAAAACGCATTAAAGTGACAATGTTTAAACCATGAGGAACACATTTATAACACACACTGATCTGTACACTTTTTAGAAATATTTTTTATTGTAATTTAAACACAGCCCTGCTCTTAGCAAAAAAACAAAATTAGAACTCTTGTTTTTACAGTATTAATGTTAATTGTCCAATAACTATAAAGTGTCTGATAACTGTCTACTTACCTTGATTTCCTTTTTCTCTCTGATCTTGTTACAATAAAGAAAGGTTACTATAGTATCTCCCATAGGTACCTTAAGTAATTAATTAATTATTAAGGTAGTATCTCCATTTAAAGACTTTTAATAAATAAATAACAGTAGCCTACCAAGGTACAAGGCAACCCATACAACCGTTCTTCAAGTGAAAACAAGGTTTATCGCCTTTTTCCACATCAACCCCACTGGAGTTACTCCAAGAAGGTGCTAAAGGTGATTCACAGGCTGGACCCCAAAATCAAGGAATTCAATCAGACCCAACAACAACCGAGAGAAAGATCTTCGAGTATATCGTCATTACCATCCTTGTAAGTGTTTTTGTCTTTTTAAAAATAATTTGCTAGATTAAATGGGCCTTATTTCGTTATTTACTTGATTAAAATCGGATGTAATATAAAGAAGTTATGGACCTGGTTTTTTGAACAAAAATGCAGATTTTTAAGGTTGTGTTTACTTTGTAGGACATTATACCATGGAGGAGGTCCAGAACGCTACTGAATCTTCACTTGGTCAAGAAAGATTCCTACATCAGTTAAATTGGGACGTCAGTTTAGGTACGTTTGATCTTTTGCAGTTTTTTTTTTAATTATTTTCTTCAGAAATGTCCCGATATCGCTTTGGACACCGTGGTCGCCATTCTGGAGAAACAACGAGAACCAAAAGTCTGAGGTGATAAAAACTTTGAGTCAGTTAAAATACACCAAATATTCCGTTGTTGTTTTTTATCGTTATGTTTTTCTTATGTACTTTTTTGACTACATAAACAATAATTTAGGTAATACTAGCGAAATGTATATGAAAAAGATGTATTTTTTGTTAAATGCAAACACGAATTTTTTTTTTGTTAAAGAAATTTTTAAATTTTAATAAATATTTAAAACAAATTCTTATGGTTTTATTTTTTTCCCTCATTTACGACACAAAAAGGAAATCTGACAACATTGCATTGTATCAGGAGTATACCTCCTCGCTTTTCTGCGATCCTAATAAAAATTCGAAAATTTCAGAATTTTAATAAATGGTTTAAATTTTTCAAGAAATTTTTAAAAAGTACCAGAATCTGGGATTTTTCGGAAATCTGGCAACATCGCATTGTATCAGGAGTACACCTCGCTTTTCTGCGATCCTAATAAAAATTCGAAAATTTCAAAATTTTAATAAATGGTTTAAAATTTCAAGAAATTTTTAAAAAGTACCAGGATCTGGGATTTTTCGGAAATCTGGCAACACCGCATTGTATCAGGAGTACACCTCCTCGCTTTTCTGCTATCCTAATACAAATTCGAAAATCGCAAAATTTTAATAAAAATTTCTTAAAATTTGAAATTTTCGAATTTTTATTAGGATCGCAGAAAAGCGAGGAGGTATACTCCTGATACAATGCGATGTTGCCAGATTTCCGAAAAATCCCAGATCCTGGTACTTTTTAAAAATTTCTTGAAAAATTTTAAACCGTTTCATAAAATTTTGAAATTTTCGAATTTTTATTAGGATCGCAGAAACGCGAGGAGGTATACTCCTGATACTTTGCGATGTTGCCAGATTTCCGAAAAATCCCAGATCCTGGTACTTTTTAAAAATTTCTTAAAATTTTTAAACAGTTTCGTAAAATTTTGAAATTTTCGAATTTTTATTAGGATCGCAGAAACGCGAGGAGGTATACTCCTGATACTTTGCGATGTTGCCAGATTTCCGAAAAATACCAGATCCTGGATATTTCTTAAAAATTTGTTTTTCGTTTTTCTATTTCAATTTATTGTTCAGGTATGTAAATAAAAATTGATGTACTTTAATAAAAAGTTTATTAACGTTAGGTAAACATTAAATGACAAGCAAAAATAAAACAACACATTTTTAAAGTAAAGGTTTAAATAAAACTACCACACTTTTTCTTGAAGGGATGGTCATCTGGAGTTGGATTTTCAAAGAGGGAAGCGCCAAACTCAAAACCTAAAAAAAAATCAAAATTGTAATCTTTATTTTTTTATTTTCTCTTATTAATATTACCATCTTTCTTATTTAGAGAGTACTCTGCAAACTTTGTTATGGTGGGAGCCATAATCATGGGTGGCATAAATTTTTCCTCTAAATTTTCCAGATCTGAATCTATGTGAACTTCAGGGGCAGTTTTTTCTGTTTCTCTTCATAGGCCATTTTAACACCTTCAGCAAAAAGTCTTATGTCAAAAAAATTACAAGTGAAAATAACAGATGACATCTGTCAAAAATGACACGAGGCTAAATGACAATTATCAAAAATGACAAGACTTATGTCAAAGATGACAGGTGAGAGTTGTCAAAAATTTTTATTTTTAAATCTATCATTTTTGACAGTGTTAGATGCTTATAAAAGACCATGACTATGGTCATATTAAAAAATAACAAAAGTAATTTAAAACATCACTCACCTAGGTTTTATGGTTTTATTTTTGCATTGAAAATGAATGTTCAACTTCCCCTTGTTCAATACTGGATTGGCACAACAAGACTTTTGCAGCCACCCCTGCGTTTCATGGTTGTTTATGTAGCTGCAGAACAAGTGATCACCCAAATCTAGCTGGCAAACAACTCTTTCCTTTGTTTTACCAACCATAACCTCTAAAATCCTGTAATTTTGTCTGTTTGGCAATTATCCAACGATACAGCGTTATCAATCCATTTATCAACGTCTTGGGTGTTTTTATAGTTATATACTGCTTTAGTGGGGGCCGAAAAACGTATAAAAACATGTTAATATTATTCACTGTTTTTATCACACCCTTTGTTAATTTGTAACAATTTAAATCTTTGTAGAAGTCTAAAAATATCACCAATTGTTTTGTTAATACCTTGTGTGCATCAATAAAGTCACAGGCCACTTGTCTTTGGTGTTTATATTCCATTTTACCTTCAGAAGGATTCTTCGAATTCTTGCTGTTCTTTAAAAGCCAAATCGTATATTATCACGCTGCAGTGTCTTTTTAATTTTAATTTTCCCTTCAAAAGTATCGAAACAAACACAAAAGGCCGGATTTTTAAACAAGTGAGGTTATGTCCAGGGAACTGTCAGTAGTAGGTCGTTTCAACCAATTCAGTGGTGCCAATGTAGTAAAAATAAAACGTTGTATTTTAAATTAACAAGTTAATACTTTATTAGCAATTAAAGTATCATTAAAAACTAAAAACAACATAAAAATAATTAAGTAACAATATAAATTGTTAATTTGTTGTTATAATGGCAGAATCAAGGATTAAAACTGTCATATTTTTGTGTTTCTTAAGTTGGCAGCAAATTATCGATACGCCTGTAAAGCGGCAACACAGAATACACGGAAGTGTAGAAATTGCCGCTTGTAAGAATTAATTGAAAATAATATAAAATATTATATTATTACTAATAAAACCAATAATAACAATATATAGCACTTTATTTCGCACATAATAAACCAAATCAACAATGTTTTAGATTTGACAATCACAAAATTAATTCTAACTTCCTACACATTTCAACTTCACAGCTACGTTTTACCCCCCATCTCGGCAGATTTACTTTTCTCCGCGTTACCTTCCCCTGCCCCCAAATCCTTAAGCTCCATATCAATCCTTTCCTTTGCTCTCACAACCTTCGACTGCAGATAGAAGGAACCCTTTTCATTGAACTTAAACAGCGCCTGGTACCTCTCTTCGACCTCCTTGCGATTTAACTCGCTCACGTTGAGTATCTGCTTGGCCTCGTCCAGCGATAAACCGACTTTTTGGTTCGCTACGCGTTCTCCTCTGGTTTTGGCGTTACCTAACCTCTGAGCCGCCTGTTGAGACGCTTCGATTTCCTGTTTTACGGCTCTCGCGAACGCTCTGGCCACCACCTGACTCCCCGCCACTATTAGCTGGGCTATGTACTTTGCCATCGTTCAGTTTTTGCGTGTTTTATTTGGTTTTTCGAAATATAACCCTAAAAAGTCATACTTTTGACGTTGCGATTCTAGCGACACCTAGATGCTTGTGAATGTACTAAATACAGGTTTCTGTAACTTTTTGACGTTGACATTCCAGCGACATCTAGATGCTTGTCAATGTACTAAATACAGGTTTCTGTATTTCTTCAGGATAACCTCAAATATTTTAAATCTGCATTATTTCCTAGATGACCGCCAATTTACCAATAGTTTGTGTTTTTAATGGTTTCTTTAGTAGGATAATACCTCGTTTTTTAAACTTTTCTTTTAAAAACATCATGGAGGACGCGTAAGTTTTGTTTACATAAAATTACAAACACCCCAACAATTTTCTTTAATTTTTAGGAAGTCTCTTCAAGTATCTGCTTTGGAGCGTAGACTTGATGAAGCAGAGAGAAGAGCCGGATTATTAGCAAGGGAAATTAAAGCGATTAGATACAAAATAAACCAACTAAGAAGTTTACCAAGTCTAAGGTATATTTTGTCCTACAACTGTTAATGCTTTTTTTACCAATTTGACATCTGTCAAATTATTTAACCTCAATATTTTAGCTCATCTGCATCTACAACTGCCCGTACCACTGAAACTGCCACTACCTCTAATTTCATTGATTTATCAAATACTTTAGCATGTAGTACATCCGGTGTTCGAAGGCAGGCTGAATCAAACGGCACTGAAAATGTTGTCAACAAAAGAGCAAAACTTTCCGAAAACAGTGACAAGGTTATTGTTTATGTTGACGGTGCTTGTGAAAATAATGGCAAACTAAATGCTAAAGCTGGTTTCGGTGTGTGGTTTGGGCATGGAGATGAAAGGTATTTATTTTATTTATAGGCAAAATATTTGTTATTTACTTACTTCTATCTTGCAGAAATATTTCCAAGCCTGTGAATGGCAGACCTACTAATAATACTGCAGAAATTCAAGCCTGCATTGCAGCTATTGAATGTTGTCTTCAAAAAGGTAATTATTGAAATTGTTTTTTCGCCAAAATTCAAAGTTCTGTAACACGATTTTGTTGAAATTTACAAAACTTTGTAGCTTAATCCATCAACTTTATTGTGTTAAAATTTGAACGCAATTACTGCTCACAGAATTTATTTACGGAGTCTTCAAGCGCCAGGAGCAAAAAGTGCCGTAAATGTAAATATTGACACGCGCGGTTGTTTCAAGTGCCATTTTGACAATTTTTTTTTTATTGCGTCGAAATTTTAACACTACAAAGTAGACAGATGAAGCTACAAAATTTTGTACATTTCATTAAAATCGGACGAAAAATTTTCTAGTTACAGCTCTTTGTATTTTGAAAATTGTAAAATTATAGCTAAAATGATTTTATTTCTTTTAAAACATGTTTCCTGTAATATTCACTTGTAAAATGTAGTCTACTCAAAGTAGTTACATTCAATAACAATTTTTTTAATTTAGCACAAAAAAATCATGTTTTTAACAAAATTGTTTTTTGGCCAAAACTCAAAGTTCTGTAACACGAACAATTTCTGTCCGATTTTGTTGAAATTTACAAAACTTTGTAGCTTAATCTATCAACTTTATTGTGTCAAAATTTGAACGCAATTACTGCTCACAGAATTTATTTACGGAGTCTTCAAGCGCCAGGAGCAAAAAGTGCCGTAAATGTAAATATTGACACGCGCGGTTGTTTCAAGTGCCATTTTGACAAATTTTTTTTTATTGCGTCGAAATTTTAACACTACAAAGTAGACAGATGAAGCTACAAAATTTTGTGCATTTCATTAAAATCGGGCGAAAAATTTTCTGTTTACAGCACTTTGAATTTTGAACATTGTAAAATTTTGCCTAAAAACGATTTTATTTCGTTTAAAACATGTTTCCTGTGATATTCACTTGTAAAGTGTAGTCTACTCAAAGTAGTTACAAACAATGGCAAATTTTTAAATTTAGTACAGTTGTATTCAATAAAAAAGCGTACAAGAATTAGAATGAGAGAAAACTGTCAAAATAATATTATTGCTTAAAACCGGCTTATCACTGACATAAGTCATTAAAATAATTACTATAGGTTATAAAGAGCATTGACGTCGTAGGTTAATTAAATAATATTACAAAAATTATTAATTTTTAATATAGATTTTTTATTTCTATTATACCACGGTACGAATTGACCATTCTTCTTCGATTCTTGATACTATTTGAGCCTTTTTAACTGACGAGGCATTTTTATTTTCTACTGTCAGTTATAGTGACTTAAGTCAGTGGAAAGCCGGTTTTACGCAATAATGTTGACAGTTTTCTCTCATTCTAATTCTTGTACGCTTTTTTAATGAATACAACTGTACAAAAAAAATATCCAAAAAAATCATCTTTTTAACAAAATTATTTTTTGGCCAAAATTCAAAGTTCTGTAACACGAACAATTTCTGTCCGATTTTGTTGAAATTTACAAAACTTTGTAGCTTAATCTATCAACTTTATTGTGTCAAAATTTGAACGCAATTACTGCTCACAGAATTTATTTACGGAGTCTTCAAGCGCCAGGAGCAAAAAGTGCCGTAAATGTAAATATTGACACGCGCGGTTGTTTCAAGTGCCATTTTGACAATTTTTTTTTTATTGCGTCGAAATTTTAACACTACAAAGTAGACAGATGAAGCTACAAAATTTTGTGCATTTCATTAAAATCGGACGAAAAATTTTCTGTTAACAGCACTTTGAATTTTGAAAATTGTAAAATTTTGGCTAAAAACGATTTTACTTCGTTTAAGTTTAAGTGTAGTCTACTCAAAGTAGTTACATTCAATGGCAAATTTTTAAATTTAGGACAAAAAAATATCCACATAAAAACCGACTCGGAATTCACCATTAATTGCATGACTAAATGGATAAAGGGGTGGAAGAAAAAAAATTGGAAGAAAGCCAATGGAGAACCTGTTATAAATAAGACTGATTTGGAAACACTTGACAAGTTGTGCGCACAATCCAACGTACAATGGGTAAGTAAATATTTTTACATTTTTAATTCCAGTTGATTTAATTATACCAACTGATTTAGCATATCAGTGCATATAGGTTTTAGCACGACATGACATTGCAGTATTTTTCTTTAAAAACTGTTGTTTTGTAAAATTAATTTGGTAATTATTTTTCAACGTTTATATTTTCCCCAAAAAAAATCGATTTCTATACATTGACATTTTAAATTAGACATAAAACAATTCAAATTTCATCAACATTTATTTGACATTTGCGACATGCTTTTAACCATGAAAAATAATTGGTTTACTATATTTGTTTTTTGGCCAATAAAATCATCTAAAATGTAAATCGGTTGATATAATTTATATCAGTTGTTAAAGACTGATTTAAAATATGAATAAAAATAGACAGTATTTTTGTTTGTAAATATATATGAAAAAATAAATTCAGAAGGTAAACTTACCTAAAAAAAGATATAATTAAAAAATAAAAATTTTTAAGGATAAAATTACTACCATGTTAATTATATCAAACATCGTTGCTGTTTTTTTGTCTGATTGAAAAGCAGAATACTTGAAATCAATTTAGTTTAATTGTAAAATAATTACCTCTAACATTGAACTTGGCTGAAAATATTTATTGATTTATTTTTTTAAATTAAAAAACATAAATGTTTATTTTTTAATATAATACCTATAATATAGATAATTAAAAAAATACTATTTAATAAATAATATTTTTTAAATACTTTTGAAGAATTTTAAATTTTAGACCATGTTCAACTTATTTTTTGCTTTTAAATTTTTAAATTATGTGCTTGCTCTTGGAAATAGAAACAGTAGGTTTTGGGTAAAGGGCTTAACAAGGTTTTTTCTGAGAGGAAATTTACACTCTATTTATTTTTGGGTCCAGAAATATACTATTAAACATAAAAGAAAATGAAATGGTGGGACAAAAGGGCAACATGGGTATTTCAAATTGAATATACATATTATAATAATATTAACAATTTTTGCCAATAATACAAGTTAAAAGGCATTTTATGGGAAAATAAATAATACAGGGTGTAGGTAAAAGCAAATGTTTTTGCTGAAACTATGTTTTTATATTTTTGGTTCAAATTGTTTTTATTATTTGTAATATTTATTTGACAAATAATTAAAAATTAAAAAACAATATTTTTATTTTTAAAATAAAATACACCGGGTAAAAAATCTGGACTAGAACTGTAACAATTAAATTTTAAAATTTGCTTTAGATTTTAAAATTTGTGTACATATATTTTTCAACATAAATTATTTAAAAAACAAAGTGTATAAGGCATTCTGAATTTTTTTCATTGGGTTTAATTTAACCTTTTAGAAAAGCAGGGATTCTTTCCGCATTTTTACCAAGGGTGTAGCCAGGATTTTGTTCAGTGGGGCAGGCAAGGGTAAACTATATGCATGCTACAAAAAGTTTCCAGACTCCACCTCCCACCCATTTTCTAGCACAATTTTTCTGGACGTGCAATTTTTGAGTATAGCTCCCTCCTTTTGATTAAAAAAGTTTATTCATTAATGTCTAAATGCGTAAATTAGTTGATATAAATAAATCAACGTTTCTTGCGTATTAATAATATTTAATTTTAGGAACATGTAAGGGGACACAGAGGAATTGAAGGAAATGAGGAGGCCGACAAATTGGCAAGACTTGGGGCTCAAAATTACAAACCTAACTAACTGTTACACACTGTTATATTTTAAGTACCAACATTAAAAAAGTTTTTTTACCGTAACGTTGATTTTTTAGTTACCTTTAGGTGTTAAATGAAAAACGTAAAAAAGTCGAACTTATTCGTTTATTTCAACAAAATAACAAGTTGTCTCATCCAAAATACAAACTAAAAAAATTGACAGTGTACAAGTGTTTTTTGGAAGCATGTTCTCGTCTCTTAAACATGTGTAGAAAATATCAGTTCCACAAATCGTGTGTCTGCGTCGTCTCATTTATTATTACACAACAGTCACAAAATCCAAAATAAAATTGTGAATTTTCTTCGTTAAAAAAAAAAGTAGTCGTTACATGAGAAAAACGGGCGGGAAAAATAAAAAAATCACAATTATATACACAGTTTCATACCTAGCCTAGTTATCATTAATATTTATATACTTTAAGCTTTACTTTACATCTCCTCAATCGAGAGAGAGAAAAAAATACAAAAGAAAAAAGAACGAGGGGGTGGGGGGACATTTACACAAAAAATGTACATTATATCATATATAGAGAGAGAGGAAAATGCGTAAAAAATTACGGAAATGCATAACATAGCGTTAAAAAATAATTTAATAAATTTATTAGCCTAACCTATAAGTAATTAATTACAGAGAAATATATACACCTACATATATACATATATGTATACATATAGTTATAGTAAATTAAAAATATATATATCTACAGTGGACGCTACACATTAGAAGACAGTCGCAACAAATTCACTTCACTTCTACCAAAAAAAAAAAAAAAGTTCAGCACTTTTTTTGTTACGACCGTCCCTTTAATAATAATCCTCTATACAGGGTGAACGCGGTCAACAGGTGGTGCAAGCATAATTTTTTTTTCATACCGAAACTTCACTGGAATGTAATTAAATTGGGTGATAATTTTAGTGTAAGCGGTATTTTAAAGGCAGTGATGTCGAGAAAATTACCCACCCATAAATACTTTATCGTCATTGCAAATAAATCGTTTACTGTAGGTCGTACAAAAAAAATTTTAAGACCAAAAATGTGGAGCCTGAAATTTTCGACATATTTGTTTACAGGTAAAACTCTCTGTATTTACTTTCTATAAAGATAGAGGGCGCCAAAGTTATAATTTTTTTTATTGAAAAATCGCTCATTTAAAAAAGCGACAAAACCGTGGATCACCGTAAAAAAACTTAATAAAAACGCAAAAAAAGAGTGAAAAAAATTACGAACTTCAACTTTGACACCCTGTAGTATTTTGGTTGTTATCGTCTAAAAATCGTCCAATATTGGCTGAAAACGATTTTATTCGTTAAAAACAGAATTTTAAAGGGAAACTCGTAAAAAGTGATTTTGCGGAAACGTTTTCTTGACGTTTATTGAAAAATCGCTCATTTAAAAAAGCGACAAAACCGTGGATCACCGTAAAAAAAGTTAATAAAAACGCCAAAAAAGAGTGAAAAAAATTACGAACTTTCAACTTTGACACCCTGTGTTATTTTGGTTGTTATCGTCTGAAAATCGTCCAATATTGGCTGAAAACGATTTTATTCGTTTAAAACGGGATTTTACAGGGAAACTTGTAAAAAGTGATTTTGCGAAAACGTTTTCTTGACGTTTATTGAAAATCGCTCATTTAAAAAAGCGACAAAACCGTGGATCACCGTAAAAAAAGTTAATAAAACGCAAAAAAAGAGTGAAAAAATTACGAACTTTCAACTTTGACACCCTGTGGTATTTTGGTTGTTATCGTCTAAAAATCGTCCAATATTGGCTGAAAACGATTTTATTCGTTAAAAACAGGATTTTGGTGGGAAACTTGTAAAAAGTGATTTTGCGGAAACGTTTTCTTGACGTTTATTGAAAATCGCTCATTTAAAAAAGCGACAGAACCGTGAATTACCGTAAAAAAAGTTAATAAAAACGCAAAAAAATGAGTGAAAAAAATTAGGAACTTTCAACTTTGACACCCTGTGTTATTTTGGTTGTTATCGTTTGAAAATCGTCCAATATTGGCTAAAAACGATTTTATTTCGTTAAAAGAGGATTTTAAAGGGAAACTTGTAAAAAGTGATTTTGCGGAAACGTTTGAAAAATCGCTCGTTTAAAAAAGCGACAAAACCGTGGATCACCGTAAAAAAAAGTTAATAAAAACGCAAAAAAAGAGTGAAAAAATTACGAACTTTCAACTTTGACACCCTGTGTTATTTTGGTTGTTATCGTCTGAAAATCGTCCAATATTGGCTGAAAACGATTTTATTCGTTAAAAACAGGATTTTACAGGGAAACTTGTAAAAAGTGATTTTGCGGAAACGTTTTCTTGACGTTTATTGAAAAATCGCTCATTTAAAAAAGCGACAAAACCGTGGATACCGTCAAAAAAAGTTAATAAAACGCAAAAAAAAGAGTGAAAAAATTACGAACTTTCAACTTTAACACCCTGTGTTATTTTGGTTGTTATCGTCTGAAAATTGTCCAATATTGGCTGAAAACGATTTTATTCGTTAAAACGGGATTTTAATGGGAAACTTGTAAAAAGTGATTTTGCGGAAACGTTTTCTTGACGTTTATTGAAAATCGCTCATTTAAAAAAGCGACAAAACCGTGGATTACCGTAAAAAAAGTTAATAAAAACGCAAAAAAAGAGTGAAAAAAATTACGAACTTTCAACTTTGACAGCCTGTTATTTTGGTTGTTATCGTCTGAAAATCGTCCAATATTGGCTGAAAACGATTTTATTCGTTAAAAATCGCTCATTTAAAAAAGCGACAAAACCGTGGATACCGTCAAAAAAAGTTAATAAAACGCAAAAAAAAGAGTGAAAAAATTACGAACTTTCAACTTTGACACCCTGTGTTATTTTGGTTGTTATCGTCTGAAAATCGTCCAATATTGGCTGAAAACGATTTTATTCGTTAAAAACAGGATTTTAGTGGGAAACTTGTAAAAAGTGATTTTGCGGAAACGTTTTCTTGACGTTTATTAAAAAAGCGACAAAACCGTGGATCACCGTAAAAAAAAGTTAATAAAAACGCAAAAAAGAGTGAAAAAAATTACGAACTTTCAACTTTGACACCCTGTGTTATTTTGGTTGTTATCGTCTGAAAATCGTCCAATATTGGCTAAAAACGATTTTATTTCTTGAAGTTGTAATTTTTTTTTTTTTTTTAACTTTTAACTTTGACTGTGTGTGCCCTGTGTTGTTTTGGTTGTTATGGTCCGAAATCGGCGGGAACGCATAAAAAAATGAATTAAATTACCTTGATCGATTCGGATTGCACCACCTGTTGCCCGAGGCGTCACCTCGCACTAAAAACCGTCTCCGATTGGTTATTCATCATCGGTCATCAGTCCTCGTCGCTCAAAGGCTCGTACTGCGCGCTGAGGAGCGGTTTGGGCTCGTTAGATCTGGCATCGTTGCTTTGTTGTTGTTGCTGGGCATTGCCGTCTTGATTTTGTTGTTGTTGTTGTTGCTGCGCGACGTAGCCGTAGTACTGCTGCTGCGCAGTAGCAGGGTTAATAAAGTCGTCGCTTTTGTCCTCATCGATGACCATGTCGCCGGGGCTGTCGCGGTCTTTTTCCTGCTGCGCGGTGATTTCCTTTTTGTCGTCCTCCGTGCGCATCACTTCCGCTATGCGGTTTTTAACGTAGTCTAGCGGCGACATGTGCGACTGCGGCGGCGCCGTTTGGTAACGCCGGTAGTTTGTAGTCTCGTTCCAGTGGTGGTGGTTGTTTTCCGGCGGCGAAACCGGCTCGACGTGGTATTTAACCGAAGGCTGCGCGATCCTGATTATCTGCCGTTCGTCGTTACCTTGCGCTAAATGCTGCTGAGGAGTGTTGGAACGTTTCTGCTGCTCTTCGGCGGCTTTATGTTGCATCCTGCGTTTCCACTCGTTCTCCTGCTGCTGCTGCATGTTGTAGAAACCCGAGCGAGACGAGAAATCGCGACTTATAACCGTGTCGGTCAACTCTTTAACCGTCAAATTTTTACTGACACCGTCCGGTGCATCTAAATCCACCGATATAACGCTGGGAGGGCGGTTCTCTTGTTGCTGTTGTTGTTGCTGTTGTTGTTGTTGGTCGCGGTTGAACCCTTGGAATAGAACGTCCCCTTTGCGATCTGTAGCAGCGGAGTTCTCCCGCCCCCCATCAACCGACTGATTGATTTGGTGCGTTATGATCGCGTCGATTAAACTGGCCGCCGTTAGAGTGTTGGTATCCCCCCTTTGTTGCTGTTGTTGTTGTTGTTGACCTCTGTTAACTTGGTGCGCGTGGTGGTTGACTTGTTGCCGGTGGTACTCGACGCGGCGGTGTTGCTCTTCGCTGCGCTGCTGCTGCTCGCGGCGCAGCAGCTGCTGCTGCTGCTGCTGCTGCAGCAGCTGGAAGCGGTGCGGCTGCTCGAGCTGTTCCGCGATCGTTTTACCCAGACCCTCGTGCGGCGCCGTGGGTACCGGCAGCGACGGTTGCTGGACCTTTACGAGACGACAGATTCGTTTTGTAATTCGTGCGGCCTTCGTTTAAGAGCTACGCATAGGGAAAATACGTTGCAATGTGTTTTCCCTATGTGTGTTAGCCAAATTATTTCAACTCTCAACCGGGTTGTGGAAGTTTTCAAAAATTCCAAGATTTAAAACAATTCCAGTATATTCAAAAATTCCAAAATTTGCGAAATTTTCAAAAATTAAAAGTTCTAAATTTTTAATTTTTTAATACAGGGTGTTATGTAATTAATGTTATATATTAAAACGGGTTGTTCCTTAGGGTCCATAAAGAAGCACCTGAAACTTTTTTTTTCTAAATTCCAAAGTCTAAATATAATTTATAATAACCTTTATCCTACCAAAAAGTACGCCACTGATCGACTAGGAACTTTAGGTTAATCTGGTGGATTTATTATGTTATGGTTGGTAACAACAGTTTTCCAAAATCTCTCAAAAAAGTTGACAAACATTGTTTAAATTTAGCTTAATTACAAAAATGACAAAATTAACAATGTAAATTGTCAATTTGGCGTTTTTATTAATTGTTGGTTATTTCATTTTTGTACTGAAGGTAAATTCAAACAAAATCTGCCAACTTTTATGACAGAATCTAGTGCATTTCTTTTAAATTTTAGGTTATGTTTTCAAATTGTAAATATCTTAACTAAGGGAAGTGCTTTTGGATTTATTTACACAAATTAAATGTTTAAAGTTTAACCTGTGAACTGGTCCCAATTTCATCTGAGTAAACAGAGAAAAAAACTGATGAAAAAATTAATTTTGTGGTTATGGATTTCAAATTTCAAAGGTACTAAATTTTCTAATCATTGCTTAAGCTAATAGCTGGATCAGTAAATATATACTGAAGGGTATTAGAGCTTTAAGGGCATAAAACTTTTGTATTTATTGAGTTTTTATTTATTTTTTGCAAGAAAAATTTTTAGTAACAATTTTTTACATCTGGCAACGCATAGCTACTTTGTTGGTTGGTATCTATGTACTCACAAAATACAGGTGTGCAGAGATAAACAAGTGTGTAACCAGTGGCGTATCACAAAAAATATAAAAAACTTCTAATGCATATTTTTTCTTTATCTTTGGAAAAATGTTTTTTTAAATATTTTCTTTTTTCCTATGTCAAAAGGTATTCAGTATTTTAATATATAACATTAATTACATAACACCCTGTAGAATTTTCAAAAATTCAAGAATTTTTGAAAATAACAGAATTTTAAAAATTCCAAAATTTGTAAAAATTTTAAAAATTAAAAACTTAAAATGTTAAAATTCCAAAATTTACAAAATTTGCAAAAATATCAAAAATTCTAAACTTAATTTTTTTAATTCTTTTTAAAAAGTCCAGAATTTACAAAATTTTTAAAAAATTAGACTGCGTCTTATCTGGTCCACTTTACAATGTATTTTCCCTATGTATAGCTTTTAAATGAAGGATCGGTATAGCAAAAAACTCCAATGATTTACAACTATTTTAGTAGTAGTTTTTTACTTACCGCAACGTCCACAAGCGAACTGAGCGCCTCGTGGCCTGGCGGCAGGTACGGCGGCCTAGTGTGCCGCTGTATAACGCCCTGCCTCTGCTGCTGACCGCCCTGCTGCTGCTGTTGCTGCTGCTGCTGCGGGGGCGGTTGCTGCTGCTGCTGCTGCTGCTGCGGCGGCGGAGTTCTGTGCGGCGAACTCGGGTAGTACTGTATCTTTTCGCGGCCGCGACCTAAGAATAGAGAGATGCTTCGTAAAATCCCAAACAGACTGTGCTTTTGTCCGCGATAATATCCACGTTTCAAAATTTTTAAAAATTTCAGAATTTCCAAAAATTCCAATATTTGCAAAAATTTCAAAAATTAAAAACTTAATCCTGAATTTTTTTAAAAATTTCAGATTTTTTAATTTTTAAGAATTTTTAAATTTACAAAGTTTTCAAAAATTTCAAGATTTTAAAAAATTCTAGAACTTTCAAAAATTTTAAATTCTTTAAAAATTCCAGAATTTACAAAATTTTCAAAAATTCCTAAAAATTACAAATTTTAAAAAATTCTAGAATTTTCAAAAACCCAAGAATTTTAAAAAATTCCAGAATTTCTAAAAATTCCAGAATTTTCTAAATTTCTAAAATTTTAAAGAATTTTTAATTTTTCAAAAATTTTAAATTCTTCAAAATACTAAAATTTTTAAAGTTTACAAAATATTTAAAATTTCGAAAATTTTCCAGATTTACAATTTTTTTAAATTTATCTTCAAAATTACGAAGAAGAAACGACGACGAGTATCTTTAATTTGTAAGGTGCGACAATAAATAATTGTTCATTTATTGTCCACACAAACAATAAAAAAAATGTTGCTGAAAATGGGGCTTTTATTATTTATTTTTTCTTCTTCTTACCTTGCATATGCTGCGAGGTGATAAAATCGTTCATTATGATCTGCCGACTGCTCATGTGCTGATCGACCGTGTACCCGAGTTGTTCGCGGTACTGCGACTGCGGCGGTGGCGGTTGCCCTTGACCGTACGACTGCCCCTGAGGCCCGCCAGAGGGCGGGCCTTGCGACGGCGGTCGCTTGTAGTACTCGTAGACGCGCTGCTGCTTGTCTTGCATCGAGTTGTGCGGCAAATGGATCGGAGTGCCTGTACGATGACGATAATATTAGTATATTATGTATCAAGTTTTATAAACGCCATTTTAATAAAAACGAGTGTCTAGAGAAGTTTATAAACGAGTTGCATACTATACTTTATCTACGTCGAAGTTAAAATTTTGACATCTGTCAACTGTCACCCGAATTTAACCTCACTTTTTCCCAATTTATAATAAAGCTAACTTCAGCCCGTGACGTAAAATGTCGAAAAGCCACTGTTGTTAACTTCAGCACGTCAATAAAACGCCATAAAGTCACAGCTCGTCAATGTACGAGTAGATAATAGTTATTTATGTATTAAGGGCATAATAAGGTTTTTATGGTCCGAGGCGCTATTTCGAGCCCGAGCGCGTTAGCGCGAGGGCTAGAAAAGCGTCGTAGGACCATAAAAACCAGTTATGCCAGCAATGCATACAAAACTTTATGCACGATTAATATATTATTATTTTTAATATATTATTGTTTTTAAAGACGTTTACGTCAAAGAATTTTTGTTATATTTGTCATATTATAATGTCAACTGACATCAGTCAGTTTTAGAGTTTAAAGATAAATGAAATTGAGGAAGCAGCTGAAAAGGCGAAAAATTGCGGCCTGCTGCCGGAAAAATCAAAATCTTTATACGAAAAAACTTCGAATATATCAAATGGTGTAACATTGTTGTTTTTAATTTTTGACGTTTCATTATAGCCCGCTGGGTCATAATAACGCCCGCGGGCTATAAAAAGACGTTTACTTCAAAGAATTTTTGTTATAATTGTCATATTATAATGTCATCGTGCATAAAATGATTTATTATCGTCATACTAAGATAAAAGTGCTCGGAGACTCACCTTGGGTGATGGAGCCCATCTTGGAGTCGGGGGCTACGTGTCGGAGCAGGCCGTAGCGCGGCTGCGTGACGATGGGCGTGCCCTGCGTGATGGAGCCCGCTTTCGGATTGGCCGGCTTCGGGCTGGGCATCTTGGCGCCGCCGCCGCCGCCCTGGCCGCCGCCGCTCACGTGCAGGCGCATGCCGCCGGGGGCCTGCGCGCCGAACGGGCTCTTCCTGTCCTGCGGCACGCCGTAGCCGACGCCGGAGGGAATGTGAAGCTGCTGAAATGGAAGAATTTGATCAGTGACATCATTCAAATTTACAAAATCTTTATAATCTCCAAAATGTTCTATATTTTCAATTTTTTTTTAAATTAATCTTCAAAGTATTCTACATTTACAATTTTTTTTTATTAATCTCAGAAATTTTCTAAATTTACAAAATTTTGAATATTTTTTAAATTTTCAAAAATTTTAAATTCTCCAAAATACTAAAATCTCCAAAAGAGTCGTCAGTATAATAAAAATTTTCAACAATTTTTAAATTAATCCCCCAAATTTACTAAATTTACAAAATTTTTAAAATTTTCAAAAATTTTAAATTCTTCAAAATACTAAAATTTCCAAAAGAGTCGTCAGTATAACAGTATAATAAAAATTTCAAAATTTCCAACAATTTTAATTTAATTTTCTAAATTTTCAATTTTTTTTTAATTAATCTCCAAAATTTACGAAATTTACAATTTTTTTAATTAATCTCAAAAATCTTCTAAATTTTGAAGATTTTCAAAAATTTTAAATTTTCCAAAATACTAAAATCTTCAAAGGGTCGTCAGTATAAAAAAATTTTCAAAATTTCCAACAAATTTTAAATTAATTTTTAAAATGTTCTAAATTTCCAATTTTTTTTTTAATTGATCTCCAAAATTTACTAAATTTACAATTTTTATAAATTAATCTCCAAAATTTTCTAAATTTACAATTTTTTTATATTAATCTCTAAAATTTTCTAAATTTCCAATTTTTTTTTTAATTAATCTCCAAAATTTACGAAATTTACAATTTTTTTTTAATCAATCTCAAAAATCTTCTAAATTTCCAAAATTTTGAAGATTTTCAAAAATTTTAAATTTTCCAAAATTTTCAAAAAATTTTAAATAAATTTTTAAAATGTTCAAAATTTCCAATTTTTTTTTAAATTGATCTCCAAAATTTACTAAATTTACAATTTTTAGAATTTTTTTTAAATTAATATTCAAAATTTTCTAAATTTACAATATTTTTAAATTTATCCCCAAAATGTTCTAAATGACTAAAATTTAAAAGGTTTTTTAAATTTTCAATAAGTTCTCCAAAATTTTATTTAAATTAATCTCCAAAATTTACTAAATTTACAATTTTTTAAAATTAAATTTTCAAAAATTTTAAAATCTTCAAAGGGTCGTCAGTATAACAAAATTTTCAAAATTTCCAACCAATTTTAAATTATTCTTTAAAATGTTCCAAATTTTTTTAAATTTATCTCCAAAATTTACTAAATTTATAATTTTTTTAAATTAATCTCCAAAATTCCAAAATTTTCAAAATTAAGATTTTTTAAATGTTTAAAAATTTTAAATTGTCCAAAATACTAAAATTTCCAACAAATTTTAAGTTAATTTCCAAAATGTTCTAAATTTACAATTTTTTTAAATTAATCTCCATAATTTACTAAATTTACAATTTTTTTAAATTAATCTCCAAAATTCCAAAATTTATAAAATTAAGATTTTTTAAATGTTTAAAAATTTTAAATTGCCCAAAATACTAAAATTTCCAACAAATTTTAAGTTAATCACCAAAATGGTGAATTTTTTTAAAGTAATCTTCAAAATGTTCTAAATTCACTAATTTTTTTTAAATTTTCTAAATCTATAAAATTTCGAAGAATATTTAATTTTTCAATAATTTTAAATTAAGGGTCGTCAGTATAACAAAATTTCCAATTCCAATCTTCAAAATGTTCTAAATTTCCAATTTTTTAAATTAATCTCCAAAATTTTTTTAAATTTCCAATTTTGTTTAAAATTAATCCCCAAAATTTTCTTAATTTACAATGTTTTTAATGAATTTTGTAAAATTTTCAAAAATTTATAATTCTCTAAAATACTAAAATCTACGAAATACTCCAAATTTTGAAAATCTCCGAAATTTTTTAATTAAACTCCAACATTTTTAGTTACAATTTTTTTTTAATTTTCAAATTGTGCAAAAATTATGGAAATTTTCAAAATTTCTAATAAAATGTTAAATCAATATCCAAAATTGTCAAAATCTTCGATATTTAAAAAATAATTACAAAAAAATTTGTTTCTAATTGTTTTTTTTAAATTGAATTAGCAAATTCTTACCGTGTGCTGCACCTGCTGCGAGTTCCCTAGCATCTTCTGCGCCGACGACACGTGCATCTCCCTGGGCTTCTTGATGCTCAAATCGAGCGTCTCCGGCTCCAGTCGGCCGCCATCGTTAACCTGCAGCACGACCAGATCGTCGCGCCCCGTCGCCACCGGCTCGGGGGGCGCGCTCGGCACTATCGGCCCCGACACCGGCGTGATCGTCGCCCCGATCAGCGGCTTCAGCTTCGCCAAGTTCAAATCCTGCCTCGCGTTGCGCCCAGCCGCCTGCTGCTGCTGCTGCTGCTGCTGCCCACCCAAGCTGTACTCGCTCACGATGGTCACGTCGTTGGAATCCGTCGAGTTGAGGATCGAGCTGATGGTCGGTATGACGACGCTTGTGGGGGGAGTTGGGTTGGCGTCGCGCGAGCCCGGGTTCTTCTTCAGCTGCGACTCGATCACGTTCAGCACGAGGTCCTTGACGCTGAGCGGGGAGGCGTTGGCGCGCGCCGCCGCCGCCGCCGACGAGGAGGAGGAGGAGGGGTCGCACGGCGCCGCTCCCACCGCCGTTATCGTCGCGCTGCCCTGGTACGTGTCGGGCGTGACGGCCTCGTCGGCCGTCTCCGTCGCCGACGAGTCGTAGTCTTCCTTCTTCACGTTCGTCGGCTGCCCGTTGCCTGCAACACAGTCCGCTGCCGTTACTGACGTTACCCGACATGTAGGCAACACTTTGGCAACATTTTGGCTTTTGCTTTTTTTTTAATTTATCGCGCTTACAATAGAATTCTGTGGTCAAAAGGCACTTTCTTATTTTAAATAAATAGTGGAAACACTTTAAAATCAAAATTAATCTTCAACATTTTCTAAATTTGCAAAATTTTGAAGATTTTATAATTTTCAAAAATTTTAAATACTCAAAGGATCGTAACAGTATAACAAAATTTCCAACAAATTTTAAATTATAAATTTCCAATTTTTTTAAAATTTATCTTAAAAATCTCGTTAATTTATCCCCAAAATGATTTTTTAAGTTTTCAAACATTTTAACTATCCAAAATACTAAAATCTCCAAAGAGTCGTCAGTATAACAAAAATTTCAAAATTTTTTTAAAGGTATATCCAGAATATTTTAAGTTTCCAATTTTTTTTAAATTTATCCCCAAAAATTTTAAATTCTCAAAGGATCGTCAGTATAACAAATTTTTCAAAATTTCCAACAAATTTTAAATTTATCCTTAAAATGTTCTAAATTTACAATTTTTTTTAAATTGATCTTAAAAATCTCGTTAATTTACAATATTTTTAAATTTATCTCCAAAATTTACAAAAAATTTTAAATAAATCTCCAAAATTTACAATTTTTACAATTTATCTTCAATATTTTCTAAATTTACATACAATGTTTTTAAATTTATCCCCAAAATGTTCTAAATTTCCAAAATTTGAAGATTTTTTAAGTTTTCAAAAATTTTAACTATCCAAAATACTAAAATCTCCAAAGGGTCGTCAGTATAACAAAAATTTCAAAATTTCTAATTTTTTTTAAGTTATATCCAGAATGTTCTAAATTTCCAATTTTTTTTTAAATTTATCCCCAAAATGTTCTCAATTTCCAAAATATTAAAATCTCCAAAGGATCAGTATAACAAAATTTTCAAATTTTCCAACAAATTTTAAATTAATCTCCAAAATGTTCTAAATTTACAATTTTTTTTAATTCATCTTCAAAACTTACAATTTTTATAATTTTATTTTAATTAATCTCCAAAAATTTTTAACTGTCCAAAATTTTGAAGATTTTTTAAATTATAAAAAATTTTAAATTCTTAATTACTAAAATCTCCAAAGGGTCGTCAGTATAACAAAATTTTCAAAACTTTCAATTTCCTTTAAATTTATCTCCACAACGTTCTAAATTTCCAATTTTTTTTAAATTAATCTTCAAAATGTTCTAAATTTACAATATTTTTAAATTTATCCCCAAAATGTTCTAAATTTCCTAAGTTTTTCAAAAATTTAAAGTTCTCTAAAATATCGTCAGTATAACAAAATTTTTCAAAATGTCCAACATATTTTAAATTAATCCTCAAAATGATATAAATTTCCAATTTTTTAATTAATCTTTAAAATCTCCTTAATTTACAATATTTTTAAAGTTATCTCCAAAATTTAGCAAAATTTACACAAAATTTTAAATTAATCTTAATGTTCTAAATTTCCAATTTTTTTTTAAATAGGCTTCAAAATTCATAATTTTTTCAATTTTTTTAAATTAATCTCCAAAATGTTCTAAATTTCTAATTTTTTTAAAATTAATCATATGTTATATCACAAAAACTATGAATTTAATCGGTTAAATTAGGCTCAGTAGTTTTTTGTTTGGTTTTTGTTGGAAAATGTTGAATGCAAAATACTTTAATAAAATCACGAGACCGCGTAGCGGTCGAGGGGTTTTATTTTTAATTATTTTGCATGAAACTATTTTCCAAAAAGAAAAATCAAATAAAAAACTTACTGAGCATAGTTTGACAGATTAAATTTATAGGTTGAGTGATATACGTCTAGATTATTTCTCGAATTAAACTAAAACTATTTGACAATTCATAAAATCTGACGTATGTGTCAAAATTTATAAATATTTTTTTAAAGAAAATTCCATTAATTTAAGGTATGTAATAAGTAATAATTGATATTTCGTAAACTAGACAACTTATTTTTTATTGTTTTTTAAAAAATGTTTGTTAAAACTTGTAAAAAACACCATAAAATCGTAAACAAAAATCCAATATGGAGGCTAAAATTTAATCGCTGTTAGATAGTTCTAGTGATTTAATCGCTTATTTAAACGAAATTTATTTGAAAATTCAAGGCTTTTGATTGGTTCATATTATAATGAGGGAAATAATCTTCAATATTTTCTAAATTTACGATATTTTTAAATTTATCCCCAAAATGTTCTAAATTTCCAAAATTTGAAATTTTTTTAAATGTTCAAAAATTTTAAACTCTCTAATACACTAAAATCTCTAAAGATTAATTTAATAAAAAAATTCTTACCTGTCAAAACAGGAGGACTTTCAGCAGCCGAAGCTGTATCACTAGAATGACGATCTCTGTTTGGCGGTTCCTCGCATGAAGAGGTACTGCTGCCGCTCTCCTCTTCATCGGTTAAGGTGGGTTTACGATCACCTGAAATCAAAATCAAAGTAGGTCAGCACCCAAAAGTCCCACCACGCTACTGATACAAATATTTAAACTTTATTTTCTGTCAGAGTCGTCCTATTAAAAAAATCATAATTTTGACAGTGTCAGTGACACCCTGTATAGAAGCACCCTGTTTACTTTAATGATAATAAAAAACAACTCCAATTAAATACCAATAATCATAAATAAATTCTCGTTTAAATAAATAAACCGTTTCAAATAAGCAATAATTTAATTTTGCCTGTGTGTCTGCTGGTTTATCGTTTTAATTAAATTTTCGGAATTTTAAAATCCACAATTCAATTTTCAAATATATATTTTAATTTTGTTTGTTCCCCATTTAATTAATTAAATTCTGAATATTGCATCGACTCAAATCGAATGCGACTTTTTTGGTTTTAGTTTAATTTTGTTAAAATAAAAATAACGAAGTTTATTGAAAATATTTTAGCTGTGGGGAACCGTTTTAATTCGCTTTCTATTGGCTCATGCTCAGATATTAGTTAGTAAGTAAAGGAATGATAATAAAACAATGACATGATTTTTTTTCGGGTGGGTTAGTGGCATATAAGAAGAAAATTCACAATTTTTTCGGGACTGTGACGCAATCTACGACAAATAATCTCAAATCACAACATGACAAAACGGTTGACAGATTGACAGTTTTTTTTCGTATTTCCAATAGTTGGAGGTACTATGCTCCACACCTCAAAGTCCCACCACGTGACCACGTATTTATTTTGGTCAAAATTGATTTTTCTAACCTTAAAATACAAAATTAGATGATATTTTTTGTTCTAATACATTAACCTACCTTTGATACAGATATTCTTATTTCATAATAGAGAAGTTAGATTTTTTTAATAAATGCTGTTTAGTTAAAACTAGAGATGCGACTTGAAAAAAAACGGTCCGTTTTTTTGTTTTTTTTTCATTGTTTTTTTTCAAATGGTTTTTTTCACATTTTCGGTTTTTTTTCAAGATTAGTCCCATTTGCCTAATTTTTTTGGTTTCATGGACTAAAATTAGCCACTAAATGACAATTAGTAAATGTAAATACAGTCTCGCGCTATGCACCACCGAATTGACCAATAAGGGCCGCGCTTGTTTCGATTTGGTCCTAAAAAAAGTAACTACATATAATTTTTTTGATTCAAAAAGCTACCAAAAGCACTTTTTTCATGATTTTTCAAATTCATGTAGAGTAAGGAATTTTTTTTCAAAAAACAATAGCAAATTCTTGTAGAACATTTATTCATTGGTGGTTAAGTCAGAACATTCCGTGGACCAGAAAGCAAAAAAAACGATTTTTTTACGGTTGCACATTTTTCAAAATCTCAAAACTAGAAACTTTCAAATTGCTTTTTTTACGGCTCCAATACGACCATTTTTAACAAAGATACAGCTATCCGAAGAATCACAAAACAATTTTTTTATCCTTTAATTTTTTGTATTGGTGTAGAAGTTTTACATTGCTACTGGTTTCTAATGTGGAAACTACCAACCAATAAGAAATCAGATTTTTTAGTCTCGGTCAAAGTTTTCAATAATGAAAAATTTAATATATTTTACATTTCACTTTATTATTAATATATATATTTTTTTTCATGTTTTTTACACATTTGAAAAAAAAAACCGTTTTTTTACATCTCTAGTTAAAACTATTTTATGGAGAAATGTAGACCCAATGCACAAAAATATAACTTATATTGCACCTTACACTTTGGAATTTCATTAAATGCAGTATTTATATTCCTAAATTCTTGTTATTGTGATACTATAAAGATTTTTTTTTACGCTTAAACATAAGCGGTAACACTATAAATATTATTTCTTTCATTGACTATACTTTGACAGATACATTTACGTTACTTTGTGGGATATAGATTTGATGATTACTTTTGTCAAAACATTGTTAGCGACATTTATTTTTTTACTTTTATTATTAAATAAAAAATAATTACAAAAAAATTAATTTATATCACCAAAGATATTTTGCCAAACAATGTTTGAAAATGAAAATCTACATTAGCTTTCTTTGAAAAAAACGAACGATTTTTATTCACTAACCCATGGAGCCTACACAAGGAGCCCGAACTTAATGTGCAAACCAACCTTTAGGGACATTTTTGACAAGATGACAAGCAGTTTCAAAAAGTTGACAGAGAATCTAACCTTAAAACAACAAAATCAACAATGAAATACGTCAAACTGACAACTTTCAGAAAGTAAGGTTAGTGGTTACTAAAGGCAGTTTTACATTTTGAAATCAACTGAATGACAGGTCGTTCGAAATTTTTTGGCCGTCATCTAACCGTTATAAATTTAAGTTAAATTATTTGACGTTATAACAACATACAAATACTACAAAAAACACTTTTAACGTAAAAACAATTATAATTAGGATAACTATTAATAATGCAATGATAAAAAGGAATTATAAGCTTTTGATCAAATAAAATATTGTTTTAAAACTTGGTAGCAATCACAATCCACATTGTGGATTGTGGTAGCAATCATCACGATGCAGGTGTACTCACGAATAAACTGTTTAGAGCGGGAATAACGCCTTGATAGATCAAGGCGGGAGCACAATATTATCGTAAGCGACACAATGTTAAATCGCCAACGCCATGTCTCGGAGTTGCTTACGATTATTTGTCAGGAACATATAGGCGAAAAGAAGAGGCGCATACAATAATAAAAATATTCAAACTGACCAATATTAGATTCCAAAATTGGAATAACTATTATGTTAACATGTGCAGCTTATCGTAACTGACTCTTTGATAAAATAAAAAGTAATTCAACAAAATTGTCGCTTACGATGTTTTGTCAAATAACCATCGACATGTCGAAGACTAATTAACATATTAATTTGAAAGAAAGCTTACCTAGACAACTTTCGAGCTGCAATCTCTTCCTGTTGGCGGCGTAGTAGCTCTTGACCACCGGCGGCATCTTGTTCAGCCTTTCCGCCACGAGCTGCCAGTTGGCGCCCAAATCCGTCAGCGCGGACTTGAGCTCTGCGATCTCCTGCTCGCTCCAGTCCTCGACGGGGCCTAGCCGGCGCTGGATGCGGTTGAAGCAGGCCGAGCAGCACTTGGTGACGCCCGAAGGCACCAGGAAGTCGGCCAGGATCGAATCCCTGACGTCCGACGACAGGTCTTGCAGCCGGTACGGGAACGACCTCAGTCTTTTGACGCGGTTGCGAGAGTTCGGGCAGTTCGGCAGGGGGCAGTGCGTGTAGCGGCTGCGCACGCACTTGCAGCGGCACGTGTTGCACACGCGCGCATGCGCCGGCACCTGCTCCTCGCGCAGCCCGTACTGGCTCGCGTGGCTGGGCGGCAGCGGCCGCGACTGCAGCTGCGCGCCCAGCTGCGACTGGCACACCGCGCAGCTGCCGCCAATCTGTTTATCTGCAACGAAAAAACCTTAAATGTATTATTCCGTTCAAGTGCGATGGAATCCACATCAACCTAACTTTACACTTAAATATTCATTTAACACTAGCCAAGCTGATTTGAGGTTGGTAGATGAAGTATGATTTTGAATTAAACTGTCTTGGACTACCTTCATCTTTGGACTATCTGTGATCGTTTTCAAGTGTAGAATGATCAAATTTCAAAATGTAAAAACTATATATACTTTGAAACGAAGTCGTGTAGTTTCTGCATTTTGAAATTTGATCATTCTACACTTGAAAACGATCACAGATAGTTGATTGAAACGTTGTGTTATAAAAGAATCAAAGATGAAGATAGTCCAAGACAGTTTAATTCACTAGCCTAGCTCTGGCAGTGCACATTAGTGTAAATATGCAATCAGGGGGTGTTCAGTTGACAAAAACGCAAACTTGTTTCGTTCATTGTTCTCTCAGAATTTGTGTTGGAAGAATGCATCAAACTGTTTAGTTGTGGTTTATAATTATTAACTAAAGGTAAGTCAATTTCAAAGTATTGTTACTCATCATGGTTTAATGTCAAAAATTTCATTTTGTTTTCGTTCATAAGGTGAAAATCGCGTTTTGTTTTTATTGTACAGACAAATTTCAAGTACAGTTCTTACAATAGCTCAGTTTAATGTATACAGACTGTATAGAATCAAGTAAGTAAACAAGGATGACAAATTATATTCTGATCAGAGAAGAAGACACAAACTTTAATTGGGCGTGGTTTAAACCAAGCCATTCGTAATTACGAACCATAGTTGCCAGGTTGTTTTAAATCAGAAGAGAACGATTATAATTATTTAATAAATAGTTCAATTTTATTTGTTTGAAACTTCAAAAATAACAAAAAAATTAATAATATGTCAAAAATAATTTGATTTAGTTAATTTTCTTACTTTTAATATTAAAAAATAAGACAAAGAACCCTTTTAGGAAACAATAATAGCATATGGCAACAGCGCGGCATGCAGCCAGATACAAGGGCATGCAGTTTGATCTACTGTGTTTGTTTAGTAGTTCCGACGCTGTCGTAGGGAAATGTGTATAGTTTAGAAGAAATACATTTTCGCCATTAACAGGAATTTAATGGATTTTAAACAATACTTAGTTTTTATTTGCAGAAATGCATTAAAACAAAACAAACGAATTCGATAAAAATAAAACCTATAAATTCTCAAACAAAAATAATTCTAAAATAACGAAAATGTTCAAATAGACCACCAGCAGCAGTTAAACAATACCCTAGCCTATCATAAAAATTCCTGCGCACGTTAAACAGCATTTCGGGACCAATATCTCCCAATGTATTAAAGATTTGCACCCTTAATTCATCGAGATTATTAGCCCTGAGCTCTTGAAATCCATAAATTTTTGACTTGACGTATCCCCACAAGAAAAAAATCAATCCCTACCACAGTGGGCGGGGTTCGGCACTTGTTTTATTTAAGTGTATCTATTCGTTTTAATACACACTGTATAATAAGTAAATCGTTTTTTTTATTTTTAGATGTTTTTCCTGAGAGTATATCATGTCCATGATGCCAAAAGATGGCATTTTATGATGACAATTTAGCACTGAATTGCAAAGAGGACCTTCAAAGTTTTATTTTGAGATTATCAATAAATTTGGTATATAATTATATAAAAGAATTTCCAGATTCGATAGAAATTTTAGTCGCAAAATGGGTAAGAATTGGTTACCTGTATAAAACTATAAGATTTTAAGCATGCTTTACAAAGAGCCATACAATTTAAACCAATCTAACAGTGTCAATTGGTACTTTGTGCCAAAATATTATTTGGTGTTTTGAACGTATTTATATTTTGTAATTTCCAAAGATTAGTTTTATATTTTGTAGCGTAAAACTTACAATGGACTGTATTTACGTTTTTATATAAAGTAACAATGGACTGTATTTTTATTTAAATATAAATTTTATTTGTTTTATATAAACATTATTTAAACACCCCAGCAGCGCTACCCAAAAGAAATTCATATAATTAAAAATAAATTAATAAATAAAAAATAAATAAGAGCAGAATCATTGCAAACGTCCATTGTTATATTTTTTTTCAAGCGTACAATAATTTTTATATTATAACACTTCAAAATCTATATAAAAAGATTTCATGAATATTATATTAACTATTCTATCTCAAAAGTCAAATTATTATTAAACTTCCTTTCGAAATAAAGCTACAATATCATCGCCAGTTAAACCTAACCTAAAAATGATGTAACAGAATTTAAAAAAATTAAAAAATGCAATGCTTGAAAAAAAATATGTAGTATATAAAACACGGCAGCGAAAGCTTAATAATTGCCTCGCACACAATCTACTGCCTCAGCTGACGCCTCGGCAGTGAAATGTATGCTCAGCGATAATAAGTAATTTCTCCGCTTGGTCTTTAATGTACTAATATTAAATTATATATTATAACATTTTTATCGACATTAAATGAATAAAATTCACACCAAAAGTGAAATAATTGCAAAAAAATACCTTTAATTAATAATTTACTGTTAAAAGTGATTACGTTACATTTTTAAGTATACATCTGAATCATTTTTAAAAGTAAATTCACTTAATAATCCAGAGCAAACTTCGTTTCTATCAACCAACGCCGGTGAAGGGTCTACTGCTGAATTGGCGTCTCCCACGCTTAACAATTATTCTCCCACTCTTAAAAACCGTAAAATATGTAAAAAATTGAAGAAAAATCCTTAGTTTCTTGTGTTATTTCAATGGAAAACTTTGAAATTAAAATTTTTCTCCATATGACAAAAAATAAATGTTCCTACAAAACGAATCACCCCAACGTTTATAAAGCACAATATTAAAACAAGTATAACGTGAAGGGTGGGGTTCGACAATGAAAAAAAAAAAAAAGATTGCCCCCGGCTATTTGAGTGAGAATTTCGAGCCGCGCAGTTCAAATAATCACTCGAAGAGCAGCGGTAACAGCGTTTATTTAAACTCGTCTTTCTCTTGTTTGGATTTGTTACGAAAGAGATACGATGGTTCATGTAAAATTCAAAAGGCCGACTTTAAAATTGATAAACTTTTCCTTCGCCATTTTCGCTTGATTATCAAGCGCTTAAGGCAATTTGTTCAACCGAATATTAAGTTATTTTTTATATTTATTTCTTTATTAACTACGGTTTAACTTTTTTGTGCGAATGATGTTTCTGTGGCCAGGATCAGTTTTTAATTGGCAGTAGCAGTATTCATAAATGTTTAGTTTAGTACATTTTGTCATTTTTATACAAATATTGTTGTAACTTTTAAATACACATTGACAAGTTGTGGCTTTATGGCGTTTTAGTTACGGGCTGAAGTTAGCAACAGGTTTTTAGTCACGGGCTGAAGTTCGTTTTAAGTTGGTTGACAGTTGTCAAATGTCATACAATCGTTAAAATAAATTGCCTTGTAAAATAATACTAAATGTGACAATTATTTTATTATCTCAATACAAAAATACAAAAATATTAAATAGTTTCTCAACGCCAATATTTGAAAAGTTTATATGAACATTGTACTGACCTTTTAATTTCGCCGGCAGTAAACTATAAACATTTTCTTTACTTTCACTGTGAAAAACTGTCAATTTTCAAGAAATACATTTCAATTTATAACCTTTATAATTGTGTTTATAAAATGTAAAAATTTGACATTTGACGGTGACGCACAGATTCCTCTATTGTTTCATAGATGGCGCTCTATACAAAGTTTTGATTCAAATCATTTTAAGTTAATAATACGTATTTGTGGTAGAAAAAGTATAGTCATTAATTCATTTAATACCAATCGAAAGATTCTTTAGCTCTCTATTTGATTATGTTAAAACAAACAGGGTTTTACATTTATAATAAAAACGTTATTATTGTTTGAAGTTTGTCTAATTTCAAGTGATTTTTCTCAAGCTATTTGTTAAAAAATTAAATTATTAAAACAATGTTTTATTATTCCAAAAATTCCTACCCCATGTCAGCAAACATAATAACAAAAAATTAGAGGCTATTTTTGATTAATGTGCATTTAGCAAAATTTTAAAATAACTAATTACAAAAAAGCAAAAAAGAACTGAATAAAAAATATACATATGTAAAAAATAAAGTCTTTATTCAAATTTATTTATTGGGTAAATATTACTTTCCTCAGTTTGGAATTGAAATTGAAGCTTGCTTATCGAGTTGTGGAGCAAAAAATAAAATTAAAGTGGGTTATAATTTTTAACTTGCTGACACTGTCTATAATTATTATTTAGTTTATTCATTTTAATATTTAAACCGGTCTCGTTGTTTTTTTCAAAATAAAACTAATTCACTCTAATAATGAAAGTGTGGCTTATCAGATGTGTATTACGGTAATTTCAATTCGATTGTTGAATTCTTATCGCACCACTTTATTTATAATAATAAAAAAAAACAGTGTAAAGTAATTTCAAACAATTCGTTTATTAGAGTTTATATGTATAGGGTATGAGTAATTATGTAATTAAAAAAAAACGTCTCTTGGGAGCGAATTTCTTAGCCTTACATTTGCTAAATTGGATAACAACCTCTGTTCAAACAAAACGCTCGATTTAAATATTTATGAGGGGGACGGTAAAATTCAAGTATGTAGGGTTAAAGCAGGATATTCTTTCATGTTGAATAACTAGTTTGCGATAATATGTCGAGGGCGACTTCCATTTTTTTTAAATCATGTCAATCATCGAAAACAGTCCCTGATAAATTGATGTATCTTAATTGTAACAAACATTAATCAAAACATATGTAGTACACGACGAATTAGAGGTATTATCGAATTTGATTGCATATCGCACAACACATGAATGCAGTGGCGGCTTGTGTGTATACACGGAAAAAAATGTTTTCTTAATGGACCAAAAGATACAAAACTATACTGGATATAAATATAATTATATTTCTTCTAAGATTAGTAAATATTGGTACGACTGGCC